CGTCCACAAAACGTAGTGATCTGATTACACCTTAGTTGCTTTTAGCTTTTTTAAACTGATCAGGAAGCCATATGCTAAACACCGTTAGCTTAGATAAGTTTCTTGTTCATCTGCACAAAGATTTGTTAGATTACCTAAATTAGCATTATCTAAATCCATAAGTTTAATTTTATTTTCTCAAATTGTGCAGATACAGCTCTGATATGTTTACCTACTCGTTACTGAGACCTACAGCAGAAATAAGGAGACCAACACTTACCTGGTCACTAGAAAATGAGCCATGTCCGCATCCTTTTTCAGGCACCAAATCCAGTTGAAGCAGCCTCCATTTTTCCAGAGCGTAACCAATAGATATTCGGGTCCCTGACCGACTTTTATCATATTTTCTTTTTGACTCTCGAGATGCCGCTGATAAAACCTTTTTCTTTGTGCCACTCTTTAGTGGGCTTTGAGTTGCGCTTGGTCGTTTGCTAGTTGTAGAATCCATTTCCAGGGTTCTTCCTCTTCTGTTTGAGGTTTTAACGTGGCTAGTAGTGAAAGACGCATTACCGCCACCTGGCAAGCTTCCAAATGTTTTTCCGGGTTTGAACCTTGTCGAGAACGCGCTTGAAGCGTCAAATAACGTCACATCCTTAAAACAGCGCGGGAAATTCGGACGCGACATGTTTTGCATTTTGAAGCACACAGCCTGTTTAACAAAATGGAATGATAAACTGGTTTCATCATTCTTTTTAGTTTAAAATGCTTCATCACCCATAAGCTTCACAAGAATGAACATTTACTTTTTGTTTTTGGACATTTCTGCCCCATGCTCCTTTAATTAATTGGGGTACCACCAGTTTTGTGGAACTGGACTACTGGATTTAATATCTATGTCTGCTCAAAGTTATCAGTCTCAAAGTTAACACCACAAACCTGAAAGCTGAATTCTTTTCAGAATGTGTTGCCTATTCTCGAGATCGCTAGACAATAGCTGTGTCTCAATTCAGGGTCTGCATCCTATGTCGGCCGGATTCGTCGGCCGATTACTAGTGATGTGTCGGTCGCGAACGAACCGGCTCTAAGAGCCGGCTCTTTGAAGTGAACGACGGGAGCCGGCTCGTCATTGGGAGCCGTCCCCTCCCCTCCCCCCCTCCCCTTTTGCTTTGGTGAAAGCCACAGGCGATTGGTAAACATGTGTAACTGCGTGTCCAGACTGTCCACACACAGAGCAGTAGGGGTGGGGAAGAGGGAGGATAAGACTCAGACACACAGCAGAGCACATGCGGGCGGAGGGAGACGAGAGGGAATGAGGAGGAGGAAAAAGGCGAGAGAGAGAGAGAGAGAGAGAGAGAGAGAGAGAGAGAGAGAGAGAGAGAGAGAGAGAGAGAGAGAGAGAGAGAGAGAGAGAGAGAGAGAGAGAGAGAGAGAGAGAGAGAGAGAGAGAGAGAGAGAGAGAGAGAGAGAGAGAGAGAGAGAGAGAGAGAGAGAGAGAGAGGGAGAGGAGTGTGACGAAGACGGTGAGAAAATGAGCGCCAGCAGTCGGAAAGTGGAGATTTCTGAAAGTGTTCAGTTATTAAATGCATAGAAATGATAAATATTTGATATATAGCATTTTTTTACATTAGTAAATCATTTTACACATAGTTTTGCATTATTTTGGTTATAAATGTACTCTACGCAACAGAAAATCTGAGGAGCCACTTGGGAGCCGAAAGAGCCGGCTCTTTTTGGTGAGCTGAGCCAAAAGAACCGACTCTCTAAAAAGAGCCAGAATTCCCATCACTACCGGTTACGTCACAGCGCCGCGACTAGGCCTGTCCCAATTCGAAGACTCCTTCACATGCGGTCGACGAATCCGGCCTTCTTTTCGCCTGAATGAAGGATGGGTCCGGTGTATCCTTCAATAGGTAGCATTGCCCAAGATGCCTTGCGGGCCGGCCGGCAGAAAAACTTAAAAACAATGGCGGACAGTGAAGCGGGAGCTGTCGGAGAGGATTGCGCATATAAATGTAAGTATAAACTTGAAAACTGTTAGGTTAAGGACTTTTGGTGATACATGAACGTTATTTTAGTTAGAAATGTTACAGTAAAAGTGTTTGTATTGCGGTCTCGGCTCGTATGTTCGGCCTCGCTCGGTGTCGTACTTCTCCCGCTACGTTTCCCCCTGATTTTAATAGAAGTTTGTATTTTAGGAACAAAAGAGAAAACCAGGGAATTTATTAAGCTCAGGGCGAAGATGGACCACATGATCACTGGAGCTAAGTATTCGGCGGCTGTGGCATCTCATATTTTAAAAACTCGTTTGAGTTTATTTTTCTGCGAAAACATGAAAGGAATAACTCGTTGTCCTCTTTTCTCTTCCTGTTTCTTTTCTTACATGTTTGTTAAGACTATTCTGGAGAAAATGGGCATCCAGGGGAAGGTGCCAGCGATGACCAGCTTCTGGAGCTGATTTGGGAGAACATAAGGCTGCAGAGGGAGGCAGAGCAGCAGAGGGCACAGGAGAGAAGGAAGAACTTTGACAGCTTTTTACTTTGCTAGAAAAAAATGGTTAAGGAATATTAAACATGTACATATAAAAGAAATATCTAAATAAAATCAGTTCTGCATTAAACTCTTGAATTTTATTTTTGTTTACAAATGAGAATTGTTTACTAGAGGGTATCCGCTGGGTCTTGAAAAGTCTTAAAAGGTGATAAATCGGTTTTGGTCAAATTAAGACCCTTAGAAAGTATTAAAAACTATTATCACATCTTTGCTCAGGCTCAGCTTGTCTAAAGTATTTTCTCTGAATTAGCTCTCCAACAGTCAAGGAAATGATTAACCCCCAGAGACCCACGGTTGTAATATTACAACATCAGATTTAAGTCTACAAAAATAAACCTTCCCCATTTTTTTTCTTTTTAAAACCACATTTATATTGCTAATAGGTCCTATTGTTCAGTTCTGCAACACTATTGGCTATTAAAATGTGTAAATAGGCCCGTTTATCTGGCCTCCTAGAACAACATGTGAAAGGTTAAAAAAAGATTTTGCAGTTGTTTTCTAAATTTGGGTTTCTGGGGGTTAAAAAGCTAAATAAAACGTTGAGCTCCATCGTTTGAAGTTCCTTCTCCTTTCTGCCCAGCGGTTCCACGGTTACTAGGCGACGGAACGTTCGCCGAGGGAGTTCATGAAGGCTAGGCCTGTCCAAATTCACAGCCGTTAACATCCGGTCTACCCGGCCGACGGAGGACGCAGCCCACGTCGGCCGGGTGGGCTGGGTCCTTCGAAGGATGCAGACCCTGAATTGAGACACAGCCAATGATCAGGCATAATTTTTTGTGAATTTATTACAAACATCAGTTGAGACATGACAAAAGTACCAAACACAGCTTATCCTTTCATGCATGGAAATAAGACAATTGTTAACCCAAAGCTTTATGGCAGTGATATGAAATAAAGGTGGAAACTTGGTGAAACACAAGATTATAGTAAATCGAGGAGTGATTTCTACAGGGGAAACACGTGAATTTTCATGTGTATTTGTGGGAAGTGGTGAAGTGTGGCTTGTGTGTGTGTGTGTGTGTGTATGTGTGTGTGTGTGTGTGTGTGTGTGTGTGTGTGTGTGTGTGTGTGTGTGTGTGTGTGTGTGTGTGTTTGTAAGCAAACTAGGAGTCGTTGTGGCAGAAGAAGAAAGGGAAATCTTGAGGCTAAACGTGAATCTGGATTGAAATAAAACACGCCATAAAAGAATTGGACTAATCTGAATTCAAGAATTGTGGTTTAGCAGAAAAATCAGCCAGATGGAAATGTTCACAGACCTGTTTCTGTTGCCAGAGGGTCACCAGCGGTTAGTAGCTTTTGGTCCCGGCTGAGCCAAGGTCCCTGGTACTGAGTGATTCTTGTTCCCTGTGTTGGTCAACGTCAGTTGTGGTAGGGAGGATGCGGGGTTCTTCTATCATGGCTCGACTTTAGATTCTGCCAGCTGCACAAAACGTGGAATTAACATTGTGGGTCCGAGTTATCCAAACGAAGTCGAATCAGAAAACTGTTCCAAATTGGTTTAACTCTTAATATGAAAACTCGACCGGACCACGCAGATTTCCGATTTCACGTAGAAAGTCAAAACAAAACAAACGGAGTTACAACTGAGTTTTACCGTAATGTTTGAGAGCTAATGGCTTAACAACTTTTATGAGCGTTGGGTTATCCTTGCTAGGCCTCTTTGTTCTTTGTACTGCCCCCACGAGGTCTGAATTCCGGTTTTATAAACTTTCTTTTGTCACACCCAGATGTATTTCACTCATTAACCACTGGATGGCACTGTGGCTCTTTCAAATATTTCAGTCTTTCCAACAGTGAACAGTTCATATCACAATTTCCAACTTATTTCAGATAAGGCAATAAAAGTATTACTTTAAACAGGAAAGAACTAACTTCAGTTATTAAAACTAGACAGGTTACCGTTAGCATGAATTTTAACTGGAGAAACAAACTGCAGATGTTTAACATGAAGGAAGAACATAAACAGGCATTTAGGTTTGTAACTGATAAGAATTTAACATTTACTTTGATTGTAGATAAACAGAAAATACGAGGGTGTTGATAAAAACTAAATTCTGGAACCTTCTAGAACACACCCTGAGGAGTTTTATGAGCATTCAAACCTTGGTAAAGAGTCAAGTTTTGGCAGGTTGAGATAGAACAGACCCCGTCCTGGTATCGTCCTGCGTCTCCTGATTGGCGCAGAACGGAGACCAGTCAAATTGGTGCAATTTACGACCCTGGGCGAGAGTCGTAGGAATTAACCAGAATGCTGAGGCTGCAGGCCAGTTTCAAGTTTCCCTTTTGTTTTTCTTCTGCTAAATGTGAGAGGAAAAACTTTGTGAAAATAGTTATGTTCTTTTTCGTGTGAATCCAACGAAAATTAGTCTGAGAATATAAAATGTGGATTTCCGCTACATCTTGTTATTTAAGACATTAATAGCAGAGTGAGCAGATGGTCTGATGCAGACAAACTTATTTTTATCCTGTAGGTGTTTGCAACAGGCTACAAGTTCTCCTATCCTTTCCTGGATTCTAGTGTGGTTTCAGTGACAGAGAACAAAGCATCTCTGTACAAGTACGTGTTTTCTCCTGAACTGGACCACCCCACACTGGCTATCATTGGTCTGGTGCAGCCATTGGGCGCCATCATGCCCATTTCTGAGATGCAGGCTAGATGGGCCACTCGAGTCTTCAAAGGCAAGGCTTTCTTTTTTTTAATAGACTAGTTCATTGTTTACTAATTAAACAAAAGTGGGTCTTTTTTCTGCAGGCTGCATAAAGCTTCCTCCAGCAGCTGCTATGCTCAGAGATATCAAGTGTAAGCAGGAAGCCATGGCTAAAAGGTACACCATGTTTCACCTTTATGGTTACCTGCTATATACACTTCATTCGTAACCAGATAATTGTCTACATGTTTTTAACTTTAATCCCACTATTAGATACGTCGCCAGTCCGAGACATACCATCCAAGTGGACTATGTTGACTACATGGACCAAATAGCAGAGTTAGTGGGAGTTCGTCCCAGAATCAAGAGGATGCTGCTGACCGATCCTCAGCTGGGACTGAAAGTGCTGCTGGGTCCTAGCACCCCATACCAGTACCGCCTCAGAGGACCAGGAAAGTGGGCCGGAGCACGCCAGGCCATCTTCACCCAGTGGGAGAGAGTAGCTAAACCCTTGCAGACCAGGCTGTCTGATGAGCCCAAACCCAAGAAAGCTTCCAAGTGGCCTCTGATCATGTTCACCGCAGCTGTGGGCGTGTGGGCCTACCACCACAGGAACAACTTTCCAGCTTTCCTGCAGGATCCCACCGCTTTGCTGGACAACATTAGAGCATACCTCACTGCATAGTAATGCAAATTTCACTAGTGAATAATTCTACTGTATTTACAGTATTAGCTAATGTCCATGAGGGCAAACTTTGTTCTTATCTACAGAAATATCCAAAAATACATCAATAACCTAATTTCCTGAACCTAATCTAATACTATACAAGAGTGTTATTCAGCTCAATACTTCATTTTAGCACTTATGTGGTACTTGTTATCTGCCTTGGGATGTGAAAATTTAAACATGTGGTACAATTGTTTAACCAATAAATTTGCAGTGGTCTCTAGTAAGAATGAATGCCTTGTAAGTCATACTTGGGGGTGGGTACTCAGATACGTCTGTTTTAGGACGTACAAGCCAGCTGGAGAAGAAAGTAACTTCAGACAGCATTTGGAGTCTTATTTCCTGGCATTTGGACATCTCGCCTCAGCTTGGATAGCAGTAATGTGACTCTACCACTGACTTGGTTTGCTCTCCAACGTTGATGTTTTATCTCCACAAATCACTCTTACCTGATGAGTTTTGCTGTGTTGTGGAGTGCTGGTTGTCATGTTCTACTAACCAAGATGTTCTCTGCTGTTTCATGATTCAAAATTGGTGAGAGTATGAACGTTAAATAACAGTGTGACAAAGATCTGTCAGGCTTATCAAATCCTCGAGTTTCACCATTTTTTATCAGAAACTAAAGCAGGAAATGGGGTTAGAAGACTATTTTCATGTTCAGCCTGCATGAAAACACAGAGAGGCTGAATAGAATCAGAAATAACATTTTTAAAATTGTTTTTCGGTGATCCACACTTTTAAGGGTTAGAAATAAAGCATCAGTTTTACATAAATACTTTCTTCTTATTTGTAGGTCCCTTAATCAGAATATCAGCAATGTTAACTATCACAAACCCATTTATAGCTGTAACGTCCAAAAGGGTCAATTTTCACCTACATATTGACCAACATAATAACCTTTTGTCTACAGAAATAAATCCACTTTCTGTTTGGCCTTCCAAACCCAGAAGGTTCTGCAGTGCTTGTTTACATACAGAAGACAAAACATCCACACAAACATTCTCTCCCAGGGTCCTACACTCTCTGCATGAATGCCAGACGTCAACATTCTTCACACTGAACAAGTGGTTTCCATGACTTTGACAACTCATAAGCTTACAATAATCATATGTGATGAATGAACAAGATGTTTAAATGAAATGTTTGAATAACCTGTGCTTAAACCAATGATGGCTTTAACCCTCTTAGGCTCATACCAAGTTTTGATAAAAGGACAAACAACTAAGTCCTTCAGGGGTACTTCTGAGTTAAAAAGTGCTCATGAAATACGTATGTGGAGTAACCAGATAGGTAGGATTTAACGTTGCAAATCTGCAATGCCTGCCTCCAGAGGGTTAAAATGAATATTGCTCTTACAATGATCCATTTATATCACAATTCACTATGTGTTTGATTTAACAAGTTAATCATTGTTTACACTCATACACATTACAATAAGATACTCATTAAGGTTGAAATGCACCTCACATAAAGTTTTGATCATTCTCATTCACAGTGTTAAAAACATCTTTGTATCTGAAAGGAAGGCGTGAGTTTTTGAGGGATGTTGGTAAATACTCCGAAACGTGTCAAATTCTGATTTGCCAAACTTGGCCAGAAATCATAACAAAGTAGTTTAATAAAACAAGAACTTCTTCCTGATTAATTCAGTTTCCAGCTGACCCTCGAACCGGCCAATTCGGGAAAGAAGCATTTTTGAAACCATCTTCTCCTTTGACCTCCTGTCAAAGTCTCTGCAACACTGCAGCTGATACCAGACAACCAGCTCTCTAAGAGCCAAGCAAACATCAACCTTAGACGCAAACAAGCATTCCAGCTTTCGGCCTTCACCTCGAGGGATCTCAGACTGGACGGGTCTTATCGGAGCTATCTACGGGTTCCTGACATCAGAGTTCACTCCACCGGCAGTGACCATCGACCCCCGGATTGAACGAGAACCTCCACACCAAGGGTGCGTAGACATGGCACGACAGATTGCGTCTGATGTTGTTTTTAATAAACAACTCTAGTTTAGAACCAAAAAAACAAATTCTTTTACACCCAGAGTTCACAATTTGTCTCAGATACAAAGAACGGTTGCTACAACATCTAGCTTCCATCACAACACCTCACATCCACGACATCACATCTCATTATTCATATCTTGTCATGTATAAATTATTAGTTTAGGAAAAAGAATTAAATTAATTTGATAAACTATATACCTGACTCTGTCTGAGTTAATACGAAGTGTGTTTATGGTCCCTAAAGAAGCAAAGAACCCTAGAATCTCCTGTTAAAACTTTCAAAGATCAATCAGATTGATATTTCATATTTATATGGAATCATCACATCTTATTGGTCATAATTAATATGTTTTAATTGCTACATATCTGTGGAATTAAAAAAATATATTACAGTTTTTCTCAATCGCTTTGGTGCGTTTCTCAGAACACTATTAACATTTGCACAGCAGTTAGTGCATTTCTCAAAACAAGTAGTGCAAACTGCAAAAGCTAGTGGATAGCCTGCAAAAGCACGTCACATGCTCAAAATTGATAATCCATTCCTCAAAAGCAAGTATTCATGTCAATGACAATGTCAGTGCCATCAAAATGAAAAGTCTTGACACCATCTTTATGAACAAGATAGTCAAATGGCTTTGTCATGATTTCACTATGACAGTTTATAATTTCAGTGTTTTCCATTGCAAGAATATTTGGTGACACCTGAAAATGCTCAAGACAGCACTATGCCCTACTTGTACAGCCATTTGAAATGTGCAGTAAAGTTACTGTAGATGTTATGGAAGTTTTGGGAGTAACTGAGACACTGAATATGTACGTTTTACATTTTTACTGTATAGAAGTGTTTGTAATTCTACAGCATTGTGCAAAAGAAAAATATGCTAGTCACCTGTTTACTGTAGAATACATGTAAACATAAAATCACCCTTTTGGTAGAGCTGTGCACAAATGTGAACAATATACAGTACATGTAACAGTACATACAGTATTGCACAGTACTGTAACATACAGGTACAGTAAATCATTCTGGCACATCCAGACGTTTCTGTCTGTCTGGCCACATATTTTCATCTACATCACAGCGGATGTCATCCCTCGCAATGCAGCGAGGAAAGTATCTTCTGGAGTGGTGAATCCATCCTCTGCAGGACTCTGCTGTGATGTTGTCACATGCTGCATCCATGGCTGCTAGCAGGGCCATTTGGGTATGTGGATGCCTGTCATATACCTTCCACCTCCAGGAAGAGAAAATCTCCTCAATTGGATTCAGGAATGGAGTGTAAGGAGGAAGAAACTCCATAAGCATCCTGTTGTGTGCTGCAAACCACTGCCTGACTACAGCAGAGTGATGGAAGCTAACATTATCCCAAACCACTACATACATTGTCCGATTGTCACCAGGACACACACCAGTTTTCATGTGTGAGATAAGGTTCACCTGAGAAAAGTAATTTATGGAGATTTCCATGGAAACTCCTTAAAAATAGGGTTTTCAAAATGGGTGTACAAATTGTTTGACAAGATGTTCAACAATTTTGAGTGCAATGACACAAGCAACGAAATGAAGACTATTAGTTGTAAGGACAATGACTATTCAGCCGGTACAAGTATAAATAATTGTGACATTCATGATAAAAGCAAGGAGATAGTGATGAATAGCAAGTCAAAAATGACCATTCTTTAGATATTTGTACTTACTCAACTGCTTCATGTCCAAAGGCATTTGCCTTTGGATGAAATGAACATGAAACCGCCACTAGGTTGTGCCAAAATGACCACATGTTGTGGAGGTTGAACTAACTGTTGTGCAAAGTTTAATTCTGTTGTGAGAAATGCACCAAAGCAACTGAGAAAAACTGTAAGAGAGACATAGTCCCTCCAGCATATCCTGGGTCTTCCTTCAGGTCTTCTCCTGGTTGGACGTGCCCAGAAAACCTCACTAGGGAGGCATCTAGAGGCATCCTGACCAAATGCCCGAGCCGCCTCAACTGGTTCCTCTCTACGTGGAGGAGCAGCGGGTCTACTCCGAGCCTCTCCAGGATGACTGAGCTTATCACTCTATGTCTTAGGGAGAGCCCAGACACCCTGTGGAGAAAACTCATTTCGGCTGCTCGCATCTATGATCTCGCTCTTTTGGTCACTACCCAAAGCTCGTGAACATAGGTGAGGGTAGGAACGTAGATCGACCGGTAAATCAAGAGCGTCCCCTTCTGGTTCAACTCTCTCTTCACCACGACAAATCAGTACAACGCCCGCATCACTGCAGACGCAGCACCAATCCGCCTATTGATCTTACACTCCAGTTTTCCCTCACTCGTAAACAAGACTCCGAGATACTTACACTCCTCCACTTGGGGCAGGACCTCATCCCTGACCTGGAGAAGGCATCCTTTCCTTTTCTGACTCAAGACCATGGTCTCAGATTTAGAGGATCTGATTCTCATTCCAACTGATTCACACTTGGCTGCAAACAGCTCCAGCAAAAGTCAGAGATCACGTTCCGATGAAGCCAACAGGACTACATCATCTGCAAAAAGCAGAGACCGAATCCTTAGGCCACCAAAACAGATCTCCTCAACACCTTGGCTGTGCCTAGAAATCCTATCCATAAAAGTTATGAACAGAATCGGTGACAAAGGGCAGCCTTGGTCAAACTCTCACTGGGAACGAGCCCGACTTACTGCCGGCAATGCGGACCAAGCTCTGACATCGGTCATACAGGGACCTAACAGCCCATATCAGAGGGCCTGGTACTCCATACTCCTGAAGTACCCCCCACAGGACCCCCCGAGGGATGCAGTCAAACGCCTTCTCCAAATCCACAAAACACAAGTAGATTGGTTGGGTGAACTCCCATGCACCATCCAGGAGCCCCTAAGGGTATAGAGCTAGCTGGTCCAATGTTCCACGGCCAGGATGAAAACCACATTGCTCCTTCTGAATTCGAGGCTCAACAATCCGACGAACCCTCCTCTCCAGAACCCCTGAATAGATTTTACCAGAAAGGCTTCTTCTGATAGTTATTTAATAAATCATTTTTACTACAGACTTTTTTAAGTTTGAAGAAACACTGAATTGAATAAGTGGGTCTTGTGCAGACACTATCACAGCTTTTTATTCACACAAAAAATTAAAACTAGTATTCTTACGATGTTGAACCAATTTTTTTTTGTTATTCTTGGAGAACATACAATGTGAGTTTGGATTAAATAGGAGAATTTCTATAATTTAGGCATTGAGGACTAAAGATTCTCTGCAAAACACCAAATATTTTTTATTTAAAGTTCAGAACATAAAAACAGTTTTATGTTTACTTCTTGTAGTCCCACCTCAGATGATCTGACCAATCAGCAGATTGAACCCCCTCACGTGGTTTGTAATGTTACATTGCCTTTTGTTTGCAATTTCTTCCTGTTTGTTTTATCGTTCATTTTGTGTGGCTACTTCAAATTATAGGAGGTCCTTTAGCCATCCTAGTGTTGGTGTACCTCAAGGTTTAGTTTTGGAGCATTTATTATTTCAGGTTTAAGTGCTCCCATTTGAGCCCTTTCAATGGACATCTCACATCACTATTGCACATATTATGTTAAATTATAAATTTTTATTTCGTGTTTCATGAAGAATCAGAATTGCATGTCTGTAAGTGCTTAGTCATTTTCAGTAATACCTAAAAGCAGTGGTGTCCAACCCTGGTACTTGACAGTCCCTATCCAGCTAATTTTACATGTTTCTCTCCTTAGGTGTACCTGATTCCAATAATTGGGAGGTTAACATGATTCTGCAGAACTTGATGACTTGCTAAATGGGTCATATAATCATTGAATAGGGCATGCTGGAACTGGGAAACAACTAAGACATGCTGGATAGGAGCTCTCAATGATCAGGGTTTGGCACCCCTGACCTGGAGAGTGCTGGACTTGTCCAGTGTAACCAGAAAGGTTCCTCAAAACTCCACTTCTAATAGGTGTGGTCTGCATTAGCAAATGATTGTTAAATGTAGCGTGTTGCATGCCAGAAGTCTTGTTGACTTTGCCCTCTCTGCAGAAATAAAATCCAGGGTCAGTGTTCAGTCACACTCCACCTGCTAAACAGAATCAGGCATCAGAAGAAGTGTTCTTCTCTAGACTGAAAAAGTAAGATACTTAAAAATGTTTTATTTTGTGTACATTTAAACATAAGGAACATTGTTTTCAGATTGTTGAAAGTTGACTAAAAGCATTGTGTGCATTGCATTGTTTTATTATTGAGTTTTTTATGTTTGTCAAGAAGGCCATCTGGTTATCTGAATTTTTTTAAATGACGGTTTTCCCTTGTTACATGGATGCCTGATCTTTGCTGGCAGCTCAACCCCTTTTGTACTGACTTGTTCCCCATAGCTGCAGCATGACTCGTCGTGTGGCCATAGTAGGAGGAGGGAGTTCAGGTCTGGCCTGTATTAAATGCTGCCTGGATGAAGGGCTGGAGCCCATCTGCTATGAAAGCAGCAATGACATTGGAGGTCTCTGGAGGTTTAAGGTGGGTGATGATGGTGCATGCTGGAGGAGGAGATGAAGTTCTGCTTCCTCTGAGCCTCTGGTTGTGTCATTTGCAGGAGAATCCAGAACCAGACCGGGCCAGCATCTACCACTCAGTCATCATCAACACCTCCAAGGAGATGATGTGTTTCAGTGACTTCCCCATTCCTGCAGAATTCCCAAACTTCATGCACAACTCCCTCATCATGGACTACTTTCGGATGTATGCTGACCACTTCCAGCTCACTAAGCACATACGCTTTAATGTGAGAATATGCTGGTGAAGGTTATCAGTCATCCAGGTCATGGGAATCCAAAGGGGTTTGAATAAAGGCAACTGGAATTTTTTGGTTTCTTGAAGGTGTTTAGCTTCTCATCGAGGAGCTTTGTCAATTTTGACTGGAATATGGGACAGTCAAGCTTATAAACTGTTGCTGGACAGCAACGGTTTATAAGCTTGACTGTCCCATATTGTCAGAAATGACAAAGTTTCTCAATGAGAAGCACAATGTCTTCAAGAAACCAAAAAAGTCCAGTTGCCTTTGTTCAAACCCCTTTGGATTTTATGTGAGAAAAAAACTTTTTTTTACTTTTCCTGAAAACAACCAACCATTCACTCTCAGTTTATATAAACACTGTTCTGATACGAGCCAGTTGTTTCTGTTTTTGTGTGTCCAGACCAAAGTCTTGCAGATCAAACAGAGATCAGATTTCTCCCGATCAGGCCAGTGGGACGTTGAAACCGAGAACAAGGATGGGAAACGAGAAAAACACATTTTTGATGCAGTGATGATCTGTATTGGACATCACTGCCAGCCGAACCTCCCTCTCCACGACTTCCCAGGTAAGGTGCTGTATAGACCCTTATCTCCTCCATGTACACAGAGCACAGTTTGAGGGGATTGTAATTTTCACACAGCATCACTGTAGCAACAATTATCACCAGCAACCACAGTGTTGATAGCATGTTGGAAACCTGAGGTTTGATTTGTGTGTTTTATATAAAAACGTCAATGTCTAGTGCCAAATCACAACAAGAGTCGTCTCAAGGCACTTCACAAAGTAAACATTCCAGTATAGTTCAGTTCATTAAGCCAATCAGTAAAAAGTTTCCTATATAAGAAACCCAGCAAATTGCCCTGACTGGCTTCAGTGTCTTTACAACAATTTCCATAAGCAAGCATGTAGCGAAAGTAGAGATGAAAACTCCCTTTAAACAGGAAGAAACCTCCAGAGGATCCTGGCTCAGTATAAGCAGTATGTACGTAGTTTTGACTTTAGAAGTGGGGTGTGTGTGTGTGTGTGTGGGGGGGGGGGCACAACTGGCATGAGAACCAGGGTATACAATAAATATGTATAAAGCTACAGCCTAGAGGCTGTTTTATGTAATATCAGGAATGCAGAACTGTCAAGTACACAGGTGGCAGGAATGGCCAGTTACACATTAGCGAGCGTCAACAGAGCCTATAGGGAGACTAAGTCACTTCCACATCATGGGTACCCAGAAGAACGAAAAAAATGAATGCAAGTCAACGGTGCTAAAAATGCTATTTTCTAATCCGCTTTGCCTTATGCCCTGGATCACACAAATGTTGTACTGCAATTTAAATGAAAAGTAATGATGGGTGTTTTGACCAGTGTTCATTTTGTTGACAAAATATTTTCGTCTTTTTTTTCATCACGAAAATATATTTACAGATGAAAAATAAAACAAAATTTCAAAATAAAAGCTTGGAAAAAGTCGAAGACGATAATTAAATTGATTGAAACTTTTAGTCAACGAATGAAAGACGAGACGAAAATCCACGATGACGCTCTTCTACATGGCACTCTATGGTGCGGTGCGCCTATTGTGTTGTTGTGAGACGCGAACGTAGTAGAAGACAAGGGGCGTGGCGTGCCGTGAACGTGCGGGACGTGAGCGAAGACAGACCCCGAATAGTATAAAGGGGCAGGTATGCGCGGTATGCTAAACATAGCTCACTGAATATATCGACGGCATAAGAAGAAGGAGTAGAGGAATGTTAACTGCTGGGCGAAAAAGAAGATATGTGTGGAGTCATTTTTCTTATGATAACATTGCTACCAAAACTACATGCCGAGAGTGTGGACTGTCGTTCCGAGGAAAGAACACAACGAATCTGAAGAGGCATCTACAGAATGGCCACTTCGCCATTTTCTCCGAGGTAAATCCATTTAAATGTACACGTGACGACCCGAAAAGTAATATACAGGCAAATAAAACTGTATCAACTCTGTCATGTTGGGATAAAAATTCAGAAGTACCGTATTTTCACAACTATAACGTGTGTTATTAGGGAAATAGCGGGCGAGCAGTGTTGATGCATGATTGCGCATGCGCCATGAGCGGTTCTGGTACTTTTTGGGTCGCAGCCAGGGGCGGATTTAGGACTGAAGAAGATCCGGGGCTTAACACACGTACGCGCGCGCACACACACAGGTGACACACACTAATCATGTATGTCTTGTACCACATACTTTTTAATCTGAAGCTACATATTAAGCATTTTCAGGGCAGAGTATTGTTCCTGTTAGTGTTTAGTGTGAGATGATAGTAAATATTCCCTTTCTTTCTCCAACAACTTTACCTGATAAGCTAACTTTAGGCAAACCAGCAGCACAACAAATATTTTCAAGTAAGACTCACAAACCTGAGTCAACACCAGTCTCATCAAAGCTGGGGTTCTGTCGTTGTACTTTTTGTCTACAAAACATCCTTATGTCCATCCTCATGCGTTTCAGGCAGAGAGTGTAGAAGAAGCCGGCTGCTGAAGGGCTTCTTCTTCAGTGGTGGAGGCTCAGGCAGGCTGTATACAAACTACTGCCAGCTGCTCCCTCTCTGTTGGACTTTGGTACTGCATGTTACTTCCGCAATTTAGATCCGGGTCTTTTCATGAAACATCCGGGGCTTCAGCCCAAGTAGCCGGGCCTATCGCCGCCCCTGGTCGCAGCCGCTCGCTGCACGTGCGCTCTAAACCAGGACTAGACCAGTAAAGTGAAGCATGCTGTTGGCTGTTTATAATTATCACAATGTCTGGTTTGCATTGATATGATCCGAGTCCCGCGCTCGCACAGATGTTTTACCGGTACCTTTTATAACCCGGTGCGCCTTTTGCATGTGTTAAAGATCCCTCAGATGACAAGTTTTCCCCACTTGTAGCAGCTGCTTGCTTTCTCAATCCTACTGTGTGTCAGACTCGCCTCAATGTGGCTGATGATAACATTCAGGAGCTGCTCAAGCAGGCAGAAGGGTATGTTGTTCGGTGCTCTCAGACACAGGAGAACCACTCTGATCTGGAGGAACTGAATGGACCTGAACCGGCACCACCCGCCGCTGCCTCCTTTTCATCATCTGCCTCCTCCTCCTCCAGACAACCAGTCTTTAGGTTTCTCTCCAAATTCGGAGCAAAGCCTAAACCAAAGTCTTCCAAGTGTAGTGTTAGACTGCAGATAAGCCAGTATAAGGAAGAGCTCTCACAGTCCATCACTTGTGAAACGGGAACGGAGTTTTGGCTTGGAAAATGTGACACATTTTATCACAGCCTGAAACCATTAGCATTAGATATATTGGCAATGCCAGCTTCTCAGTCTTTTGCAGAAAGAGTGTTCAGTATCACAGGTGACCTCACTAGAGGGAACCGCAACCGAGCAAAGGTCACACTAGCACAAAGTGCTTTTCTCAAAATGAATCGCAGCAAATAAATATTCACACTGTTTGGTTGAGTCTGTGTTGTAACAAGTGAATATCTACAGACTCAGGGTTAACATGTTTAAATTTGCTATTCTTGTAAATTCTTATTGTGCAATTGCTAAAAAGAGCACCTTTGTAATTTCCAGTGTGCTTTTTGTTTTTTATTAAACATGTAAGTGTTAAACATGTCAAGTGTTTTTTTTAATTCAAATATTCTATGTTCTTAGCTGTGTGTGCTATATCTGATCAGTGGTGGTTAAGAGTTTGGACCCTGTGTATTAAATTACACTAGTTTTTTCGTGCTCTATACAAAAGTAGGAAATTACTTCATTAGAAAAAACATATGCATTTTGTTGACTAAAATTGCTTATTTTCATCGACTAAAATGGGACTAAAACTAAAATAAATCTAATGACTAAAATTGGACTAAGACTAAAATTAATTTTTAGCCAAAAGACTAAGACTAAAATAAAATTAAAATTTCCTGTCAAAATTAACACTGGTTTTGACCTTGCCAGTCACACTTTGAGATTTATTAGCTTGTAAAAGTTCGTAATTAGCATGACAACAAACTAGAATTTGGCACGTCGTTGTGTGACGTCACCTCATAATCTCCTCTCTTCTAACGTAGCTGTTACTTACTAAATAACCAGATTTATGGTGGTTCTTTCCTCCTGTGGGAAGTTTGCTGAACTTACAGCCCTTTTCCCTCAGTTTTCTCCATGTCTGGTTCGATGACATCACTTTCGTGAAGCGCATTTGTAGTCCTGGACTTATTTTCACACAAAACCTAAAATAGCATTTTCTCCATTCGAAAATAAGCATGTTCTTGGTATCAAAATGTGTCTTTAAAATTCACAGATATCATATGTGAAATCCATGGCACAAAACAAGCGGAATTAGAAAATAGCGTTTTTAGCCCCATTGACTTGCATTCTTTTTTCGTTCTTCTGGGGACCCATGGTGCGTAAGTGACTTAGGCTCCCTATAAATAAGCTTATGGACAGTTCTAATGGGAAACAGGCTTCAACATAAGCAGTTGTTTTCTGCTTGGTCCTAGTGCTCAACCAGCCAACCAGTGTCTATTTAATATAGCGTAATATTGTTTTTGGATGGTAAAAAGTGCAGGGGACAAAAACTGACTTTGGAAAAAGTCCATGATACGTCCATGACAAGCAACCATCCGACACGACTCACTGGGGGGTGAGAAGACAAAGCAGGACCCCCCCCCCCCCCCCCCCCCCCACACACACACACACACACACACATAGCTACATTTTGTTTCTACAGCTACATTGTGATTTCTTAGTAAATATTCTATTTAGTAAGAGTGAAACTTTGTCTTTATCTAAATGAATCTACATATAATGAATTCAAAAGGTAAACTAGTAGTAGCACATTCCATGTCAAAGAAAGTAAAATGTTATTATCAGGAGAAGTAGAATGTTAAGTGGTTAGCAGCAGTGTGCTAGCTGATGTCCCCCTCCATGAGGCTACCACAGCTCAGCAGAACACAATTGTAGCTTCTTCTGGGGAGAAAAACACTTAGAGATCAAATTAAATTAACAGCAGAAATAACAGGAAATAGTGCAATTAGAGAGTAGTGGTAGAAGAAAGTAGTAGTGTGTGGCAAGTGGTCAGCATGTCCTCCACCAGTCTAAGCCTATAGCAGCATAGCTAAAGAGATAACTCTGGATAACCTAGCCTTTTAGATGGAGGCATGTAAGAGGCAAGGCAAGGGACAACCATCTTTACCGACTGTATTTCCCGCTGTCCACACCACTTCCCTCTACTCCCCCACTTGTCCAAACCTGAGCTAACATCAGAATTTAACCATATCAAATAAAAATGTTTTAGCCTAGTATTATAAGTAAACAAGGTGTCTGTATAGCTGGTGTCAGGTTCCACAAGAGAAGAGCTGATAACTAAAAGATCTACCTCCCATCCTATTTTGTTGTGTAAACCTGGTAGGCAGCAGTGGCTCAAGTGGTTGAGCAGGTTGTCCAGTAATTGGAAGGTTGGAGGTTCGATCCCAGCTGCGGACAAAGATCTCTGCTGTTGTGTCCTTGGGCAAGACATGTCTTAACCCTTGCCAGCTGGTGGTGATCAGAGGGACTGGTGGCGCCTGTGCTCAGCAGCCTCGCCTCTGTCAGTGCGCCCCAGGACAGCTGTGGCTACAATGTAGCTCATCACCATCAGTGTGTGAATGTGTGTGCGAATGGATGAATGATACACTGTAGTGTAAAGAAAGCACTTAGGAGTCTCTGACTGTGAAAGGCACTATACAGGTGCGGGTCGTTTTTCATTTATCATTTAATTCCGTTTCAGTCTGATGCAAGGAGTCCATGTGAAAACAAATCCCTTTTCTCTTCTTTTCCTCAGGTATTGAAACTTTCAAGGGGAAGTATTTTCACAGCAGAGACTACAAAACTCCTGAAGAGTGGAGGAATAAGAAGGTGGTGGTGATCGGAATAGGCAACTCAGGAGGAGACATCGCAGTTGAACTGAGCAGTCACCAAGCAGGTTAGACCAAGATCATTTATTACCACCCTTATGTGTCTGAATTGATTGTGTATTAAATATATTAAATAAAACATTTCATTTTTCAAATATCATACATTACTGTGATTTGTTTTACAGCAGAATCTGTGAAATGCTGCATTTGTGTTTCTTTTGAAGCTTTACCTGAGCACTCGGAGGGGAGCCTGGATTGTGAACAGAGTTGGAATAAATGGGATTCCCATTGATATGCTGTTTAACAGAGCAACAAGGTTGATTAAGAGCATCCTCCCATTTGGTGTCCTATGTGCCCTGGCAGAGAGACAGCTCGATCACAGATTTAACCATGCTCTGTACAATCTAAAGCCAAAGCACAGGTACTGTGTTCTTGTAGTTTTTATTGAAACACACAGTTTATTGTGTGGTAAAGTCAGTCTCCTCTGAAAAAAGTCGGTTTCCCACTCCTTTACAGTCTGACTTAAAGGGGCAGTATAATTTAAAACCACATTTTCGTTGTTGATTACAAGCAGCCTGGGGTATTTAATGTAGCATACCAAAAGCCTGTCCTGTCTCTGACCTGACCTTCCCATGTAAATTATTAATGTTGTAAATGCAAGGAGAAAATGGTTCCTTCTGAAAAAAGTTGCTTTAACACATCATAAGCAAGACACACCTCTTTAATTTGCTTGTCCCAATCAACCAAAATTTCGGCAATATATAAACGTTGGTAATGCTAACCGCTGAACGTTACAGCCTTGTGCTGTTGTTAACACAAGGCTGAGCTACTGCCAACACTGGCACTTGTTAATGCTAATGCTAGCCCAAGCTACTGCCTTTGAAGGCTGAGGTGGAATCAAAGAATATTAAGCAAATGTCTGCTTCAAAAGCCACAAAATAGTCAGCTTGTTCCTTCTCTCTCTCTCTCACACACACACACACACACACACACACACACACACACACACACACACACACACACACACACACACACACACACACACAGAGAGAGAGAGGGGGGGGGGGGGGGGGGGGGGAGTTTATACCTTCAAGCAGTGTCGTAGAGCCCCTGTGGTGTCAAACAGCATGCAGCTTATTCGATACTCATGCCCTGGCCAAGTGCCAGGCCTGATTTTTGGGGTTGAGTTTGGCCCTTTATCAGGGCTCCTGGATCCTTGTGAGCCACAACAAAGTTTCATATGCTATATAAAAGCTCAAAGAACTGAATTAATCAATTCCGATTAATTAAAAATAAACTGTTCTGTTGATCCTTTAATCACAGATCAAGGAAAGCATAAAGAAAATATGTGCTAATTGAAACAGAATTTCAATGTTAACTATAAGATTCAGTCTTGCAATGCTCGAGCACATACCTTATCCATTTGAAACTCAGGTTTTTCAGCCAACATCCTACTGTGAATGACGAACTTCCCAACCGCATCCTATCTGGAACTGTTCAAGTGAAACCAAACATTCGCCGATTTCTAGGCTCCAGCGTGGAATTTGAGGACGGAAGCATCGTGGAAGATGTTGACCTGGTGGTACGTTTAATTTGCCTTTTTGATTGTTGATGATTTTCTGCAGATCTTGTTCTTTTAGACGATAACAGCTTTATTTTTATCCTGTAGGTGTTTGCAACTGGCTACAAGTTCTCCTACCCATTCCTGGATTCTAGAGTGGTTTCAGTGACAGAGAACAAAGCATCTCTGTACAAGTACGTGTTTCCTTCTGAACTGGACCACCCCACGCTGGCTATCATTGGTCTGGTGCAGCCACTGGGTGCCATCATGCCCATTTCTGAGATGCAGGCTAGATGGGCCACACAGGTCTTCAAAGGTAAGGCTTTCTTTTTCTTTCATAGACTAGTTCATTGTTTACTAATTAAACAAATGCGGGTCTTTTTTCACCAGGCTGCATAAAGCTTCCTCCAGCAGCTGCTATGCTCAGAGATATCAAGTGTAAGCAGGAAGCCATGGCTAAAAGGTACACCATGAATCACCTTTATGGTTACCTGCTATACAAGTTTCATTTGTAACCAGATACAGGTGCTGGCCAGTAAATTAGAATATCATCAAAAGGTTGAAAATATTTCAGTAATTCCATTCAAAACGTGAAACTTGTACATTATATTCATGCAATGCACACAGACCAATGTATTTCCAATGTTCATTACATTTAAATTTGATATTCATAAGTGACAACTAATGAAAACTCCAAATTTGGTATCTCAAAAAATTAGAATATTCTGAAAAGGCTGAATATAGAAGACACCTGCTGCCACTCTAATCAGCTGATTTACTCAAAACACCTGCAAAGGCCTTTAAAAGGTCCCTCAGTCTTGTTTTGAAGGCACCACAATCATGGGGAAGACTTCTGACTTAACAGCTGTCCAAAAGACAATCATTGACACCTTGCACAAGGAGGGCAAGACACAAAAGGTGATTGCTAAAGAAGCTGGCTGTTCGCAGAGCTCTGTGTCCAAGCACATTAACAGACAGGCGAAGGGACGGAAAAAATGTGGTAGAAAAAAGTGTACAAGCTCTAGGGATAACCGCACCCTGCAGAGAATTGTGACGACAAACCCATTCAAAAATGTGGGGGAGATCCACAAAGAGTGGACTGCAGCTGGAGTCAGCGCTTCAAGAACCACCACGAGGAGACTCATGAAAGACATGGGATTCAGGTGTCGCATTCCGTGTGTCAAGCCACTCTTGAACATGAAACAGCGCAAGAAGCGTCTCGCCTGGGCCAAGGACAAAAAGGACTGGACTGATGCTGAGTGGTCCAAAGTTATGTTTTCTGATGAAAGCAAGTTCTGCATTTCCTTTGGAAATCAAGGACCCAGAGTCTGGAGGAAGAGCGGAGAAGCACAGAATCCACGTTGCATGAGGTCCAGTGTAAAGTTTCCACCGTCAGTGATGGTGTGGGGTGCCATGTCATCTGCCGGTGTTGGCCCACTCTGTTTCCTGAGGTCCAGGGTCAATGCAGCCGTCTACCAGGAAGTTTTAGAGCACTTCATGCTTCCTGCTGCTGACCAACTTTATGGGGATGCAGACTTCACCTTTCAACAGGACTTGGCACCTGCACACAGTGCCAAAACCACCAGCACCTGGTTCAAGGACCATGGTATCCCTGTCCTTGATTGGCCAGCAAACTCGCCTGACCTTAACCCCATAGAAAATCTATGGGGTATTGTGAAGCGGAGGATGCAATACGCTAGACCCAACAATGCAGAGGAGCTGAAGACGACTATCAGAGCAACCTGGGCTCTCATAACACCTGAGCAGTGCCACAGACTGATCGAGTCCATGCCACGCCGCATTACTGCAGTTATTGAGGCAAAAGGAGCCCCGACTAAGTATTGAGTGCTATACATGCACATTCTTTTCATGTTCATTCTTTTCAGTTGGCCAACATTAGAGAAACAAACATTTTTTCATTGGCCTTTAGAATATTCTAATTTTCTGAGATACCAGATTTGATGTTTTCATTGGTTGTCACCTATAAATATCAAAATTAAACGTAATAAACATCGGAAATACATTGGTCTGTGTGCATTGCATGAATATAATGTACAAGTTTCACGTTTTGAATGGAATTACTGAAATATTTTCAACCTTTTGATGATATTCTAATTTACTGGCCAGCACCTGTAATTGTCTACATGTTTTTAACTTTAATCCCACTATTAGATACGTCGCCAGTCCGAGACATACCATCCAAGTGGACTATGTTGACTACATGGACCAGATTGCAGAGTTAGTGGGAGTTCGTCCCAGAATCATGAGGATGCTGCTGACCGACCCTCAGCTGGGACTGAAAGTGCTGCTGGGTCCTAGCACCCCATACCAGTACCGCCTCAGAGGACCAGGAAAGTGGGCCGGAGCACGCCAGGCCATCTTCACCCAGTGGGAGAGAGTAGCTAAACCCTTGCAGACCAGGCTGTCTGATGAGCCCAAACCCAAGAAAGCTTCCAAGTGGCCTCTGATCATGTTCACCGCAGCTGTGGGCTTGTGGGCCTACCACCACAGGAACAACTTTCCAGCTTTCCTGCAGGATCCCACCGCTTTGCTGGACAACATTAGAGCATTTCTGCCTTCAGGGTGCAAATTTCCCTAGTGATGAATTCTGTCTGTATGCACAGATTAACTGATACATATGAAAACCAAACTGCTCTTTATCACAGAATATTTCAAAATGAATGCAACAAATGACTTTAGAGTTATCTTTATGAGACATCTTGCAGCAGAATGGAGCATGTTTATAGGGTGTACTCTGTCTTTTAGACCCTGAAATGTTTGATTTTACACAATTTCAATCAAAGTCTTGGTCTCTGCACACATTAGCATTTCTTTTGATTTGTATGTTTATAATCAGATGTCAGTGATAAACTCAAATGCATCTATTTCTAGTAGGCATGATCAAATTCTGTGTATATCACTATCTGTGGAACACATATGAGGTGCTCAGGGGCCTTCCAGTGCTTAAATCACTAAAAACCTCTCTAACTGGTAAACTGCAATAGTGTTACATTCTTTATGCTAAAAAAAATGGATGGCTAAGTTGAAATTTATCAAAAACAGGCCCAACAGCACCTCCTGGTGGCAGATATTTTCTAGTGTGAGGTGCATAAAGCATATGTGTGTACTGCAGTATTAAACAATAATCAATCCCACCTTCTAGTGGCAATTTTAAATAAGTTTTTCTGGATAAAGTCATTTACTGGACACTGGCTCAGTGTATCATACCAGAAGCATGTGATTTGAGATTCCAATCTGATATGTCATGAGACTCTTACGCCTTTGGGATGTTTGTGATCCAGTTTCACTGTTTGGTAGCTTTTAAATGAAGCAGTGAGTTAACAATGAAATATTGCAGGGGCAAACTCTCAGACATACAAAAAAGTAGAAAGGAATAGTACTGATATAGTATTGTTTCGTACAGTTTTATCACATAAAATTATATTTCCTGCAGTTAGTTTTAACCAAATCTGAGCCAAAAAGATTTTGGAAGAATCATGCTATAAACTTCGCATTTACTAGCCTGACAGGCCATCCTATACAGGTGCTGGCCAGTAAATTAGAATATCATCAAAAGGTTGAAAATATTTCAGTAATTCCATTCAAAACGTGAAACTTGTACATTATATTCATGCAATGCACACAGACCAATGTATTTCCAATGTTCATTACATTTAAATTTGATATTCATAAGTGACAACTAATGAAAACTCCAAATTTGGTATCTCAAAAAATTAGAATATTCTGAAAAGGCTGAATATAGAAGACACCTGCTGCCACTCTAATCAGCTGATTTACTCAAAACACCTGCAAAGGCCTTTAAAAGGTCCCTCAGTCTTGTTTTGAAGGCACCACAATCATGGGGAAGACTTCTGACTTAACAGCTGTCCAAAAGACAATCATTGACACCTTGCACAAGGAGGGCAAGACACAAAAGGTGATTGCTAAAGAAGCTGGCTGTTCGCAGAGCTCTGTGTCCAAGCACATTAACAGACAGGCGAAGGGACGGAAAAAATGTGGTAGAAAAAAGTGTACAAGCTCTAGGGATAACCGCACCCTGCAGAGAATTGTGACGACAAACCCATTCAAAAATGTGGGGGAGATCCACAAAGAGTGGACTGCAGCTGGAGTCAGCGCTTCAAGAACCACCACGAGGAGACTCATGAAAGACATGGGATTCAGGTGTCGCATTCCGTGTGTCAAGCCACTCTTGAACATGAAACAGCGCAAGAAGCGTCTCGCCTGGGCCAAGGACAAAAAGGACTGGACTGATGCTGAGTGGTCCAAAGTTATGTTTTCTGATGAAAGCAAGTTCTGCATTTCCTTTGGAAATCAAGGACCCAGAGTCTGGAGGAAGAGCGGAGAAGCACAGAATCCACGTTGCATGAGGTCCAGTGTAAAGTTTCCACCGTCAGTGATGGTGTGGGGTGCCATGTCATCTGCCGGTGTTGGCCCACTCTGTTTCCTGAGGTCCAGGGTCAATGCAGCCGTCTACCAGGAAGTTTTAGAGCACTTCATGCTTCCTGCTGCTGACCAACTTTATGGGGATGCAGACTTCACCTTTCAACAGGACTTGGCACCTGCACACAGTGCCAAAACCACCAGCACCTGGTTCAAGGACCATGGTATCCCTGTCCTTGATTGGCCAGCAAACTCGCCTGACCTTAACCCCATAGAAAATCTATGGGGTATTGTGAAGCGGAGGATGCAATACGCTAGACCCAACAATGCAGAGGAGCTGAAGACGACTATCAGAGCAACCTGGGCTCTCATAACACCTGAGCAGTGCCACAGACTGATCGAGTCCATGCCACGCCGCATTACTGCAGTTATTGAGGCAAAAGGAGCCCCGACTAAGTATTGAGTGCTATACATGCACATTCTTTTCATGTTCATTCTTTTCAGTTGGCCAACATTAGAGAAACAAACATTTTTTCATTGGCCTTTAGAATATTCTAATTTTCTGAGATACCAGATTTGATGTTTTCATTGGTTGTCACCTATAAATATCAAAATTAAACGTAATAAACATCGGAAATACATTGGTCTGTGTGCATTGCATGAATATAATGTACAAGTTTCACGTTTTGAATGGAATTACTGAAATATTTTCAACCTTTTGATGATATTCTAATTTACTGGCCAGCACCTGTATAAGTGAACTTTTAGTCTGGCCACGACCCATAGACAGAGCTCAGTCGTGGGGCAGAACCTACGGTTGTCTTTCAAACTATCTCCACATGCTATTGTTCAACAAACAAACGTGACATACTCACTGCTACGGATGTCAGTCAATGAAGCAGGCCACCATACACCGTCAAAAAATACACAAATATTTATTTTTTAAAATAAAGAACTTAAGCACTTCTAGCAAAGAAAAGCCCAAGTCTAAATCATCCAAAGTTGATGCTGAAGCTGTTTCAAATGAGCCGTTGCCATCTTAGTTGTTCCGCTCCGTTGCATCACCCTGCCAGGAGCTTTACAGTTGCCTAAGGTGTGTAAAAGGTAGCTATCCTCTGTAGGCGTGGACTGAATTGACACGGGTCGGGAAATGGTTGGGCTTGCTAAGTCGAGGCTTGGCCGAATCTTCCCGTAGCTTTGTCGACCCAAAGCCACTACCTGGCACCAGCAATGCATCCTGCCCACCAAACCGAAAGAGAGCTGTGATTGGCATAATACGAAACTATTTGGGGCAATGGTAGACCAGCTGAGGCTACAACGGACTGTGGCTAGACCAAATGGCACAGCAAAATCATTATGCTTTTGTAGCGATTTTGTAACAGCCCTCTTATGAGAGGCAGCCATTAGGCCAGTAGTCCTCAAAAGGCAGCTCGCGGGCCCCCTCTTTGTGGCCCTCAAACTCTGTGCGCAAACCCCCCACCCAGCAGCTGTGTGAGAGCAGCGAAATAAATTGAAAATAAATTCTTCAAAATTGCTGCTCCTGGTCAAAAGGTTGTGCGCCCATATTTTGGAAACTTTTAGTTATTACGAAGGGAAAATTCCTGTTACGGGTTCGACAATGGTCTCTGGTCTGGAATGTCCCCTTCCTAACCCTAACCCTCTGACAATTTGTCTCTGGTGAGGTTGGGAGGTTACCAAGTTTAAATTTGTAAAAGAGATTTATAAAGTCTCAATAACGCACCCAGTTATAACCCTGTGAGACTGTTTAAAATTTGTAATTAATTATTTTAATGTGTGATTGTGGGTAAAAGTTGGGGTTGGGCGTCCTGGCTTGTCTTGAATACAAAAAATGAGGTCCTCAAGGAAAAGATCGGGACCCACGTATGTGCATATGCTACAGTGTAGCTTCTGCATTTGACCTCACAAACAGTATACCTTTTGGAGGTAGACTTGGATAACAAAAGGGCAGAAACAATAAGCCTCTGCAAAAGTAAAACAGACCATAAACTGAACCGAAACAGTAATGTGAACAGTTTGAGCTGTTTCTTCTCTGCCGAGGAGGTCTGTGTTTTACCTGTTAAGTGTAGTAAGTTCAGACCAGAAAGACTCCAAAGCTCATAGACAAGAGACTTCCAGAAGAAAATGAAAGGATTTCCTCTAAACTTCAAACTCAGCGCCGCTTGTGAACTCCCGGTAGACCCCGGAACAACATCTCGTCCACGCGTGACTTCTCAGCTTCGGGTTGCCAGGTTTAGAAAAAAACTGTAAAAACAGTACTACAGGCGTGTTAAGAAATGCACATGATTGTTGAAGAATGTTTAACTTAACATTTGGTTGGCCTTTCAATTTAAATATTTCTAGCAATGAAATTAAAGAACAACACCGACAAAACTGACCCTACTTTTAGTGAGAGTGAGTTTACTGACCTTATGTCTTGATTATAAATTAGTGCAGTCATGCTAGTAAGCAGAGGTTTGGACTCGAGTCACATGACTTGGACTCGAGTCAGAGTCACTATTTTAATGACTTCTGACTTGAGTTGATAAAATCTGTAAAGACTTACGACTTGACTCGGACTTGAATGCCAATGACTTGTAACTTGAATCGACTTGTATCTGTTGACTTGATGATGACTTGAACACATTTGATATTTTAGCATAAAGTGGCATGACATGGACAAAAATCATAAATCATTTTTCGTTCTGGGTTTGATATTGTACTGCTAAATGCGGCAGCACTTTGTTTATAATCAGTTTCAGTTGCACTTCCTGCTCGTTTGAGCAAATAAATGACGCTTTAAGCTTTATTTCTGGGATTTATTTATTATCATTGTCATTAAATTGAAGTTGGACAGATGACTTGATTATGACTTGAAAATTAAAAGTTAAGGGCTTGGACTCGACTTGGACTTGGTTGTCTTTGACTTGGACTTGAGTTGAGACTTGACTGGAAAGACTTGTGACTCACTTGTGACTTGCGAAGCAGTGACATGGTCACACCTCTGCTAGTAAGTGGTTTAGAATGAAAACATCACATCAATAAATCATTGATCAATGGATTTGGGGTACAGATTATCTCAGAGCAATACTGGATGTAACACACAAGAACCATTCATCTGTATCCCAAAGTCCTCTTGATATCTGAAGAAAAAATATCATTATTGTGTGTGTGTGTGTGGGGGGGTGGGTGGGGGGGGGCAGAATAATTAATTATTTGCCCTGAGAAAATCACATTAAAATTAATAATGGGAGTAATGCAATGTAATAAATGTTTTCATGTTTCATAACCAAGTAAAAACAACAATAGATTAAAACTATTTTGCGCACAAACAGACATTATTTATATAGTTGTCACAGCTTTGATGTCCATTTGAAATGCCACAATTGTTTTAAAATAATCTTCAAATTTAAACATATAAAACTACTGTGGAAAAAATGTATGTCTTTGATTGAAAGCATCAACCAACCTCCTGTCTACATAGTCTTTATAAGATCTTACCTCACTTTACTGTTGGATTAAATCGGAATTTCAAAAAAATAACTTTTTAGATCATAATTATTTTTGTTTTAGATTATTTTTAGTTATTTTCCCCCTTTTTTGTAGCTCTGTTTCAAATTCAGCTGAAAAGTTCTGTAAGACATGGAAACACAGTAAAAAAATGTTCTCAATTGAACTTATTTAATGATTCTTAAATATCACAAAATAAGTATTTCTTGCTGGTCAAGAGAAAATACTCGACAAATAATGACGCTTTCAAGGGGGATGATAGACGTTAAATCTGGCAACCAGCGGCAGCCATCTTTGATTGTGCGACAGGCCGTGGCGCAAGCGGGGCCTCACTCAACTAAAAACGGTCTGGCACGAGATTACGGAGCCACGGGACAACCGGCTCCTCTAGCGAGGACCGAAAGGACGAGGACAAACTTCTGGCTTAAAACGTTGGAAGAGACGCAAAATATACCGACAGGGTTCACGTGGACAACTGTTTGTTGGCAGCCAGCGAGAAAAGCTACCCAACGTTAGCCGAAGTGGGTTAGCAGGTTAGCCAGCTTTTGTAATCCGCCGGCCAGACAAACACACGTCCACTTCAGTCCAGACACAAACCGGACTTCAAGCGAGGTTACACACCACCGCGAAGAAGGGCACCGGCGCTGGCAGGTGAGTCTGTTGTGTGTGTTTTTGTCCGGTTACTGGCACTTTGTTGCTGTTATACACACACACACACACACACGACGTTAGCTGGTGAAGGGCTGGAAGTGAACGTGATGGCGACTCGTGAGAAACGAAACTACTTTAAACGAATGCAAACGGACGGCCTGCTCCTCCTGCAGCACAACCATTAACATAGCACGACTGAAGCCGTGTAGCTGGGGATGTTCAAGCGGTGGCGTTTTGCCGTGTGGTCTTTGTTCAAACTAACGTGGTATTTGAGTCCGGTTTAGTTGAGTTCCGGGCGAAGAGGGCCTCTACTCTCCTGCCGGCGTGAGCCACCGACCCATCAGTACCCTGATTCATATAGAGGATTGGCCTGTAGACTCATCAGTTGCTGTGATTTATGAGTATCGCTTTGATTTTTCAGAAAATGATGCAAAATGACCACAGTCTGTGTGGATGTGCACACGAACGAGTTTGGTGATTAGACTGTTGAATAAGACTGTGTTTTATGAACATCTTAATTTAGGAGATTAATTGCCTCCGTGTGTTCTGCTCAAACATCATGGGATTGGTATCCAGAAGGCTGTGTATAAATTGATCGGGGCAGGATTTATTGACTGACCAGTCATCGCTGGTCCCATATGGTTGACTGGAAAGGGAAGTGTCTTTGATGGACATTGATTTACAAAGCACATGCTATTGGGTTTTAATTTAAACTTCCCTTGCAAATAATCAAGACCGCTTTTGTTTAATTTTCAACACCTAAACACGTTCACATACTTTTTGTCTTTGCTTATGAAACTGCGTTCTATTATTAGTAGCCTGGCATTAGTACACCACTTCAATTAATACGAATGGATAAATGCAATAAAATGTCTGACAAAGTCTATTGCAAATATTCTATTCAAAATTTATTCTAATTTGTCATTAAACACTGATTCAAACCAGTCATTCAGTGAATTTACTGTAATCTGTTGGGTCATTTTCATGTATTGCGCTAAACAAAGATGTAGGGTACATAATTGTGTTCATCCCCTGAGTCAGCCTGAGTCTGAAGGGCTAGAAGTGGACTTGTGTTCCAAAAGTGAATCATAATTGCATATTGAGGGTTTCCACTTCTTCTTCCCTCCTTAACATTTGTAAAAGAAGTAAGTGCATCTCTTAGGCCCTGTCCACACGTAGCCGGGGATCTGCCCGTTTTGGCCTGTCATCCACACGAAAACTGAGTTTTTTTCCACACGAAAACGGATCTTTTTGAAAACTCCGGCCAAAGTGAATTTCTGCGTTTTCTCCGTTTTGGGTGTCTGCGTGTGGACAGACAAAACCGAAGTTTTAAGGTCCGCAACGTCACTTTCCGCGACAAAAAATGCGATTTTGCCCCCCAAAAAAATCTTCGATTTTTTAAGAAAAATTCGAGTTTCGGTTCGATTTTTTTCCCCAATGCACTTAAAAAATGGCTGCAGACATCAGATATAGTGTCAAAAGTGCAACTTTATTGCTATGATTGTCCTCAAGAGTTAAAATGTGTAGAATCCCAAAACAAAAAGTAAATGAGGCTCTGTCATTCAACAATTTCAAGCTTTAACCCAGGTTTAAACAAAAGTGCAACAGCTTCACAGTAGCTTAAATTTTCTGTTCAAGAAAACACATTAATAAAAATTTTGTAACATATAAAATTACCAAAAAAATAAAAAATCTCTGTATAGTGTGAATACAAAAATGAAACAAGCCTGTGGCAGACATATAGCCTGCTCAAAGAATGAACAAATCTGTAAACGTTTATAACAACAAAATATGTGCTTGTTAGATCTCTGAAAAACTGTGCATGCTCATTCTAAACATTTTTTGCAAGAAAGATGAGCCTGTCCACAACATCTGGCTTAAGGCAGGCCCGGTTGCAGGTAACTATTCCTCCACCCACACTAAATACCCTCTCTGAGGGGGCACTAGTAGCTGGAACAGAAATATATTTTTTAGCCAGTAAGCTTAGCCTTGGAAAGTTGGGCTGATGAAGCTTCCACCATTCAAGAGGATCTGTGTCTGGCTCAGTGTCTGGAATAAGTAAATACGTCGCAAGCTCAGTCTCAATTTTTGTTTTTTCAGATTGTGGGTGTAGCGTGGTGGATGGTGCAGATTTTTTAAAGAAGGCACCAAGAGTCATTTTCTTTTTTGGCGGGGTGTTCTCTTGAACAGCTGAGGGACCAGCTTCCTCTGTGGTAGAGTTGCAGAGGGCAGAGATCTCAGACACCGCTCTTTTTTTGACAACTTCCAGTTTGCTTGCATCAATGTAGGTTGTACGGAACCTCGGGTCTAAAAGTGAGGCCATGTCCAAAAGTTCCTCTTTCTCCAAATCACAGTATTTACTTTCAAGGTAACGCATGATGTTAGCTTTGATTGTTTTTGTTAGCTCCAAATCTTCCTCCTCTGGCAGGAGGAGACTTGTTTTAAACAAATGCAGCACCGGTTTGATGCATGACACACTGACATATGACTCCCCTGACAGCGCATCAGTGAAGTCCTGGAGAGGTTTCACTGCTTTGTTGGTAGCTTCCAATACTTCCAAATCTTGCCACGTGGGAACAAGATGACGCGTTTTCTTGTCTGCACCCAGGACACGAGTTATTGCCTTCTCTTGCTCAAGAAAGCGCTCAATCATCTTTTGACGAGACCCCCAACGAGTTGGGGATTCTGAGATCAAAAGATGCTGGGGAAGTCCAAGCTCAGCCTGCACCTCTGTCATGTCTCGCCTTATTTTCCAGCTGTAGGAGAAGGCAGATACAGCTTTTTTGCAGACCCCTATGGCCCGATCGATCCTTGGATCCTTCACACCATTCTCTGAAATAAATGTGAAGACATTAAGTGTATTTTTTGTCACGCCAAGCTTAAACTGCATTACAATTGTTTTGTACTTTTATCACAATTTTAATAGCTGTAACACAGTTTAATGCATAATGCAGATTAAGGAAAAGTCAGGTTTATTTATGTAACCCAGTCTGTGTGTAAACCAGTTTAAATATATACCATATTCTGGCTATTAAATTACAAGCAAACAGTGCTTTACAATGTACAAGTATGTGCACCTATTTATTTTTACACCAACTCTCACCTATAGCGTTGTGGAGTCTGTGGCCAAAACACTGCAGGCTGGGCCAGTTGTTGTCCTTAAGAGCTTTTATGATGTTGGTGCCACTATCAGTTGTCATGCAGACGAGTCGTTCCTCCGAAAGTCCCCAGGAGCTGAGAGCGTCTTTTAAGCCATGGGCAATTATTTCACCAGTGTGGTTGTCGGGGAAGTACGCTGTCTGAAGGCAGATGCTGCGCAGAGTCCAACTAGTGTTGATGTAGTGAGCCGTCAGACTCAGATATGGCTGCATCGTCCGGCTGGACCACAGGTCTGTTGTGGCTGAGTAGAACTGCATCTCCTCCAGCTCACTGCGGATCTTTTCCCGGGTTGTATTGTACAGGTGAGGCAGCGCTACATCGGCGAAATACTTGCGACTGGGGACAACGTACCTCGCATCCAATACTTTCAGCAAGTGATTAAAGCCTCGCTTTTCGACAGAGTAAATTGGCAGCATGTCTGTGGCAATATAAAAAGTGACCGCCTCTGTAATCGCTTTCCATCGCGCTCCGTTCTTTTCATAAGGTACACAGTTTGTAAAGCTCTCAGGAAGTGTAGTCTGCTTTTTAGCAGGTGTGCTAGAGGAGCCGCTGTCGCTGCGGAGCCGGCTGCACTTCTCCCATTCTTCGGGATGTTTATTCCTCAGGTGCTGAAAAAGATTTGTTGTACTGCTGCTTCCAGTAGCAACAGTTTTGAAGCATATTTTGCAGCAAGGCTTCGTCTGCTGGATGAAAACCAAACCAGTTCCAAATTACGGAATTACGTGTGCCTTTCTTTGGAAGTAGTTCTCTGCTACACGCTGCCGCATCCATGTTGTTTTGACTGTGTAGGCAGAGGCGGGCGGCGGCTGGCTCATATCGCGCTACGGCAACAAAACGCGGAAAAGTCCGAAAAAAACTTTAGTGTCAAAAAATTCGAGTTTGCAAAATAAAAATCGTTTTAAACTACAAAATCGATAAATAGATTAAATCGATTTTTTTGCCCAGCCCTAATCACGTGTACGACCTATGTTTACACTAGCCGACAGCATGGATGCCCTCAGAGCTGCGCTCGCTTTATCAATTGTCCAAGCGCTTTTTGCTTGTTTGTTTTTGCAAGCGGAACTACTGCTCCTTGCGGAAGACCACAGACGAAGGACGAGGTTAAGAACGGGGGAAGTACTGCCGCCTACAGGTCTGGCATGTCCTTAACAACGTATTTATCCGGGTACGTGTGGAAAGTTTCTTTTTAAAACGAGGTGGTGTGGATGCAAGTTTTTGGAGGGGCACATATTCGTTTTTTAAAAAACCCGGCTACGTGTGGACTAGGCCTTAATTATATTTTTGCTGTAATTGGCAAAAGGAATGCAGGATTCAATATTTCATATTGCATCAGTAAAATATGAAATAAACTTTAATGGCCAGATAGTTAAGGCGTTATTTGATGAAAACAGGAAATTTATTTTGTTTTTCCATTTATAAATTTACGTCAACAAAAAGTGAGTAGGTCCTTACCAGATGTTAGTGAAGACCCATTGAAATTAAAGTGCTGAGATTAGAGCTGGGCGATATGACGATTTTAGACCGTTTTACGATCTACACATCTGACAGTCTGTCATTTTTGAGAGACCTTTTTTATCACGATTCACAGCTCTGCTGTTGAATTTCTGCCTCTGAATGAAAATGGAACTTACCCCAGGTGAATGACACGCCTTTGTTTGACCCTTAACCAATCAGAGTGAGTCATAGTAATGCATTAGTGCCCCGCTTGTTTTCACCTGTGTGTGAACAAACATGGCTTCGGCCGCGGCTGAGCGACAACGAGGTTTTCGTTCCGAAGAGGAACGCAGGGTTTCCTTAGCGCGCGGCGCTAACAACTTAGTGACGTGACATGTCTCGGAGAAAGCGTAAAAACACGTTGGACGCTTCTTCTGAAGCAGGAAAATAACACCGCTTCTTAAGCAGAGCACAACGTCGCCTTGGCTCGTCCACCCTCTGCCGAGCCGGTGTCGGTACCGGACTGAGCTCTGTCACTGGGTCGTTGGAGATGCCCCGTGACTGCCTGATGGAAAACCAGCGGGTTTCATCAGTCTCGTAGTTTCTTGTTTTTGCTGGGACCCCCTGTATTTTACCGCTCCCTCCTGCAGTCTTCCCCGATTAACATTTAAAATGATTCTGTTAACTCCGTGTATCAATAGAAACAATCTCTGCCTCTGCCAGCTGCAGTAAATGTAGTTTCCAAATAATAAGAGGTGCATTTATCTGTTTATCTCCTTTCATCCACATTAGTGATATTTTCAGCACCAGAACAGTGAAGCAAAGAAAGAATCCTGAGTTTGTTAGTAATTTTATTTATTAGGTGCATCTAACCTGTTCTAATTTTCTCTGAAATGAGATCAAATCAGTGCTTCTATGGGTTGTCTCCAATCTGCACTGGAATATTTTTACTTTATTTAGAGACTTGTTGCAGAAAATATTCAGAATGCGCAGTTTTTTGCTACCACAAGCGATCTCTGGTCCAGCCGCACATCAGAGCCTTATTTGAGCTTAACTATCCACTACATGAGCAATTGGGAGCTACATAGTATTTTGAACAAGTTAATGTTTGCACAATACGTTTGCAATTGACATGTTTGCGCTTTAAATATGTTTACGATTTTAATTTATGTTAAGTTACTTGAAAAACGAGAAAAACTGATTTTTGTAATTGTTTCTCTCAGGGCTTTTATCATCTGGTGTGAGTTTAAAATATAAGTGTTTTAGCACTGTACTGATTATCCCTATTATGAATAAATGTTTATTTATTCAATGTTTCTCTTCTTTAATACGCAATTGAAGTTATGCTATTCATGGATAAAAAATCGTGATAAAATCGAAATCGTGATAAAATATTGGAAAAATCATGATATTCTATTTTTGCCATATCGCCCAGCCCTAGCTGAGATGCCATTGTGCACTGTGATGAAGTAGTCCAAAAGTGCTCAGACTTGATTGACCCCCTCTGAGTGAAGGGCACATCCGCGCTAGTTAATTTTGATCAGGATTTTATTGGCTCTGAACAAGCTATGTAGTTGTTGGTTATAAAACAAAGAACAAGGATTCCTCTTTTGGGTTGGAATATGCATCTTAACTGTTATTTACCTGTTTTCTTTCAGCAGTTTTTTTGTTTTTTGTTTGTTTTTGCATCCTAAATGCATAAGTTTTAGGATCTCTGATCAAATATTGCAGTGTTAAGCCCCAGTTATTTTTCTGCTGACCTTACAAAAAAGTAAAATACAGTTAGAGAGGATGTATTTAATACATGCTTTTCTAATATACTGTTCCCCTTCCAAGTGCTGCTGTCGTTAGGTTTGTTTGTGCTTTAATGTTCCTGCCTCTAACATGTAAATTGGATGTGGACATCCACGATTGATCATCAAACAACTTTTAATTAACTTTGTAACCTGTTAATACAAATGCAACAGTCAAATGTAAGCACCTAAAACAAATTGTACACAAAAATGACTTGTGTTTACGAGAGGCATGATGGCAAGGTTGAAGCGGTTCATCTTCCAACCTTAACTCAGGAAATGGAAAACACACCAAGGTACTCCTCTGTAGCATGGCTGGTCCACACGTCAGCAGTCAGAGACCATTGACAGCTCTGAGGGTCTGCTTTATTGTAAAGATAAATATATATTAATGTTTGTTTATTTACCAAATTAATAATTCTGTTATATCAAATAAAGTAGGTTATGATTGAACACTGTGACAGGGTGTGCGTCCTGTTACCCCCAAATTCCACTACCTCCGCTCCGCCCCCGCCTTCCGCAGCCGCTCGCTTCCGAACTCAATTTTTACCGGTACCCGCTCTACAACGGCTCCGCTCTGGTGCGGAGACCTGAGGTGGGCAAACAAGCATGCGCGGGATTTTCGAGATCTTGCGATACAGTCCGAGCAATAAACGCGGAAGTTGGATCCAAACACCGGTTGTGTGGGAGAAGCATCGAAACGAACTGTTTAATCTGCCCATCATTTGTGTAGAGAGATCAGCAGTGTTTGGATCAACAAAGTGTGACTACTTTGATGGTGGAAACTGTATTTATGGCTTACTTTTGTGCATTTAAACTTCAGCCGCCATTGATAGTTGTTAAAAGTTAAACCTGTGCATATGAAACAAAAAACGCCTTTTTTTTTATCAATTTATTGTGAAAAACGGAAGTTGTGCTTGCTCCTTTTCCTGTTGGGCGGTTGTGATTTCTGTCCATTTACTGCGGAGGTGCTCCGGCGTCCGGCAAAAATAGAATCAATCCTATTTTTGCCGGACGCCGGAACAGAGGGCGGTGCACTGCGCCGCACGGCCGCAATAGTGGAATTGCTCTGATTGACTACAACGGGACAGATTTTGCTCCGGCGTTCGTGTCGGAGCGGAGCGGAGGTAGTGGAATTTGGGGGTTACTGTATCCCGATTGATCTATGCCCTGGCTACTTGGCTACGGGGATATCCCTTTGGCTGATTGGTTAGCGCACACGGCCCTCACCCAGGAGTCTGAGGATCGAATCTTTCCCGGGCCCTCGTTTCGCCACCTTGCCACAACACAAAGAAAATTTATTATGCTCTAAAAAATGTTATTTTCTTAACTCATTCACTGCCAGCGTTTCTCACCGTTTTTACTGTGTTTTTTTTTTAAGTCACACAACATTGCACGCTAGGATGATGTCAACGCCAAAACAAAGCGGAAACTCACCTCTTACATCAGGAAGAATCCGTGCGTTTCGAGCGTTATCCATTCTTTCATAATCTGTTGTTCAATTGTGATCGGCAGGAGCTTTTCCGGTTCGCTCCTCACTTTTTTTACAGCAGCGGCCCGAAACGATCTCCTAACACATGGATTTTCTGCTTCCTGATCACGTGATGTGTGACACATGCGGATGAAGATCGGCTTTAGAGCTGAGAAGTTTGTTCTCAGGGTGCGGAGGCTCGTTCCGACGCCCACACACTTAAAAAAATGCAAATGACGACTTTATTGGCAGTGAACGAGTTAATTGTTCAGTCAGCAGCCTTTTTATTTTATCATAAAATGCATTATATTCTGTTGATTAGGGCTGCAACAAACGATTATTTGGATAATCGATTAATCGGATGGGGTCTCGACACGATTAATCGATTAATCGGATTACATGGGGAAATTTTTAAAAACTGCTAGGGAAACGTTATTTCTCTCCTTCCTTCACTTTATTTAACACAACATTATTAGAAAACAGTTCAATAGCAGAAAAACAACATGCCATCACCTAAATTGTCTTATAAGGTGTATAGACAGAGACCCTAAGCTACATCTATCTGTGACCTAAAATGCTTGGTCCAAGTTAAACAGCTTAAGGGCAATTCTCATCTGTTTTGTTTGATCTCATCTGTTGACATTTATTTTAAATGTAATTAAACATAGGCTGTGAATTAATCAAAATTGATCACTATTTCCAAAAATGACTGAAAAAATACCAAATAAAACAAAAGTAAATGAATGCCATTCTCCTTGCGATGATGCCCTGGGCAACTGCCATAAAGTCACATCAAGAAATGCTGCTGATCATTCCAATGATCCCAAATAGACTCACATTAGGCCACATGAAAGCAACTGAACCCAAAAATATATTAACCAGTATATAACTGCACTCTCACACAACACGCCTGCAGCAACAGTTAGGACTCCTCCCTCCCTTTTAAAAGGGTTTTTGCTTCCGAGGACATTGTGGTTGTAAAACCACATGCTAGTAGTCTGGCCCCGGTGTGATCAACCAGTTTCTGCGGGAATGTGACGGCGGAACCAGGGCCAGATTAACACTTTGTTGTACCCTGTTCAACAATATTCAAGGGCTCCATCATCACGACCCGAGGATCACCATAATGTGGTCACATACAGAATATTTTACTGTAATATGCAGTAAATATACTCAATACTTGAATGCCTGACAACACATAACCCACCCAGAGTAACCTTTGACCCACCTCGTGTGGACTGACCAATGAGGAGAGGGTCTTAACTTGAGGCCCTCTCTTCATTGGTCAGTCTGCATGAGACTGACTCTCAACTGACGTTCAGTCGTAGGCAGCAAAGCGTCTCTGTGCAGCGCAAAAGCCCGGGTGGACAGTTTGTTTAATGTAGGGTGACCATATTTCCATTTCCAAACAAGAGGACAGGGGATCTGTGCCTATGACGTCACACTATGGCAACGCCACACAAACCATGTTGGGACCCATTTTTTGTAAGAACTAAATTAATATCAGATTCTGCCAATAAAAGGGCTCTAAAACAATTCATATGTAAATATTTTGCATATTTAATGCAAAATCTCATTTTTATGCTTTAGTGCTGCAACAAGGTTTTATTAATAATAAATTATTATACCTTTTGTTTTACTACAGCATCGGTAAGCTTCCTGTGCACAGATTATTAAGGATGCTTGTTTCAGCTGTGAGATTAGACGATAGGATCAATGATAAAATAAGTTGTCACACACTCCATGGAAACTTTCAGATAATCCACAAATAGTGGCTTTCAAATGGTTTTGTTACTTTTTGCAAGTTTAGAAAAGAAGCAGATGAGACAGCATGTCTGATAATTTAGTTTTTCATCTGATAATATTAGAACATGTCAGTAATGTCTGAGGGGCTTTTATAAACACCATATAACTAACACTACTGGAGAGGGTATGAATTACACAGAGGCTTCTGGGGAGACCAGTTATGGGGGGGGGGGGGGGGATATGGGGGGGAGACATTTTGCCTTGGCCCCCAAAATGTCTTGAAACGGCCCTGGGTGTGTGACTGAGTTTTGAAGGTGATCTGAATTGTATCAGATGTATAACTATGACATGTGTATAACTTATTGTTTTTTACTGGTAAAAACGTGTAGTGGAGATAAATCTACCTACATTTTACTTTGTTTTCTTGTTTTTATTTAACTATTTTCCTGTCCTGTCTGTCTCTCATCTTCCTGCATCTCCTCATAATTCTCCAGAAAATCTGTTGCCTGGATTCTTACTTTTTCACCTCATCAGTTACTTTTGAGCAGATCAAAGGGATCTCCTGACCGCAAAGCGGAGAGCGCGTTTTCGATGCTGCGTGAGGTGAAATCACCACAGCACAGGTGATGAGCTCCGCAGCAGAGCGCTTCAGGCACAAATAAGACAGAAAATAGAGAACATGTGCAGACAAGAACGATCGTGTGCTAATTATAGTTTTTTGGTTGCGCCACTTTGAGAATGGACCGTGCGCTGGAAGCAGCTGCCTGGATCGCTGTGCAACAATGCGGAACCGGTTCGCAGCAGCGCAAGTCTGCAGGCTCTCCCTCGCGCTGATCTGCGGCTCTCCCTCGCGCTGATCTGCGGCTCTCCCTCGCGCTGATCTGACTTGCTCTGGTCTGCGCGCAACGGTGGGCGGGAAGGGGGGGGGGGGGGGGGTGCGCTTTTGGAAGAGTTGTGCGACACAACGAATCGATGACGCAATTCGTTGCCAACGCTTTTAGTAATCGATTTTCATCGAATTCATCGATTCGTTGTTGCAGCCCTACTGTTGATTTTATTTGTGTCCATATCGTTGCTCGCACACACACACCTTAAAGGTTGTTTCATATTTATTTTCGTCGCCGATGGGCTCCTATGAAAAGAGTTTCACTTTGCAGAGTTTGCAATCTACGTGCCCTTTCTTTTGTCTTTAATGCTCCGAAACCTTTGAGCTAAGTTTCCGACGCCCAGGGATGTGTCGAGGCATTTTTAGGGCTGAGGCAAAATAGACCCCTGCCAGATGTTTTAAGTTGAGGTGCTATTTTTTTTTCATATTAGACTTTTTTATATTTGCAATAAAGTGTAAAAGTGAAGAATTTATGGTATTTATTACTTGATTGTTCAAGCTATCTCACATAAGTGCTCTGTTTGTTAACAGAATTGTTAAATGTTAATTTAAAGGTTATTAAATGAGGAACATTCTGTATCTGTTTCTTGGTTTTCTTCTTTTTTTATGTATCAAATATCGGATCGGGACTCTTATCGGCAGATTCTCAAATTCAAATGACTCTGACTCAAGGGCAACAAACCTGATCAGGACATCCTATTCTTCTAAGTCTGTGTATTTTCTGCTTTAGTGTTCAGACGTTCACAGGTTTAGTCACACTGCTCCTAAGAGCTGTCAGCTCCCTGCACTCATCAGTATACACACCAACAACAACTTCACAGGCGCTGTTACACCACTGTTAATAGTTGACCTTTTTTGTCATTAGACATCCGTATGTCCATCTCTCTGTCCTTAATAGTGTTCATTTTGTTTTCCCTACAAATTGTTGCCTCCAGAACATCTAAAGCACCATCTGACTTCATTCATCTCACTTGTTAGCAGTTTGTTTTCATGATGCCTCAAATAGAAATGCACATTCTCTTACTGTGAAATTATTTAAAGTGTTATCGAGACATGACACACTTTTCAGACTGCAGTGGTTTCTTTTACTATTTACTAGTATTGAATAACCCCAGATCTTGTTTTTCTCCCCTCTTTTTCCAGGAGGCTGGTTCTTGGGGCGAGGCCAAAGGACCAGACTCGATGAGTTTCCAGCGAAATGTCAGAGAAGTCAGGGCAGAGCACCAAGGCAAAGGATGGCAAAACAAAATATGCAACCCTTAGCCTTTTCAACACCTACAAGGGCAAATCTCTGGAAACCCAGAAAACTGCTGGTAAGACTCAAATGTTAATACAAGGGATGTTCTATATTATTGACTGATATTAGCATTGAAATGTAATATCGGAAATTATTGGTATCGGTTTTTACGTCTTTAACTACTCTACTTTTATATACCAGATACATATCAAACTCTTCGTCTTTAGCTCCTCTCTCAAATTGTCAAAATAAAACCGATCTGAAGTTTTGTTTTTGAGATGTTTTCCTTTTATTTGGCATAACCTGTGAATAATAAAAATTTTGGCCTGTGTAGTGAGAATCCACTGTCCTAACAGCATGTAGCTATGTGTTGCTAGCAGCTAGCAAACCACTAAAACAAACACAAGAATCTTCACCCAGGGCTTGCTTTTCCTAATAGAAGATCTTTATAAATGGTTGGTCACCATAGCTACAATATACAGAAACTGAAAAAAATACATGCCTATTACACACATCTTAGCATCGCGCTTAGCAATTAGCCTAGCTTAGCATATGTATGCTCACGCTAACTTTAACATGCGCCCAAACAATCCCTCAATGCATTGATGGTTACAAAGACAAATGTTCTCCAAGGCACGAACATACAGGGAGTGCAGAATTATTAGGCAAATTAGTAATTTGTCCACATCATCCTCTTCATGCATGTTGTCTTACTCCAAGCTGTATAGGCTCGAAAGCCTACTACCAATTAAGCATATTAGGTGATGTACATCTCTGTAATGAGAAGGGGTGTGGTCTAATGACATCAACACCCTATATCAGGTGTGCATAATTATTAGGCAACTTCCTTTACTTTGGCAAAATGGGTCAAAAGAAGGACTTGACAGGCTCAGAAAAGTCAAAAATAGTGAGATATCTTGCAGAGGGATGCAGCAGTCTTAAAATTGTAAAGCTTCTGAAGCGTGATCATCGAACAATCAAGCGTTTCATTCAAAATAGTCAACAGGGTCGCAAGAAGTGTGTGGACAAACCAAGGCGCAAAATAACTGCCCATGAACTGAGAAAAGTCAAGCGTGCAGCTGCCAAGATGCCACTTGCCACCAGTTTGGCCATATTTCAGAGCTGCAACATCACTAGAGTGCCCAAAAGCACAAGGTGTGCAATACTCAAAGACATGGCCAAGGTAAGAAAGGCTGAAAGACGACCACCACTGAACAAGACACACACGCTGAAACATCAAGACTGGGCCAAGAAACATCTCTAGACTGATTTTTCTAAGGTTTTATGGACTGATGAAATGAGAGTGAGTCTTGATGGGCCAGATGGATGGGCCCGTGGCTGGATTGGTAAAGGGCAGAGAGCTCCAGTCCGACTCAGACGCCAGCAAGGTGGAGGTGGAGTACTGGTTTGGGCTGCTATCATCAAAGATGAGCTTGTGGGGCCTTTTCGGGTTGAGGATGGAGTCAAGCTCAACTCCCAGTCCTACTGCCAGTTTCTGGAAGACACCTTCTTCAAGCAGTGGTACAGGAAGAAGTCTGCATCCTTCAAGAAAAACATGATTTTCATGCAGGACAATACTCCATCACACGCGTCCAAGTACCCCACAGCGTGGCTGGCAAGAGAGGGTATAAAAGAAGAAAAACTAATGACATGGCCTCCTTGTTCACCTGATCTGAACCCCATTGAGAACCTGTGGTCCATCATCACGTGTGAGATTTACAAGGAGGGAAAACAGTACACCTCTCTGAACAATGTCTGGGAGGCTGTGGTTGCTGCTGCACACAATGTTGATGGTGAACAGATCAAAACACTGACAGAATCTATGGATGACAGGCTTTTGAGTGTCCTTGCAAAGAAAGGTGGCTATATTAGTCGCTGATTTGTTGTATTGTTTTTGAATGTCAGACATGTATATTTGGGAATGTGGAGATGTTATATTGGTTTCACTGGTAAAAATAAATAATTGAAATGGGTATATTTGTTTTTTGTTAAGTTGCCTAATAATTATGCACAGTAATAGTCACCTGCACACACAGATATCCCCCTAAAATGGCTAAAACTAAAAACTACTTCCAAAAACATTCAGAAACTACGTCAGTCATAGGTCTGAGTTGAGAGCACTCAGTGTCTGTGTTTTAAGTCCACAAATATCACTTAATTCTCTGGACAGTTTGGTCATTATTTCTCAGATCTAGCTTCCATTGGCAGTAGTTGTTTTATTTTTACCGTATGTTTTATTTTAAAAAAACTAAAGTAATGATGGAGAACCAAAAATATTTTTTGTTTAGTTTGATATAAGCCAAATCCATCAGTGTTCCATTAACGTTAATGCTAAGGAGTTTTACTGCAGTTTTGTTTAATTTGATAAACATTTTGACAAATGACCAAAAATGGAGCCTGAGTGATTGAACTCTGCTTTACGTGTGTAAATGTTGTCTCCAGTGGCTGCCAGACATGGACTCCAGAGTTTGGGCAAAGTTGCCATTAGCCGGCGTATGCCCCCTCCAGCCAACCTGCCCAGCTTAAAGGCAGAAAACAAAGGAAACGATCCCAACGTCAACATCGTCCCCAAAGATGGTAGTGGCTGGGCATCTCGAACTGATGCAGGGGATGAGAGGTAAATAATGACAGTAAATGCTTCCATGTTTGTTTATCCTACAGTCTTTCATTCTGTTTTTAGTTTTGTCTTTAAATGAATGAGCTGCTTAACCCTGTAGTTGCAGTGTTTCCCCTAGGAATTTTTCCAGCTGTGTGTGTGTGTGTGTGGAGGGAAAGGAGGGGGGCTTGTGGAGAAATTATGACGTCTCTAAAGTAAAATTTTCTAGTGCAGAGAGGAGACAACCCATAGAAGCACTGATTTGATCTCATCTCAGAGAAAAATAGAACAGGTCAGATGCACCTAATAAATAAAACTACTAACAAACTCAGGAATCTGTTTCTTTGCTTCACTGTTCTGGTGCTGAGAATATCACTAATGTGGATCAAAGGAGATACACGGACGAATGCACCTCTTATTTATTATTTGGAAACTACATTTACTGCAGCTGGCAGAGGCAGAGATTTTTTCTATTGATACAGGGAATTTACAGAATCATTTTAAATGTTAATCGGGGAAGACTGCAGGAGGGAGCGGTAAAATACAGGGGGTCCCCAGCAAAAACAAGAAACTACGATTCTGATGAAACCCACTGGTTTTCCATCAGGCAGTCATGGGGCAGCTCCAACGACCCAGTGGCTGTGCTGGGTCAGTGTTTTCGAGCTCAGTCCGGCTCGGCCGTGGATGACCCAAGGCGAAGTCGTGCTCTGCTTAAGAAGTGTTATTTTCCCGCTTCAGAAGTAGCGTCCAACGTGTTTTTACGCTTTCTCCGAGACATGTCACGTCGCTAACCCCGGGTTTCCACGGGAGCCGTCAGCAGCACGTTACTGCAGCGGCACGTCTTGATCGCGTAAGCTGCTGCTTGGCCCTTCCCACGAGACGCGAAGCAGCAGGGGAGCAGCTGTCACCGACAGAGCAGGAAGTCACACGAGTGACTTCGTCAGTAAACACAACAAGCAGGAGAAAACTACAACATGGCTCCAAAATGTTTGTGTTTTATGTTCTGTCCGTTTTATAATCGCTACCTGAAAAACAAAGGAGACCGCTAGCTAGGTGATAACTTTTCACGGGGACGCACAGTTAGTAACCTTTTTTAAAAGTAAAGCAACCGGAAGGCAGTATGTTCTTTATTCTGAAAATCTCGATAGATTCTCTCCATTTCCGCGTCCGATTTCCTGTCTTTCCTTCCCCAAAATTGTTGAACTTGACCCGTTTCAGAGGCGTCGTGCGTAGAAAATAGAACCGGCGCGTAAAGGCCGCGACATGCTGCTCCTGAGACGTAACCGACTCGCGCTGCTGACTGCTCCGGTGGAAAAGGTTCTGTTGACCACAGCGGTTCCTATCAGCAGCTATGACGTGCTGCTGCAGTAACGTGCTGCTGACGGCTCCCGTGGAAAGCCGGGGTTAGATGTTAGTGCCGCGCGCTAACGTCAATAGTGCAACGTAGCCTGCTGGAGGTTTTAAGGGTTCAGATGAAAACACCCGACCTCTCAGGCTGCTCACACATCGATCTTAAGTTGTCGCTGTTGCGCTCACATCGTAATACTGTATTAGATGCGGTTAAAGTCAGACTTCGTCTTCGTCTTCCTCCGCTTATCCGGGTCCGGGTCGCGGGGGCAGCATCCCAACTAGGGAGCTCCAGGCCGTCCTCTCCCTGGCCTTGTCCACCAGCTCCTCCGGCAGGACCCCAAGGCGTTCCCGGACCAGATTGGAGATGTAACCTCTCCAACGTGTCCTGGGTCGACCCGGGGGCCTTCTGCCAGCAGGACATGCCCGAAACACCTCCCCGGGGAGGCGTCCAGGAGGCATCCTGACCAGATGCCCAAACCACCTCAACTGGCTCCTTTCGATCCGGAGGAGCAGCGGTTCTACTCCGAGTCCCTCCCGAATGTCCGAGCTCCTCACCCTATCTCTAAGGCTGAGCCCGGCCACCCTACGGAGGAAACTCATTTCGGCCGCTTGTATCCGCGATCTCGTTCTTTCGGTCATTACCCAAAGCTCATGACCATAGGTGAGGATTGGGATGTAGATCGACCGGTAAATCGAGAGCCTGGCTTTCTGGCTCAGCTCCCTCTTCCCCACGACAGATCGGCTCAGCGTCCGCATCACTGCAGACGCCGAACCAATCCGCCTGTCGATCTCCCGATCCCTCCTACCCTCACTCGTGAACAAGACCCCGAGATACTTGAACTCCTCCACTTGAGGTAGGACCTCTCCCCCGACCCGGAGGTGGCAAGCCACCCTTTTCCGGTCGAGAACCATGGTCTCCGATTTGGAGGTGCTGATCCTCATCCCAGCCGCTTCACATTCGGCCGCGAACCTACCCAGCAAGAGCTGAAGGTCAGAGCTGGATGAAGCTAGGAGGACCACATCATCCGCAAAAAGCAGAGATGAGATTCTCCTGCCACCAAACTCGACACACTCCACACCACGGCTGCGTCTAGAAATTCTGTCCATAAAAGTGATGAACAGAACCGGTGACAAAGGGCAGCCCTGGCGGAGTCCAACCCTCACTGGGAACAGGTCCGACTTACTACCGGCTATGCGGACCAAACTCACGCTCCTCTGGTAAAGGGACTGAATGGCCCTTAACAGAAAGCCACCCACCCCATACTCCTGGAGCGTCCCCCACAGGGTGCCCCTGGGGACACGGTCATAAGCCTTCTCCAAATCCACAAAGCACATGTGGATTGGTTGGGCAAACTCCCATGCCCCCTCCATCACCCTTGCAAGGGTATAGAGTAGGGCTGCAACTAACGATTATTTTCATAATCGATTAATCTGTCGATTATTTTTTCGATTAATCGATTAATCGGTTTGTTATTGTTTAGCTATTTAACCTATACAAGTGATGAATACATTTCAGTTAAGAAAAAGAAAAAACATAAGAGAATTGTGCAGTTGACTGCAATCTATTTTATTGCACATGAACACAGTCAGCAGTGTAAAATGAGCTAAACAGTGCAAAATATCAGTCCAGAATAATTTTTTGGCATCAAAATATAAGAGGTAAATTCCATAAAAAATAATGTAGAATCTGGAATAGAGTTTGTAAGTGGTATGCATTGCTGGGGGTGAGTGTCTTGTTCCCCATGTAGTTGTCCATCGTTGATTGTTTTTTTCTGCATAAGAAACACAAATAAACTGAATTAAGTACACATATAAAATAAAGCAGCACACACACTACAACACTAAATCAATATTACATTATTTGAATTAATTAACAATATACAGTGATCATTTATTTTGACAAAAATGTGTTGTGAGGCGTTTTACAGCGTTAGATAGTAAAACAGCCTTTTAATAGTTAAAAAAAGGACTTTCTGAATTTCTCCTGTATTTAAAAATTGAAAGCGTACAACTATGCTGCGTTATATTCACCTGGACACAGCTCGTCTGTATATTTTTCTCCGCGGAGTTGTCCTTTTTTGAATGAGGAACACAGTTATGGGTTTGTGCCGTTTTTCTCTTAACGAGAACATTCTTATAAACAGACGTGCTAAATTTGGCAAGCGCATGATTCACAACACGGAGATTCACGATTGCATCTAGTCAATCAGAAGTAGAACACCGTAAACTGACGCGGCAAAAAAAAAAAAAAAAACATGTTTAACATTCACTATAACGAACTCAGCTAACACTAAGTCCCAAATGTGATCTGCGTTAGCTTGTTTATTTTCTGTTACTTACCGGACATTCCTCTGCTGCATCAGCCCCCACGTTTTCGTCTCAAATGTTCACTTAGGGACGTCGTGCTTCCGTCGTGCCATGGTTTTTGCATATTTTGTAGGTCACCGGTCTTTTCAAGGCATCTAGTGAAGTGCTCCCATACTCGTGAGGTTTTTGTCCGGGGTTTCTCTTGTTTTGTCGCTTCTATTTTTCTTCCGTATTTGTTGTTGATCCGCCATCTCTCACAGCAAGATGCGCGTCAGTAACGTGATACGTCATGAAAACCGAGGGCACTTATTGGCTAATTTCTTCTTCTACGGCCCCACTGGTAGATCAGTGGCTCATTACTGCCACACACTGGCGGCAAATTTAACAGATTGTAACCGATGTCAGATTGTGGTAAAAAATAGACTTTATGCGGTAAAATATGATTATTAAACAACTAATCGATGACTAAAAAAGTTGTTAACTATTTTAATAATCGATTATAATCGATTAAATCGATTAGTTGTTTCAGCTCTAGTATAGAGCTGGTCCACAGTTCCACGGCCAGGACGAAAACCACATTGCTCCTCCTCTATCTGAGATTCAACTATCGATCGGACCCTCCTCTCCAGTACCTTGGAGTAGACCTTTCCAGGGAGGCTGAGGAGTGTGATCCCCCTATAGTTGGAACACACCCTCAGGTCACCCTTCTTAAAGATGGGGACCACCACCCCGGTCTGCCACTCCCTAGGAACTGCCCCCGATGACCACGCAATGTTGTAGAGACGTGTCAACCATGACAGCCCTACAACATCCATAGCCTTGAGATACCCAGGACGAACCTCATCCGCCCCCGGGGCTCCGCCGCTGTGTAGTTGTTTGACTACCTCAGCAACTTCTGCCCCCGAGATCGGACAGTCCATCCCCAGGCCTCCCAGCTCTGGTTCCTCCTCGGAATGCGCATTGGTGGGATTGAGGAGCTCCTCAAAGTAGGGCTGCTCAATTAATCGAATTTTAATCACGATTACGATCTGAGTTTTGAACGATTATAAAAAACAAAACAAGCCGATTATTTGCTCCTCCCGCTTGCGCTGCCCTGAGTTGCAAATGAAGCGCTCCTCCACAGTGTTGCCAACTTAGCGACTTTGACGCTATTTCTAACAGCTTTTCAGACCCCCTTCTTGACTTTTTAATCCTAAAAGTACCTAGCGAACACCTCAGAAACATCTCTGGTAACCCTTAGCTACTTTCTGGATAACTATCGTCGACGTTTCCTGCAGGTTAGCTAAACACTCCGCCTGCACTCCGGACCGTTCTTCAGGACATTAGGAAAGGGAATGATGTAGTGATGTGTCAGTCGCTAAAGACGGCTCTCGGAGCCGGCTCCCTGTTGGAGTAACCAGAGTGAGTGACACACACACCGCACCTGCGGACTCCTGAGCCGCTAAAAACAGCTAAATGTGCGCGTGCGGCGCGCTAAACACACGTGCAGCTTGCCCCTGATTGCTGTGAGACCGGGTTGGGGGGTGGGAGGTGCAGCTGTGGTTGGGACAATTATTACATTAACTGATGGACTTGTAAATAAATAGTTTGTAAATAAGGTAGAAATAACTTCCTCACGCTGATAAATAATAACTAATCTCTCTGAGGACACGGTGCTAGTGCACTCTCCTACAGCACATTGACACAACTCAATAAATGTTATGCAACATTTTGTGAACATCAATTTATTTGCATTTATTTGTTATAAATGCCACTGTATAATTCTTGCTGTCAGTATTTGCAAGATATTGGTATTTGGTTCTGTACTGGTTAGACTTAAATGAGTTAAACCAAGGTCTATAGCCCTTGGGTCATAGACTATGAGCTATAAGTATATTGGTCTTTTATCCTGGGAATCAGGAGTTCTTTTAGTGATCATCTTGTTTCTTATTTTTGTCCTGATTGTGCTCTGAGCAATTTTATGACTGAATAAAAACAAATAAAATCAACATAAATTGAAAAATCGTCCTAAATAATCGTGATCTCAATTTCAGTCACCATAATCGTGATTATTATTTTTGCCATAATCGAGCAGCCCTACCTCAAAGTATTCCTTCCACCATCCGACTATAGCCTCAGTTGACGTCAGCAGCTCCCCATCCCCACTGTAAACAGTGTGAGCGAGTTGCTGCCTTCCTCTCCTGAGGTGCCGGACAGTTTGCCAGAACCTCTTTGGAGCCGATCGATAGTCTTTCTCCATGGCTTCACCAAACTCCTCCCACGCCCGAGATTTTGCCTCGGCAACTGCCACTGCTGCACCCCGCTTGGCTATCCGGCACCTGTCTGCTGCCTCCGGAGACCCACAGACCAGCCACGCCCTGTAGGCCTCCTTCTTCAGCCTGACGGCTCCCTGAACCTCTGGTGTCCACCAGCGGGTACGGGGGTTGCCACCATGACTGGCACCGGCCACCTTACGACCACAGCTAGCAACAGCCGCCTCGACAATCGCAGAGTGGAACAAGGCCCACTCGGACTCAATGCCCCCCACTGCTCTCGGGACGTGGTCAAAGCTCTGCCGGAGGTGGGAGTTGAAGACCGTCTTGACAGGTTCTTCTGCCAGGCGTTCCCAGCAGACCCTCACTATGCGTTTGGGTCTGCCAGGTCTACGCGGCATGTTCTCTTGCCATCTGATCCAACTCACCACCAGGTGGTGATCAGTTGACAGCTCCGCCCCTCTCTTCACTCGGGTGTCCAAAACATACGGCCGCAGGTCAGATGATACGACTACAAAATCTATCATCGACCTGTGACCTAGGCTGCCCTGGTACCAAATGTACCGGTGGGCATCCTTATGTTCGAACATGGTGTTCGTTATGGCCAAACTGCGGCTTGCACAGAAGTCCAATAACAAAACACCGCTCGAGTTCTGATTAGGTGGGCCGTTCCTCCCAATCACACCCCTCCAGGTCAAGCTGTCATTGCCCACGTGAGCATTGAAGTCCCCCAGCAGGACAATGGAGTCCCCTGATGGAGCACTATCTAGCACTCGTCCCAGGGACTCCAAAAAGGGTGGGTACTCTGAACTGATATTTGGCCCATAAGCACAAACAACAGTCAGGACCTGTTCCCCGACCCGAAGGCGCAAGGAAGCTACCCTCTTGTCCCCCGGGGTAAACCCCAACACACAGGCAGAGAGTCTCGGGGCTAACAAAAAGCCAACCCCAGCCCTCCGCCTCTCACCCGGAGCAACTCCAGCAAAGTAGAGTGTCCAACCCCTCTCCAGGTCTCGGGTTCCAGAGCCAATGCAATGTGTCGAGGTGAGTCCGACTATATCTAGCCGGTACCGCTCAACCTCTGCCACAAGCTCCGGCTCCTTCCCCGCCAGCGAGGTGACGTTCCATGTCCCAAAAACTAGTTTTCTTGTCCGGGGATTGGACCGCCAAGGCTCCCGCCTTGGTCTGCCACCCGATTCGCATTGCACCGGACCCTTCATGTTCCTCCTGCGGGTGGTGGGTCCACAGTTGGACGAGCCCATGTATCCGGTTCGGGCCGGGCCCGGCCGGGCCCCATGGGCGAAAGCCCGGCCACCAGGCGCTCGCTCACGGGCCCCAACCCCAGGCCTGGCTCCAGGGTGGGACCCCGGTAACCCTCCGGGCCGGGTACTCCGACTCTTCGTTTTAACCGCCATGAAAGATCCTTCGAACCGTTCTTTGTCTCACCCTTCACCTAAGACCAATTTGTCATGGGAGACCCTACCAGGGGCACTAAGTGCCCCAGACAACATAGCTCCTAGGATCATTAGGGCACTCAAACTCCTCCACCACGATAAGGTGACGGTTCAAGGAGGAGTTATCTGAGTCAGACATGAAAAAGAAAATAAATTTTACATGAATAAGTGATGCTTAGCCTGGTGGGGGGAGGAAACCCTGTCAAAATCGTCAACACTCATTTATCTTAACGCTATTGAAACATGTAAACCAAAAGGCATTATATCCACTGCTACCTTTCTAATTTTAAACTCTGTAACGTATGCTGTAACTTCACCTTGCCCTGCCTGCTCCTCCTTGCTGCTCGCCGGCTGTGATCACAAGCGACAACATAGTAGTTCCCGCTGCTTCTTCGGGAAACAGCGCAAAAAAAAAAACTTGGGATCTTGTAGGCGTGGCGGTGGGATTTCAGCCTGCCACGGCTACGCCTATGTAAGGGAAACCCTGAGATAAACTGAAAATCTATAAGAAGTTTTTGTTTTGTTTTGTTTTGTTAACATACGTTTGTAGAAGCCTAAGAAGGCACTATACAAATACAGGCCATTTGTTTGATTAACACTACAATGTTTGTGTCACAGGCAACAAGAAACCCCACCACCCCAAAACAAACCAGCAGCACAGTCACAAGAGCTTTCTACTGGAGGCAGCCGCTCATGGGCTAACAGCAAGCAAACACAGCTAGATGGTAAGTATGATTACTAATTGCACAAAAAGTCTTGTTGTTTTTTCTTAATCCAAGCATGGGGAAACAAAGTCTACTTCTCAGGCCAAAATGAGAGCACACATTTACAACTGAACTAGTTTAGTTTGTTCACAATAGTTGAGGAATATTGGTTGACTTTTTGTTGTCCTCCCACCCTTTCACTATTGTAAATATTTTACACCTTTTTGATACACCTTTTAAATACAATTGAGATATCTAATTACACTGGGGGGAGAAAGTGGAAACAAACTACTTTATTGACCCTTCATGGAGCCAGTGATTGTGTTATTCTTTTCTCTAAGTCGTTGTGTTCTGCTTTGGCTCCAGAACATTTGAGTTCAGCTGATGTTGGAGTGGTGGTCCTAACATATATTCATTGAGGATTACTCTTTTAATGCTACTTTGTTAGAGGCAGTAGTACAGTCAACCTTTTGATCTAAATGATTTAAAACGATGTATTTGGATTGTCCAGGAGCTCCACGAGTGAGCAGCCAGTTCCACCAGGAGTTTCCTAGCCTGCAAGCAGCTGGTGAGGTAGAGAAAGGTGATGTCCAAGATGAAGAGCCCTATGGACCAGGCCCTAGTCTTAGACCTCAAAGTAAGTCTGCATTCCTAAACAGAAAATTAAAATGCTATTAGAAAATAAAGGTTTTGGGACTAGCTGAGGAAAATAGGACTTGGACAGTGTCCTGGAATCTCTTAATTACTGCACTTTCCATGAGTTCTTTACCACAGCAGAAAAGTGGCTTAGATGTCCGGTTTTTCATCCAGGAGCAGGGATCAAATTATCCAAAGAAAGATTCAGTTTCTTCCTATATCACAATATTTATGGACTCTCAGCGTAGCGGGATTATGTTGAGCGGAGAGGACGCAGAGCTCTGATCGTTGGTGCGCCCGCTGCGTCCGGCGCATGATACATTCTCAAGGTGGCGCGACAAAAACCTTATTATTAATACATGATCGTTCATATCTGTTTAAATCCTCTGGTACTCTGTCTTTTAATCAATCCTGACGTGCTCCGCTCATCGTGTGCTGTGGTGATTTCACCTCACTGATGCAGCATCGAAACGCGCACTCCACTTTGCAGTGAGGAGATCCCTTTGTTCTGCGTAATTCAAAATTATCTGAGGTGAAAAAGTAAGAATCCAGGCAGGAGTTTTTCTAGAGTTTGGAGGAGATGCACGAAGATGAGAGACAGACTGTACAGGAAAATAGTTAAATAAAAACAAGAAAACAAAGCTTGAAAGTAAAATGTAGGTAGAGTATCTCCACTACACGTTTTTACCTGTATAAAACAATAAGTTATGCACATGTAATATTTATACAGCTGATACAATTCAGATCACCTTGAAAACTCAGTCGCACACCCAGGGCCATTTCAAGGCATTTTGGGGGGCAAGGCATAACGGAACACCGCAATACAAACCTAAAATGTTACTGAAATGTAGGTCAAATATTTTTTACTATAAATATCAGATGGGAAAAAGCGGAACTAAACACCAATCTAATGCATATTATTGAGCCTTTTATAATATTTTGCCTTTAAAAGGGTGAGGCAGTTGAATTCACAGATTATACATGTGCTGGCGCATGGTCAGGATGGTACCACCTCTGCCTCAATTTGAGTCAGGAAAAACCCTGTTACTGATGATTAGGGGTGTTCCAAAAAGGGTTCTTCACGATTCGATTTCAATTATGGGAGCTTCGATTCTTCGATTATAATGATTTTTGGTTCGATTCGATTACTGGTGCGTCGATTCTTCGATTATTGACATTTTTGATGCTTTTTTCATACAAGATTGTCTTCTTAATCTACATTTGTAAATTAATAACATCAATTAATTCAGTTCCTCTAAAACTACGCTCTGTAAGTAAATACATTTTTTTTTACATAAAACAAAATAAAATAATTCAGCTTATTCAGTCTGGAATATAGGCAACAGAAAAAACTGCTATATTTGAAGGTAATATGTTGTATTTTTTCAGAACAAAAGTGCATAATTCAACGGAATATATATTCAGCCTGGAGCTTCAGTACAGTGAGGTGAACACAACAAAATAGAGCAGAGTGACACTCATACTCATCTTAAACTTAACTGTCCTCCCATACTCCCTCCCCTCCCTCTTGATCCCCTACATCCTCCTTTTGTGTGAGATGGGCAAATGTCAACATTGTGCTACCTTGACTCTCACTCATCTCTCGAGTTTGAAGAACATGACTCCCTGTTGTTTACTACTGAATACTGGCGTAGATCCGCCGCGATAAAAGTAGCTATTGCTTTTGTAATGCTCCTCGCCTCTGAGTTCTTCGGTAGTTTGGAGACAGTCTCCAGGATGGAGAAAGAGGTCAAAGAAGTAGTGCCACTCACTAAACAGTCCGGGCGGCGCGCGTGTTAAGGCTCCGGTTACGTGTTTTTTTGTTTGTTTTTTTTAGTACCGGCTTCGCAACAAAACTTTGATGTTATGTTTTTTTAAGTATCGACGTTCATTAATCGATGCCGAAACAACATGTTAAGCTTTTAGATGCATCGTCACATCGATTAATTGCACTCACCCCTACTGATGATGTCTGGTTAACATCTGAGTCCTTACACTCATACACACCTGCTTTCAGTGCACACACTTTTCTTCACAGAGTTAACAGGAGAAACAAACTACACTGATGTGAGCCATGTTAATCCACGCTGTATCCGTTTTGATTGAGTAGTGCTCTTTGGAATTACTCAACACTTCTTTTTCCTTATCTATTTTAAACCTTTGCTATGAACCTATTGTGTCTTCAATAAAGTGAACTACTACAACTATCCAGTGGCATCTAAAATTCACAATTTGCTAATTGGCAGCTTCTTGCCATGTTGGAGTTGATTGTTTTTCCTAGGCAGTCAATGCCTCCTTTCTGTCTGCCTTATTAGATGTTGGTAGTTGGCGTGAAGGTGGAGGCAGAAACTTGAACACTGCAGCCAGCCCACCTGAGATGGACACCAAGTCTCAGGAAGAGGTTACCTCTGGTCTTGGTACCTCCACCCCACCGGTGGAAGCTGATGAACCAGTCCGAAATGTAACGACTGAAGTTCAAAGGGAGAAAAGAGATAGCAGGGAGAGGTTTCCCCCATCTGGACATCCTCAGCCTAAACTCAACGGTGGGCAGCAACCTCCATCGGGGGTACCGACTCACTTTGATCCTGCTTTTAGAAGCATGATGCCACCCTACGTAAGTAGCACATTGTTGTTGTTCAAGACTGAAAACGAAAAGGCTGCATTTAGTTGTCCTTTGTCTTTTATGTGTTCTTCACGATTTCTGTTTTTGATCTAGATGTTTCACGCCTATCCTCAAATGTCATTGGGCCCGGGACAGGGTAACTTCAGATACCCAGTACCACAAGATGGCGGAAAGTAAGTTTTTGCCTTTAAGGCTTGCTTTTAAGTTATTTAAATGATGCAGGTGTGTAATCCTCTTGTTTTTGATGCTTGGCACAAATGTGAGATGCACAAAACTGCCTTCATGGGTTTCTTTGTTCTACCCACAACTATTTGTTCTCTCTTGGGTGCTCAGGGGTCCTCGTTCAACACGACCCCAACAGCCACCCCCTCAGTCCTGGCTCCAAGACCCCGACAGACCTTCTATCATCAGTGCAACAGAGCTAAAGGAGCTGGACAACTTGGACACTGATGTTGATGAGGGCTGGGCAGGTCAGTTGAATCATTGCTGGTTACCTGTTGACGAGGTTTATGTAGATTTACATTGAGTTGAGGTTTATTTATTTATTTATTAATTCAGGAGCTCAGATGGAAGTGGATTACACTGAAAAACTAAACTTCAGTGATGATGAAGAGAATCAAGCGGCTAAAGGCAAAGGAGATAACTGGTAAGCCGATGAATTTTTTACTAGTTTCATCAGCATAATTTATTGTCAGCTTTTCTCTGTTTGGACCACTAAGAGAGATTTTATTTTTTTACTTATCGAATTCCATTTATCTTAATTTGCAAGCGCCACATCATTTTTAGCATGCTCCTACAGTCTGCTTATGGAGACATTAGTACTCCCTCAGATTAGAATCATGAAAACCATGAGTTTAAGCCTTTGGTGTTGTGACCTTGTCAAAATTGAACGATCTGATGCCTTGGAGTTTTGTCAAGTGTTGGTCTACAATGTAATTATAACAGTACCTGGATATACAACACGCATTGTATTATCAGTCAAATAAACCTCTGTAGGGCTCAAAGTTAAAATAAATGATGCACTTTAAAACTTTCATGTGTCTATGTCAGCTGCCAAACAAGCACCCAGAGGCCTTTTCCATAGTAGCTGGTAAGGATGTAAGAAAATATCGATATGGCAATATATCATATTTTTTCCAGCGATATATCGATATTCAAAAGCTGTATCTAATGTTTGAAAGAATTTGTGTAATTTCTTTTTTGGTGCAATTCAAACGTCGGCCGCTAGTTGGCAGCATAGTGCAACAGGTTTTGTTTCCACCATTGAACTGTAAATCCCTCTGTTATGGTTTAGATACCTCATGTTAAGTATCAGTTTGGACTGTTTATTGAATATTCCTACAATAAATTCAGTCAAAAAATTCTTTAATATCGTCTGGCAGAATATATCGCAATATATCGTGATATATTGTATCGTCTCCCTAGTTTCGTGATATGTATCGTATCGCCGTAATTTCACCAATACACATCCCTAGTAGCTGGGTACTTGAACCATTTACAGGTGCCTGGTTTACATCGTTTCGCTACAGATACATTGTCGCAATCTCACACTCAATTTTGTTTACACAAACGTACAAGGTGAATACGGAGCTGCCCCACTGCTCTGCAGCTGATTAAAAAGCTCTGCAGAAGTTTGTGAATGCCTCACAGGTGGCTGTACCATCACGGACATCTACAGTGAAAGATGCCTCCAGCATCAAAAAAGACCCCACCCACCTGGCAAAAACATTGTTAGTCCCCCTCCCTGGCAGGAGGCTGTAAATTGTCAGGTGACGAATCACCAGGCTTAAAAACAGCTATTACCTTCAGGCAGTGGGACTCAGATGGAGCACTGCAGCTCAAATGCCTCCAAAATGAAACAACTCTTTGATCTTGTACAATAACTGTGTATTTTAAAAAATCATCTGTGATTTTGAAATGGAATTTTACAGATCATGTAGAAACATATGACATTAAAGACCCTTTAACTATGAAGACATTCCAGTATTGTCTTCATAAAATAGTCAAATGTGACCAATTGACTATACTGAAATATATATATATATATATATACATTATATACATATATGTGTGTGTGTATATATGTATATAATGTATATGTGTATATAGATCTTTTTTAATTTTATTTTTTTATCCTTTCTGTAAATTGCTGCAAAATGTTTCTTGCAAAGTGTTAAATGAGAAATTATTCCAGATATTTATATTTTGCAACTGCATATATTACTTTTCAAGTTGAACATTTTTTACTTTTCTTTGTTTTAACTAATGTTCTTGTAGGGAGTGGATGGGTAAAGTGGAGTGCATGAGATCTCGGACATCAGATAACCAAGAGGGCTGGAAAGATGGATCTGAGGAGCCTGTGGGCAGTAAATCCTCTTGGGCTGATGGCGTTGATCCCAGAGCACCATCACCTGGCAGTTTGGGGCAGTACAGTAAAACTGCTGCAACACAGGACTACCAGGTGAAGCATGTTTATAATACACAAGCTAGCCATTAGCTCTTCAATGTTTTAGTATCATGTAACCTAATCTGTTGTTATTCCTGTTTGCAGAGTGTCAGCCGTGCTGCTGGGAGTACTGCTCCACGTGGAGACAAACCACAGGCTACTGTGGCACCTGCTGCTGATGAAGACTCGGAAGCCTGGCGACAGAAGCGGAAAAAGACATCTGAAGTTTCTGAAGCTGTAGAGCGAGCAAGACGAAGGAGGGAAGAGGAGGAACGGCGAATGGAGGAGCAGAGGCTCGCTGCTTGTGCAGAAAAACTTAAACGTCTAAATGAAAAACACAAACAAGCAAATGAGAGTAAAACCGCCAATGCTCAAACCACTAATGACGACGCAGGAGCTGCAGGGGAGGACGCCCCATCTGCACCAGTTCCTGCATCCAGTCCTGTCCCTTCAGTACCAGTTCCACAATCACAGGTCCCAGTCATCCAAGACCCTGTATCAGAGAGGGGGGGTCCAGACAAAGAAAGGGCAGAGCAAGAACATGAGGGAGTAGAACCAAGTGCTGAGAATGAGGCTCAGTTACTTCATCAGCCCAGCTCCCCAACCCAAAGACCCGTAGCAACAGCTCCAGAACCACAAAGCCAAGGAGAACTCACCTTAGTGGAGGTCGGTGCTCTTGTGGAGGAGAACCAGGTGGATAGGACAGCATCTGTACCTATCCATGACTATTTTAACTTGGAGGACAACAGAGGTGAGCCAACGCTTGATGGAGTTTTACTCTGGATCAAATTGACCAACTTTGTCTTAACGGTACTGTTTTTCTACAGTGGATGAGCCCCATCTGTCTCTGTCACACATGGACACTCCAGGAGGAGAAGAAGTCCCTATTGCGCCCCCACAACTAGAAGGAGAGGCCACTGCTGCCATTCGTCCCTCTCTTATGTCAGGCTATTCCAAACAGTTTCAAAAGTCGTTGCCACCACGTTTCCTCAGACAACAGGTACGTTGGTCCAAATATGGCCTTGTGGCTTTGATAAGACCTAAACATGACTGGTTTGATTATAACGTGAATTATCCAGGATATGGTTACTGACGGAGCTGAGATATGCCTGTAACTGTCAGAGAAGAGGAACATTTTAATCAGTTATATAAATGGTGAAGACGCCAGTTAAGTTAAATGTTACTTTGATTCCACAGGAGCAGATGAAGCAGCAGCAATGGCAACAACAGCAAAGCGGGGGATCTGTGTCCCCATCAGGTGCTGGCAGTGTTCCAGCTTCCCAACAGCAGCAGCACCGCTCCATGTACCAACCAATGGGCCCCCACCACCAGCACTTGGCCTCCATGGGGTTTGACCCTCGCTGGCTCATGATGCAGTCCTACATGGATCCTCGCATGATGTCGGGCCGACCTCCTATGGACATGCCAGCTAGCATGCACCCCGGTGAGGATATGGATGAGTTGGGCTGTGGTTTATGTAATAAAGGCTCCCTGACATGTTTACATCTTCTGTGGTTTCACCTTATCAGGGAGAATGCCTCCAAAGCAGATTGTACGCAGAGAGGCAGGTGACAACTCCAGCTCCAGCTCTGACTCGTTCGATCACTTGTCCCGACCGGTTCGAGACCACGGCCTGCCCTCAGACTCACGAATGGTTTGGGGATCAGATCCATACCCACAGTCTGAACCGTTACGCACTGTAACTCCTCCAAAAGGGCGAGATGACCACCAGGAACAAAGGTAAAGTATTGCAAATAAATAAATAAATTAAAAATCAAGTATTCTTCATTCGTTTTATTTATATAATTGTTTATTTATTCTCTTGCTTTCTTAGGATCGACTCTGGGTTGGATCTGGACAGGGGTCTTCCAGCTATTTATGCTCAGGATCCCAGTACAGCTGACTCTCGTAAAAGTAACTTTTTCCGGGATCCAGAATCCCTGTCGGTGTTTACTCAGGGCCCTGAGGATGTTTCAGAAAGGGTCCCTGTAAGTTCTACCTTTGACACAGTTGAGAGAGGTTTACCAGGTGGGGAGGAGGTAGAGGCAATTGGTCAAGCCATTCTTCAAAGAAGTGTCTCGCAGGGTTCCAGCCACTCTCTTAAGCTAGATGAGCTAAGGTTTGATGGGATACCCCCGGCAACAAAATCACTAGATCAACACGACACAGGAGAACGGGTTTCAGACAAGCACCAGAATGAAGTCTACTCCCAAGCTGCTGTAGCCCTTAACAGGGCTACACCACCTGCAGATGGATTACACAAGCCAGAGAAACTGCCTCTGCCAGGCCCCAGCAAGCAGAAAGCTGAACTTCGCTGGGGTGGAAGATCTGGGGCTGGACGCAGAGAAGGGCTAGGGGGAGAAAGACCAGTTCGCAGATCAGGACCAATAAAGAAGCCTGTTCTAAGGGACATGAAAGAGGAGAGGGAGCAACGAGAGGAGAGAGAAAAACGTCATGAGAGAGGAGAAAAGGGGGACCGGTCCAAAAGGGATCAGTCGTCTAAAGCTCCCTCTGCAGCTGCAGTGGTGTCTGAAAGCACCAGACCTCAGGGTGAGGGCAAGAGGGAAAATGCTGAGACGGAGGAATCCTCCATTTCCCACCCCAGAGCGAGAGACTCTCAGCCTTCTTCAGGAGTGCCCACCTCTTCCTCTCAGGAGGAGAAAGTAGACAAGCTGCCCTGTAACGACAAACATCCAGAAACAAAACTGCCGTCTCGAAAAGACTCCAATTTTCCTCCTCCACGTGTCAGACGAGAAGATCGAGAGAGGGAACGTGACAAGGAAACAGACAAGGACAGGGAGAGAGAATGGCCTCCTGATTCAAATTTCAAAGGACGCGGTCGAGGGGAGTACTACTCACGAGGGCGTAGCTACAGAGGAACCTATAGTGGGCGCAGCAGGGGATGTCGTGGTCGTAGCAGAGCAGAGTACCCTTATCGGGAGCCTCGATTACGCTCTGACTTACCCTCTGCTGGAGGAGCTGCTGCCTTTCGCAACCGAGAAGAAAGTGAGACACGCAGCGAGAGCTCAGACTTTGAAGTCATTCCTAAACGCAGGCGGCGCCGTGGTTCCGACACAGACTCTGAAAGTGAAGGTGGGAGAGAGTCTGCCAGTGATACTGGACCCTCTGATCGTGAGCCTAGCACCAAACCTAGCCGTCCACTAAGAAGAGATCTCCCCGGTGAGGGCCGTTCCCACCATAAGCTGGGCTGTGAGCCGCCTCACGGGGTAGAAAAGTTGGGGTCAAGAGTGGATGAAGAAGGCCGGCCCAAGCCAGGATTTCTTCCTAAAGGAGAGCCTTCTCGCCGAGGACGAGGAGGATTGTACAGTAGAAGAGGTGGACCAAGAGACCGTGGAGGACCTCGCTCGGCTCCTCATAGAAGGCCAGCGGCCAGAGATTCCTCCTCGCAGTGGCCCTCTAAACCCATGGAGACATTCAGGCCTGAGGATGCAGATATTTCAGCGAGATACGACAATCCTTCCACCGACCGACGACCTCCAAAATTAGAGGGTAAAAAGTTTGGAGATGGCGGGCCTCAGAGTAGCAGAGAACGGCCTCGTCGATCCCGACCAACACGGCCCCCAAGGCAAGATAAACCCCCCCGCTTTAGACGTTTGAAAGAACGTGAGGCTGGGGGGTTTGGTGGTGACACAGCTTCAAGTCCCCCAGTTTCTTTAGCTTCTGTGCCTGCTGCAGCTGGCCCTAGTTTAGCTCCTGCCCAATCCGCCCTTTCTCCACCCACGTCTAGAGCTCCAGGAACTCCCATAACTGTGCCTGCAGAAGTGACAGCTGCTGTACCTGCACCTGGCCAATCTTCTCCCTTAGAAGTGTCCTTGCCAGAGGCCAGTAGTCCCTCCATTACTGCAGTGGGTACCAAATCCCCTGACTTGTCCAACCAGAACTCTTCAGATCAGGCCAATGAGGAATGGGAAACTGCTTCGGAAAGCAGTGATTTCAATGAAAGGAGAGAACGAGAGGAGAGAAAAGGAGCGCTGGAGGCTGCAACTGAGGTCACCCCAGCGTCGGTGCCTGCACCTCCACACGGTTCTTCATCTCCCAATAAAAGTCCACCTGATGGAGGAGTGACTCCAAAACGAGAGGCTTCTCAAGCAGCCAAGAGGAGTTTTTCAAGTCAGAGGCCCATAGAAAGACCCAATCGTAGAGGCAACAGCGGAGCCAAACCCGGCCGCAGCTACATAGGAGGCAAGGGTGAGAGGAGAGGAGGAGGAAAGGCTGGCCGCAAAGGGTGAGTTAAAAATAAGATTATTATTATTATTTTTTTATCTGGGTAGGTATTCATCAACACTTCTATTGGGCCATTCCCATCTGTACCGGGTCGGCCCAGGCTGGGTAGCCCCAGTCGGCCCCAGCCTGGCCCGGTTGATTCCACACATCCTTGCCTTAAGCCCATGTGGGCTGATTCTACCCACCAATCAGAGGCTTGCTCTAATGGAAGGTGTGAATTTGCTGTCAGCAGTGGGTGTGTTGGCCCTGGTCGGCCTGAAGCAGACCCCCTCGAGAAGAGGGCTGAGAATGAGCCTTGGTTGGCCCGGAAAAATACCAGGCCACCCAGATATGTAAACAACCTACGCTACCCGGCCCGGGCCGACCCGGTACAGATGGGAATGGCCCATAAGACATTTACTCAATGACAAATAAACAATAGGTTTATTTTAGGGATTAAACCTGAAGTGTTACTGTTCAAAGTGAGTTATTATTTCTGTCGGGTTTGTTTGGCCTTCCACACTTCATAGGTCTTTTAAATGCTTCCTAGCCTGGTCTAGTTTAGCATCAATTATTTTAGGTTACATAAACAAATCCACAATCAGACCTCTCTTAGTTGTTACACATTCTTTACATCTGTCTACATTTTTCATTAGTCTCATATAAATGCTGTAGATCTCCGTCTTCTGTTGGATTACAGCTGCCTACATTTTATATCATCAGAATATAAAAGCTCAAACGTTTACTTTTATTTAAAGCTACCATCTGTTTCATCAGCTTTGACATTTGTTGGTCCTAAACTGATTTTTTTTTCTTGCTCGGGTTAACAGTCCTGCAGCCCAGCAGAGCACTGAGGCATCAGCAGCTGGAGGGCCAGCTCAGAGGCCTGCTAAAGAGCAGTCTGCCCGTCGTAAAGATGAAGCCAAACAGGCCGTTAAGAAGCCCAAGGAGAATGCTCTCTCTCAGTTTGATCTCAACAATTACGCCAGTCAGTCGTGTCACTTGTCATCTAATGAATAGAAAGTAAATACCATCTTTGGGTCATAGTAATTTTTAACATGGGATATACATTTGTGGCTCCTGTAGGTGTCGTGATCATTGATGACCACCCAGAGGTGACCACCACAGAAGATCCTCAGTCCAGTGCCAACGATGATGGTTTCACTGAGGTGGTTTCACGCAAACAACAGAAGCGCCTACAGGATGAAGAGAAACGAAAAAAGGAAGAGCAGACTTCTCAGGTAGAATGAGGGAATGTTTTAAAAATTATGTGATACAGAGATCTCTGAGCCAGAAAATTCTCGTTTTTACAGAACTGGGGTAAAAAAGGTTCTGGCGAGAAGAGTAGAGGAAGTGGAGGCAAGCTGCCCCCAAGATTTGCCAAAAAACAGTCAACACAACCGCAGCAGCAGCAGCAACATGAAAAGCAGCAACAGCAGTCAGCCTCACAGTCTCAGCCTCCTGTAGCCTCCGCTGCCCAGCAGCAGCCCTCCATCTCTGCTCCGCAACACTCTCACCACGCCCCCTCACAACCTGCTGCTTCTCCTCAAACTTTGGAAGGAGCCGTGGCTCCTCTAGCTCCTGTTCCTCCTCCTAGTGTGGATTTCACCTCCAAGAGCCTACCACCTGCACCTACACAAACACACAGCACACTTGGTACAGAACTGTGGGAGAACAAGGTTGCAGGGTCCACTGTGCTACCTGATGTAAAGAAGCGTAAGTGGGGAAAAGTTTTTTTTTTTTCCTCAAATTTACTTGATTCCCACCTGGCAGAAGTAAAGTTGTCAGTTTTTTGTAAAATTTGTATTTTTTGTCATGTGCCAGTTGGACCCATCAGCCCTCCACAGCCTCCTTCCGTTAGTGCGTGGAACAAACCTCTAACTTCGTTCACTGGCACGGTCTCCTCTGAGGTAGGTTCAACACGTTTGTTGCAAATTTGACTGTTTCTTTTCCACTTGATAAATTATAAAAACAACAGTTTTTCTCTTTTATTCTTTTAGGGTGTGAAGCCTGGGAGTGATGGCAGTGTGGAGTTGGGGATAGACAGTATTCAGTTTGGTGCACCATCATCTGCTGGGAGCACCGATAGCGATGGAGGTCCTGCATTGTTAGAAACGGGCTCTGAGAACAAGCTACCTGCTCCCAAAGAACAAAGGCAAAAACAACCTCGTACTGGTCCCATCAAGACACAGAAGGTAGCTGTGCTGTTATGAAATTAGAAATAACTTTTTAGACATTTTCATTATAGTCATTTTTTCCTTTTTCCTCCTCAGATCCCAGAAATGGAACCAGTTGAAACCAAGGAGTACAAGCCAGGTCCTATTGGTAAAGAGCGCTCTCTGAAGAACCGTAAGGCCAAAGACGCACGTGGAACAGAGACGGAGGGCCTGGAGGGAGGAGTTTCTGGGGGGAATGTCAGCAGAGCCAATGACTCCAGTCCTCCCACTAGTGACACCACAGTACCAGAGCTGGGAGGGGACATAGAGGGCATGATCACTGCCCCATCAGCAGAGTACAACAGTAGCTCCAAGGTGACTTTTGTATAATATTAATAAATGTTTAAAATATTTCAGGATTATGACAGTTGTGTAACATTTGGCTCCTCCGCTGCCTCTTCCTGTCAGGAGTCCGTCACTGACTACACCACTCCTTCCTCCTCTCTGGCTGACAGCGTTCCTACGGGAGGGAACAAAATGGAAGAGAGTTTAGTAGCTAACGTGAGTATGGATCTTTGCATTGACACACAGTATCATACATTTAGTAAACAGAAATCACATTTTTTATGTTGATCTGTTGTTTTTCCTAGGTGGCCCTGCCCCACTCACTCCCCCTTCCTCACAGAGAGACCCTGCAGCAGAGCTCCAGTCTCAGCACAGTCTCTCCTGCTACAGTCGACTTAACACTAAAGGTACGTGGATATTGAAGAGGCTGTGGCCATATTACTTTCTACAGAAAGGTTACAAAGTAATTAAGTACTCATTTCTCTCTTTTTAATCTTCTCAGATGGAGTCTGCTCGTAAAGCTTGGGAAAACTCTCCAAGTCTGGAAAAGAACTCACCAGTCACCTCCTCTTCTTCCCCCATCACCTCCTGTGCTTCTTCGTATTCTTTCTCCTCAGCCTCCATGCCTCAGATTCCTGTGGCATCTGTCACCCCCAGCACTTCACTGTCAGGTAGCTCCCATTTTTATTTCAAATGACAGATGCTTAGAGTTGAACTAACTATTTCTCCCTTCCAGGTTCTGGTACCTATACAACATCGTCCCTCAGCACAAAAACCACCTCAGCTTCTGATCCTCCAAACATCTGCAAAGTGAAGCCACAGCAGCTCCAGGGTGGAAGCCTGTCCTCCTCCAGCAGTAGCAGCAGCAACAGTTTCTCCCAGCTAGGCTGTGTGCCTCCTCTCTTGCCCCAGCAGCAACAGACCCCACAGGTGTACGTCTCCCAGTCTGCAGCAGGTAAGACAACATGGAATGTGTGTGCAATTAAAGCATGTTGTTTCTGTGAGAACTTTTATCAGTGTTAAGGCAAGAAAATCTTCACTGTATTAAGTACCCATACAATTGTTTTAGGTTCTGCAGCTCAGATTCCAGCTTTCTACATGGACACCAGCCACCTCTTCAGCAACCCCCACCCTCGTTTGGCTCCGCCCTCTCTGGCACAGCAGCAGGGTTTCCAGCCTGGACTCTCTCAGGTGGGATATTATTGGCTAGGATACTTGATACGTTTTCAGTGTTGGAAGCCTAACCAATGTCTACCTTTATCTTCCAGCCAACAGCAGTGCAGCAGATTCCCATCCCCATCTATGCTCCTCTTCAAGGCCAGCCTCAGCACCAACACACCCATCAGGCTCAGCTGGGGCTTGGCACTGGTCCACCAGTGTCACAGCCACAGGATCTGTTCAGCTCTTCACTTCAGCCATACAGGTAACGAGCTTACAAATATCCAGTTTTCTACTTCAGAACGGCTGGAACAGTTTTGTCGTCTGATCCTCAGGTCCCAGCAAGCGTTCATGCAGAGCAGCCTGTCCCAGCAGTCCATGATGCTATCGGGGCCTTCCCTGCACAGCTATCCTGGTGTACAAGCCCCTGAGCTGGGAAAACCACAGTCCAGTCTGGCCTATCAGCAGCCCTCCTCTACCCAACACATTCCCATTCTGTTTGAGCCACAACTCAATCAGCCTTCAGGCATGGGGGGGTCTCAGCTCATCGATACGCACCTGCTACAGGTAACCAGGTCTCACACGTCAATATGTTACTTTTGTTTATAGATCTGACTTGCTTTTGTCTTTTTCACAGGCTCGACAGGGGATGAATCAACATTCAAACATTTACTCAGGACAGGTACAGCAGCATGGCCAGAGTAGCTACTACAGCAACACCCAGTCTCCCAGTTCTGCTATGCAGCAGGTAATGTGTACCTGTAAAAGTTTTCATGTTTCTAAATAAGCACAACAGTTCTTTCAATTAAAGAATTGTTTGATTTTGTCCTCAGGTAACTGTCCCTCTGCCGGGTTCCCAGCTGTCCCTACCAAACTTTGGTTCAGGTGGAGGCCAGCCGCTCCTGGCTCTGCCACCAACTCCTCCCCAGGCCCAGCCTCCTAACATCAACAGACAACCCCCGGTTTCTCAGTCCTACAGAGGCATCATGGGCCCCAATCACAACATGATGCAGCCTCCAACCAACAAGGTAACATTTTTTTATTTGTTTTTATGTCAAGATTTTTGTTTAACAGCAGGTTTAATAGCTCTTTATCCCCTTCAACCTGTTGCAGATGGACATGGACCTTAAACTCTTTGGCAGTGGGATGGATGTGAAGCCTGGAACACCTCCTGTCAATGCCAGGAGCACAACACCCACCTCCAGCCCTTACAGGTATGAGATGCTCAGTACCTCAGTAATGTACTGGTGCATCTGTTTTGCTTCTAATTCTATCAGTGTATGGAACCATTTCATTCATTTAAGTTTATTTATAAAGCGCCAAATCACGACAAGAGTCATCTCAAGGCACTTCACATAATAAACATTCCAATACAGGACAGTTCATTAAGCCAATCAGTAAAAAGTGTCTTGCCCAATGACACAACAGCAGCATTCTCTAACAGGGTCCAACCTGCAACCTTCCGATTACTGGACAACCCGCTCTACCTCCTGAGCTACTGGTGCCCATATTTATGACCAAATTTTTCACTGTGACAGTTTTAAATTAATATTTTCTGATTATTTAAAATTATTTTCCTAAAACTAAACAGCCATAAATTCTATGGTTCTAATTATTGACAAAACGGTTTATTTCAGTCTTTCGGTTTTTAACCTTGGTTTTCTCATTTTCGATTTCAGCCAAGAATTTTCATGTCCGTGCATCTCTAATATACGTGGGTATTTAATTCAAGCATTAACTCTAGTAATTGTTTGTGTGTCTCCACACAGGGCCAGCTCAACGTCTCCCAGCAGCCAGTCCAGTAAAATGAACAGCATGATCTACCAGAAGCAATTTCAGCCCAGTTCTGCTGGCATGAGAATGACTCAGCATTTTCCTGGCCAGTTCAATCCACAGGTTAAACATGACATAATATTCTCTCATTATACTCCCATTATTTATATTAAGTACTGATTATTAATATCTCAAACTTAACCCTGTTCTCCTTCCTCCCCTTTGTTCCTTATTTAGATTCTGTCTCAGCCCAGCATCGTCTCTCCCCTAGTTCGCTCTCCTCATGCTAATTCATTTGGTGGTGTTCAGCGTTCCTCTATGGGTCCTCCCATTTCACCCAATGTGGGTGGTGGTCTCATGTCTCACCCCCGACCACAGCATCCACAGCACAGTCAGCACCCTCCCAGGGGGCCTTCTGGGCCTTCCCTTGCCCCCAGAGGCTCACAAGCAGCTCTGAAGGCTGAGCAGGATCTGAAGGCAAATTCTTTTTAACTTTTAAAGACCAAGTTCACTGAGAAACCGTTTTTGTTCTTGTTAATTTTGAAATATGATCGATCACTCTGAGTTTAACTGCAGGCTAAATGTGAAAATATTCTTCTACCCCTATTTCCTCCATTAGCTGCCAATAGAAGAGAGATTGGGAAATACTCTGATTAACAAAGCCACTCAGGTCTACGTCGCGCAAAAAATTAACAAACATGGACTCACATGTATCGGCTCACAATAAGGCAGGCTGTTGTCCAGGAAACAGCAGAGTACATATCAGCCAGTAGAAGCTAACCGTTTGCATTAGCAACTCCACCACCACATGGCAGAACTTCCTTCTTCAATTCAGTTTATTTATATATCACCAATTCACAATAAGTCTTCTCAAGGCCTTTCACAAAGTAAACATTCCAATTGAACCTACTTATCAGTGCATTAAGTTCAGTTGTCCAGTTGGTTAAGGTTGCTATATAAGAAAACCAAGCAGATTGCATTGTGTAGTGTGAGACTTTACAGCAATCTTCATACTAAGCAAGCATGTAGTGATTGTGGAGAGGAAAACTCCTTTTTAACTGGAAGAAACCTCCATTAGATGCTGGCTCAGTATAAGCAGCCATCTCTCACAACTGACTGGGGGCTTGAAGACAGAGCAGATGCAGTTTCACTGTTGAAGAAAGTAAAAAGTGAAATCCTTCAGATTTGAGTTATTTGTGGAGATAAAACATTAACGTTGCAAAGCCAGCAGAGTTGGTGGTAGAGTCACGTTGCTGTTCAGTCAGATGCTCATATCAGGGAAAAAGACTCTAAATCCTGCTTTTTTCTGCTCCCCACTCCTCTGGCTCAATTCTAGTTCCTGAAACGGGAACGCCAGAGCTGTTTTCCCCCACAGAGATCCACTCACAAGGCATTAATTCATACCAGAGACCCCTGCAAATGTGTTTTAAAAAAACAAGTGAACTTTGGCTTTAAATGGTTTGCATTAAGCTGGTCGGTTCAGTCATCATAATTCATTGACGGTTTGGTTGGGTTTCTCTCTCCCCCTCTAGGCTAAGCAGCGGGCTGAGGTGCTCCAGTCCACCCACAAGTTCTTCTCAGACCAACAGCAGCAGCAACAACAACTGAAGGCTCCTCAAGTCAGTAAAGCTCCCCGGCTTGATCAGGGAGGAAAACCACTCGACACTTCAGCTTCAAATCACCAGGCTGGAAGTGAGCGCCCAGATACTGACAAACCTCCTGTATCGACAGCCAAACCCATTCGAACTGGCCCTATTAAACCCCAGGCCATTAAACCAGAAGAAGGAAAGTGAACGGCTTGCAGCCCTGTTGAGCTGAGAAAACGTTTGGATGGAAGAGAATCATTCACTCAGCCAGAGCCTCATGTCATCCCTGGAGGACCGTGTGAGGGAGGAGGATGAATTGGGCAGAGATTTAGATGGTAGTGTTACAAACTGTAGACACTGTCATGTACAAGTGTATTCTTCTTCCTCCCTTTTCCCGTCTTGTCCCACTACAAATGGGAGTGTTCTAGTTGGACTCTTTCATCATATTTAGATGCTGATAAAATCGCTGCTCTATTTGTTTTCATAGAAGTCGACTCTGATGGTGGAAACACAGAAGATTGGAGAGAAAATTAAAAATGTGCTGCTGAGTTAGCCATTTTTTAAAAAAGGTTTTTGGGTTTTTAACCCCCCCTAGCATCAGAAATGTAAAAAAAAGAAACATGTTTTTATTTTTATTTTTTTTTTTTGTTAAAGAAATTTAATCAATTTGTGTTTTCTTAATGAAAAATCCTTTCTGAAAGCAAACATTTTGTTACCTAATCTCCCATCAGAGCTACTTCAGAGATTTGTGCACTTGGTGACGGTTTGAGCCGCAGAGACAGAAAATCACAAATAGTCCTTTTTTGTTTTATCAGTATGAAAATGTGAAAACTACAGGATTAGATTGATTTCTGGATTTGTCTGCCTGAGCCTTTGCTCCTGCCTTCTTCTTTCATCTCCTTGCCTGAAAATATCTCGTTCTGAGGTGTGTGTGCGCGCTCGTTCGTTCATTGGCAAGGGGGGGGGGGGGGGGGGGGGGGGGGTGGAGGCTTGTGGCTGGACTCCTGTATTTTTAGCCAAAGGGTAAAACGGCACAGAAGATGACATCAAAACCCTCTCGGATTGCTGTTTCCATAGCAGCAGAGTTTGGAGCGGACTTTCAGGATTGCATGGATGTAGGATGGCTACTCACGGTCATTGTTTTCACACCCTTTTTTGTTTGTCACACGTCACTGTATAAAAGCATCAGATCTGCTGCCATCAACTGACTCAGTGCCCTTAGCTAGTGTACAGCATGACTGGGCTGAGAGGTGAGCTGATTAGAACGTTGACCTTTATGGCAAGGAGGACCAGGAACAGCACGAAGAATAAAGGCGAAGCCTTGAATACTGAAGCGTTTGGGCGAAAGGACACATGCTGTTTTGTCTTTGAGAGCAATCAATGCTGTTATCCGTCTCTGCCTCACCTCTGCTGGCAGTCCGACCCACAATGCTCTTATCTAGGGGTTACAGTGATGTTGGTTCTTCAGAAATGTATGGTAGTGAGCACCCTAAGGTGGCGAGAACCTCACATCTGCCCAAGCTGGGGAGAGGGGGGTCTCCTTTATCTGGAGGATGGAAGAGGGAGGGAGGGTAATGACTTGTTTATTGTTGTACTTGTACAGGGGTTTCATCACTGTATTAAGATATGTACGGTCTTATTTACATTCTCTTGGTTTGGTTACCGAAACTAATAAAACAATATACTGTTCATTTGATTTGGACTTTTCATTCAGTTCTTGCTGCTTATGACCACTAGATGTCACTAGAACATCTTGTTTCCTCCTAACTGCTGTTGTAATAAATGGAGACTAGGTGCAAAATAAAATTAAGCAGGTTAAAAATGTTAATGATAAAATTCGGGGGGAAATGCTGGTGTGTGGCCGAGTTTGCCACCAGTGAGCTGCACACAATTCTCTTTAGATGTGCAACCAACCAGTCAATAAAGTAGATGTCCTGAATACTGGCAACCCAAGGATTGGTGCAAAGCATCTTATAGGCTGACAGTGGAGTACAGGAGCTACAATACACAGCATGGTTACATTTTTTTTAACGTTCTCACATTGAGAACTTTGTGACAAATATTACATTGCAACTCAACATGTTATTAAATTTCCCTTTTTGTTTATTTCAGTTTTAATTTACTCACTAGATCTTTGTACTACTTTTGTTGTAAAGGGAAGTGATTCTAAAAGTATCACTGGAAAAGCTCTGTCCTGTTTCGATGAGCATTTAAGGTTTTGGGCTGTAGGGGAAAAAACGAACTTCAGTGGTGGAGCCATTTTCACTTTGCTCCAAGGACAGAATAAAAACACATTTTCCTGCAAAACTAAATAAAAAATAGTAAATAACTTTGTGGTAAATGGTCTCCATTTGTATAGCGTATTCTATAGGATTCTACAACCCCCCCAAGGAACTTCACAACACAGTCATTCGCTCATTCACACACACTGGTGGTGATGAGCTACAATGTAGCCACAGCCTCCCTGTGCACACTGAAGGAGGCGAGGCGACCAAACCCTGGCAGCACCGGTCCCTCTGACCACCACCTGCAGGAAAGGCAGGTTAAGTGTCTTGCCCATGGACACAACAGCAGCATTCTCTGCCAGGGTAACCTGCAACCCTCCAATTACTGGACCCGCTCTACCTCCTGAGCTACCGGTGCCCATATTTATGACCTAATTTTTCACTTTGAGTTTTCAATTAATATTTTCTTATTATTTAAAATTATTTCTTAAAACTAAACAGCCAACATGTGATTTATTATCCACTTTCCTAAAAGGAACAAACAACCGCAAACTCAATGGAAACGTTGTGAGAAGAAGTTTATTTCTTGATTTTTTTTTTTTTTGGACACTTTGCTACATGTTAACTATGCTGTACAAATGCATGCAGTATTCAATACATGCTATTTAGAAAGAGCATTTCTGTTGACTGATAAAATCACTGTAAGGCTTACAGTTTGTGTAGTTAAACGTCTGGAAGAATCTTGCCTTTTAAGGCTGAACAGTGTTCCACTGTTTAGTTTCAACTAGCTTAACATGAAAAACAACAAAATAATACATCTGATTTAAAGGCGGTACAAAAAATAGTTCCTCTGAAAACATGTTCGTGGGCCACGCCACAGCAAATAAACAAAAGAAGAGCGGAGAAAGCAGACCTGCTGGGGGCGCTGTTCCTCAGGTGTTAAGTAGTTAGGCTCTGCTACTTACTGGTGGTGTTGGCTTTCTAACTACTGCAGCCGCTCACTTCTGAAACTGGGAGCAGCAACAGAGGAGCAAATGTCTTTTTTTAACAGTCCGTCATGTTGACCTTAGTTGACCTGCTGGCGCCCCAGACTGATGTCATAGGTCACTAGGTGGAAGTTGTCCCAAGCAAACAGCTTCCTTTGAGCCATGCTGTAGTCAACCATGCTGTTGTAGCCGTACCTGTTCTTGAATGGGATGGACACCGCCCTCCCCTGGCTGGTTTCAGTGTCGAACATGTAGTTGATGACGGTGTTGTGAGCAGCATAGCTGGCCACGGTGTACATCTTCCCACAGATGATGAAAGAGTTGGCTACAGATGCCTTCCTGATGTTAGTCTCCCAGCTCTTCTTTACCTCCAGGGTTTGTGGATCCAGCTGTGAAATGACAATGGCTCCTTGGGCTTTATTGGTGGAGTAGACAGCCCACAGACCCTTCTCATCTACAGACAGGTCGATATCTGTGTAGCCCCCCCAAGAGTAGGGGAACTGGCCATGGAAGCCGGCGTGGGGGAGCTCCCGACGGGCTGCAACGTGTTCAGCAGCCAAGTCGTAGCGAATCAGGGAGCGGCTGAGCCGTCTCTGGTAATACAGAGAGCCCCGATAGAGGGTGGCCCCTGTGCTCTCTAAAGGGTCAGGCAGCAGGAGGACCTGTCACAAGGACATAGAAAACAGTTACTAGGGATTTCTGGTTCAGAAGAAGCCACACATGTGACAACATACCTTGGATGGGAAGCCCTTGGAGAGCTGTTCCATGTCATCATACCCAAACAGCTGCCGGACATCAGTGCCAATCGTGTCAATGCGCCAGACCATGCTGGGTCCATAAGGGGAAACAGCTTCAGGGTCCTGCATCCAAACACCATATTTTCCTGCGATGCTGTCGGCCTTCCTGTGTGTGACGGGGTCACCAACTGACACCAGCGTCCCACAGCCTGCAGGCAGGAGCAGATGAGTAGGAATTAAATGGGCCATATCATTGAAAATCCACTTTTTGGAGCTTTCTACCATGTGATGTTATATCCTCAAAAAACGTTTTTGGCTGTGTTTATGAATTTTCCGGTTTCAGCTGCAAATTTTGAGTTTTACTTTGAAAGTCCTGTAAAGCCTTAATGAAAACTAATTTCATCATCAAGCCCTCTCCTGGAAACTAATCTCTGATCTGAAACCTGTCTCCCTGTGGCGTGGGCAGAGTTCCACTGAAACAAACCGTTTTATTTTTCGGGTATAATTTCAGGCTGACAAAAATAACTCGTATGTAGATAAATGACATCTCAATAGTGCCAACGTTAATAATGTTTTATCATTTACTGTGCCTAACGTTGCTCTCAAAGTTTTAAAATAGCATGATATGGAACCTTTAAGTAACATTTAGTGGTCAAGGAAGACTTTGAAAGTTGGCCATTTTAACTTTGATGCAATTCTAACAAAGCTTCGAGTCATTCACCCTGCTAAGGTAGAGTATGTGCCCCAGCAAGTAAAGTGGTTTGACCTCGTCATGGTCCAAATCATCTGTCCAGGGGGAATCATTTGGACCAGGTGCTGTTAAAACATGACACCCATTACAGAGAAGAGTGGCTCAACTCAAATGGGTTTATTAGATGGTCACACATGGTTCACAGTTGATCTAAATGGGACCAAATGAAATGGCTAATCAAATTTAACGACTTTTACCAGACCAGAAGCAGCTCACTTTCAAGAAAACAACTGTCTGGTAAACATCCAAGAGTATCTCCACCCTCAATGTGTCCAGTGTGTCTCATCCTTAAAGGACACACTGTAGAGGCAGATGTCCTTTCAGTTTCGCCTGAGTCACCGCCACCAGCAGCAGCAATGAAATTGATCACTTCCTAAAATACAAATGTCCTCCCAGGAGCCAGATGCATCACCAGGTTTAACATCAGATATGTTTTATTAATACACTCAGTACGACACTGCTAGTGGCTTCCTGACATTCTCTGTTGACCGCTGTTTGCTGTTTTTGACTCAGCCTGCTGCGAGGCCTTCATAGCTTCAGCTGCCTTCGACAAACCCATCAGGACAGTTTAATAGCTAAAGGTAAATTATGGCCTCATTAAGGGGGCTTTTCCTCCACTCTTATGAGGCCAACATGAAGCTCAGAGGGGCCTCCATATCAACACTTTGGCATGACAGCGGTATTCTCACCCCAAATGCCTTAGTATTAATAGTAGTATTTGCTTTGAGGCTGTCAGCAGGGGTGGGGGGGTGGATGAGTGTCATGTTTGCGAGGTCACATAAATGGATGGGGGCGGGAACTGTTTTAGACCCCCCATTCTGGCATTTTATTGAACTTTTAGTTTCCTGAGGAGCCTTTCTGTTGTTGTTTTATGTGTGCGTGTATGTCAGATTGTACACACAATATTCATGATCGTTGTTTTGAACTTTCACTTTCAAGCTAAAAACAGACCTGTGTTGTCTTGGTGGCTGTCAGGAGCAGGTACCTCGGTCACGTCAGCCTTCAGCTCTTGAAAACCCTGAGATCCGTACTGCCACGCTGAATCTGAAAAGACAAGAAGAGACTGAGTGACCTGAAGAGGTTCTCCAGGAAATGAAAGCTGCACAGGTACACCTGCCTCACCTCTCAGGCTGCTGCTGTCGCCCTGCCTGTTGGGCCTGGTCATCAGATGAGACATCTGATTGGAACCTAAGCGCATGCACACACACATCAGAGTTGAGTGATTCTGTTGCAGGTTTTCAGGTTAGATAAAGGAGTTTGGGGTGAGTTTGTGCAACTGAATGTGTCTTGACAGCAAGGAATGTGAGTGCAGGGATCAAACACCCCTAACTGGATTCCCAGCTGCTCTGGAGTCAGGCAGTCTGTAGATACACTGACCACAACGCACACACTCACACACTCATGGCACACTCGACACCCCAGTCTCACCCCTAGATACCACCTGATTTTTCAACCTCTATCTTTTAAAGTCCTCTTTATTTTTTTCATGCTGAGCACATTAAATCATTACAGCCAAAACAGAATAAACCCCGTCAAACATCATCTGATGAATTCTAAAGTCCCGGGTTTGGCATGAACATGTAAACATGGTAATGTTTATGGAGCAAACAAAGAAACTTGATATGAGGCATTTAGTTTGTGCATCTGTGTGCCAAAGATCTACAATTAGACATTCATGTTGTTTGCCACGACTAGTGATGTTTGAAAGGCAACAAGCCCTGATGATGCAGAGGACGTTAAACATCTGGAAGCTGATGTTGATGAAGAACAGAAGGAGGTGGGTAATGGTGTAGATGATCAACAACAGGTGTTGTAAAAAGGCTGTTTTAGCAAGAGTCTTGAAAGTGAATACAGCGGTTCATTCTCAGCTTTTAGCCTCCTCTTATCACGGTTAAACAGTCACATCGGCCTGTTGTCCTGTTCTCCCCTTGTTTAGGATGTCATAGGGCAAAATGTCACAAACCTATTCAGCTCCCAACAGTGGCTCTGTGTATGGAAACTGTTTGCTTTAGTCATTTTGCACCATTTTCGTTGTGTGCGGTCATTAACCAGGATGTTGAAAGTGGATTATTTTAAGAGGACATATTATGCAATTCAATTTTGCATCATTTTGAGCTGCCATTTTGGTCTCTTCTGCTTATATAAACACTACAAAAATTTAAAAAAAGCTTTTTTCTGTCAGTGTCTGTCAAATGGGGGAGCAGCAGCTCTACTTTGAGCCCCTCCCAGGTATCAGAGCTTCTCAGCTATTGACCCTTTGCACCGATGCCACTTATCACGTTGGTCCACCATGCTGGATGGCAAAGGCATGTAAACAGTGAGCGACACGTGTACTAAACAAAGAAAAAAGTAGAGCCTGAAATTGTTTTTGCGATCAAAACAAAAACAAAACTCCTCCAGCATTCCTTCCACTAGTTCATGCCCAGTTCAGTTATCAGAAGAAGTAGCGCATCTAGCGGGGGCTCATAGAGAGCGGTATGTTAACTAGCTTACCAACGTTAGCTTACGTTCTCTCTGCAGCTGTTCACTGATGTAAACATGTTGCTAACTTTGCCTAAATTCACCCCTCTGGATTTATAACTTTATGTTGTAAACAATGTTTCACTTTACACCAAAGCTGATTTTTAAAAAGTCTGGATCCCTACCAGCTTCTGTTGCTGGTGGTGTTACCGGGTTCAGCTGCTGCTCTCACACCGGAATGAGAAGATCTCTGAACGGCGACGCTCATATAAATAAATAACGGAATTTTAACACACGTAATTATACATCGGAGCTTTAATATTGTTAATAATTGTCTCGCTTTACACTACAGTGGACGGCAGGCATCCTCCAGGGCGAAATACCCATCCATCAGGATTATCAATAACTAGTATAAAGACATCACATTTATCCCTGTCCCTGTCTTCCTCGTGAAATAAATAAACGTTAATCTTACCCGGTAAAAACATGTTTGCTGTAAATCTGAGGGCTGCTAGTCCACTTGATTGATCGCTGCAGTTGCGCTGCATCCTCAGTCTCCATCAAAGTTATTAAAAAAACAAAATGAGTTGAGTTTACATCCTTGTCTGTTAGTGCAGCCAACCACGCAGCAAGCTAAAACCATTTTACTGTCAAATCAACTAAATAAAAGCGATAAAAGGCTACAAACTGGCTTGTTTTGACTAGCTTCACTGGAGTTTCAACAGGTGTAAACAGTCTTTTTGCCGTCCTTCATAGCGAAGGGGGCGGTCACATGAGTGGCTTGACATCACGTGCAAAGGGCCAGTTGTAGCCTGGGGGGGGGGGGGGGGGCGTGGCCAGCTCCAGCTTGTTTTATTAAAGTGACAGAGCCGTGAAACACCTCATTCTGGAAGGTACTGAAACTATCAAAAATAAAATTATAGAACTACTATAACTTCAGAAAAAAATCATAGTATATCCCCTTTAAATTTGAAATTGTTAGATCCAAAGACAGAGTTACCTGTTTTACTTCAGGAGAATAAGATAATAGCAGCAATTTAATAAAAACCAAATAAACACAATTTTAATCTGTTTAATCTAATCTGCTCCTCTGCTCGTTGTGTCCCTCCTTTTGGACAAACATTAAGTCAATATGCATTTTTAACATCTGTGCAGCACTTAAACTGTCAGCCCTCACAATTTACATTTGATTTACTTCACTGAGAAGTAGTTCTCCCCTGACAGTAACTGAAGACATCTGCTAATTTGTGTTTGCACTTTAGGCCCATATTTTATATGAATGTTTATTTTTATTACAAAAACATTAGAAATCAGCTCATATATTTTAAGTGGAATCTTTCCCTGAAGGTCCTAAAACCTCAGCTAGTAAAAACCATCCTGTCAGAGTTTTATTGTCACTAACAAACTCTCAAAACGATTAGATTTACGCTGCTCCTCTTCTGCTCCTACCATGACGTCCTCTTGGTTTGATCTATTTGGCATCTGCCTGTCACCCACAGGGCCCCTCTCAGTGTATTTCAGTCTGCAGGTGTAAACATGAGGAGCTGAACGCGTGACAGAGAGGATACAGGAGTCAGTGTATGGGGCTCCTGAGGCAGAGGGAGTGGGGAAACATATACTGCTGCAGGAAATTTTGGCGTTAAAAATAAAATGATGCTGAGTTCCAGGTGAGTAAACTCAGGGATGCTTCACTGAGAAAAGAAAAGGGGTCAGTGGAGACAATGAGCAGAATGGACCGGGATCAAGGCCAGACGTTTGGTCACTGGAGTTTAGCTGTAAGGCTGCTGCCTTCAGAGCTGCAGCACCATGTTCCTCTCTTTTCCCTCCACCCAGAGGTATTCAGATACATTTCTGGCCATGCAGAGGGAAACACCAGCCATAAAGACAGCGGGTTCTGCTTCACTCAATTCTCGGGCCCTCCTCCAGCATTTCTAAATGCAAGGCAGGAAGCAGGGGAACCTGAGCTGAGTGTCCCTGCAGACTAACACAGCCACAAAAACATAACCACACAGTGATGGGTGTGTCTTTAAAGTCCTTATTTGGTCTTTAAGAGGAGTTGTGTGAAACACGTAATCTAAAAACACGATGCATGCACAGCTGTTCATATGCAATGATTGGTGGGAATAATGATTAAAAACAAAAATAAAATCAAAATGCATTCAAATGTTATTTTTTTAGTTCAGTAGGAATGTTCTGGCAGCATAAGGAGTGTTTCTCACCAACAGCAGGTCTGACTGGACTCCTGTCCCGCTGAGGAAAGCTTGGTGGCACCACTGGGTTCTGAGGAAGACACGGTCTGTTCCTCAGCCTCTCTGTCTCCCTCCTCATCTCCTCCATCCTAAGCCGAAGCCCCTCCAATTCCATCTCCAGACGTTCCTTTTCCCCCTGCAGCAGGTTTCTTTCTCCTACAGCTCGGTTCAGAGTCTCCTGAAGCTCAGAGTGACCTCTGACACTGGCTCCCCGCTGACCTCCTGGTGACTGGGTGTCCTTCCCGCTCAGCTGGGACACTAGGGCTTCCAGTATGCTGAGCCTGGCCTTTAGGCCCTCCACCTCTGGAGCACTGGCCTGCGGGCAGCTTGCCTCTGCCGGGCTGGGCACCGTGAAGGTGTACTGGCATTGTCCACTTCTGTCGTTTCCCCTCCACAGAGAGGCTCGCTCCTGGGCGTCACCTCGCAGGAGAAGACCAAATATACACAGAGACAGAAGGAAAAACATGTCTTAGACCGTCTTCATGTAGTTGTTCTAAAACTCTTAATTTGTTTCTACCCAGCTTATTTCCCTTTTAAGATTTGTTTTGAATCTTCTGATTCCCAAATTCAAGTGAAGATTTTCTTCCTTGTTTCCTCTTCTATCGGGTGTCTCTTGTGTCCTGTCTCTCCTCCTCCTGTCTCCGTCTCTGCAGGTCTCTGCACCACTGAGCTCTCCCCAACAGCTCACAGATATTTATACAATCTGGAAGAGACACAAGGAGGGAAGCAAGAAAACAGGGGAGAGAGGAGAGGTGAAAGGGAAAAAGGGGAGGGAGGGAGGGAAAGGTGAAGGGAGGGTGAGAGAAGAAAGAATGCAGGAAAAAAAAACAAGTGAAGGAATGCTATTATTTCTCAGACCAAAACATCTCATTTCAGCAAAATCCTCATATTTTTGTTACTTTCTGTTTATTTAATTAAAATCTGCTGTTTTTTTTCATTATTAATCACTATTATTACCTTTACTCAGCTCACCTGCCTAAAGTTTCTGTTAGATGCCTGATGCAACCCTATTAGTCTGAAAGGATTATGGAGTTTGGGTCTAGCATGACGAGGAGAGCTGATCCTCGCTGGATACAGTTTCCTCCCAAGGAGCCAGTGTCCCCTTACATCAGTGTGTGTGTGTGTGTGTGTGGGGGGGGGGTCACTGATGGTTGGATACCTGATGCTGAAACAACCCGCGTCCCCTCAGATGAGCCCGGGTCAGTTGTGAGCCGTGTACTGCCTGCTGCAGACTCCACACACAGTTACTACAGTATGAGCAAGCTTCTACTTCACCACTGATGGAATCTTTTATCCCACAGCTTCATGTCTCTTCACCTCCATGTGAGGTCAGATTTGTCATCCATCCATCTCTGATGACCTTCTTGACCCTGAGCCCTGAAACAGTTCTCCAGTGTAACAGGGCACATAGCTGCAAGGGTTACAAAAGTTTGCAAATCTGAAAACACTTGGTTCTACTTTTAAAATGGTGATAAACTGGTGTAGTTCTAAAGACATTCAAACCAGCACAAGATGATATATATGAAGGTATGCTGAAACAAAGCCAAGTGTGTGTGTGTGTGTGTGTGTGTGTGTGTATGTAAAACAAAACTAATGGAAATAAGCAAATGTGAGGCAGCTTAAACAAACAAAGGGATACACTTTAAAATGAGAGGCATTTGTAGATCCACAGAGATAAATCAAGATGTTTAACTAAAGGTTTTCATCTATCTTCTATTCATCCAGAACCCAGCAGCTTAAGAAGATATCCCCCAGAGCTTTCTCTCCACCGCTCCTTTTTCAAGCTCTTCCAGAGGGACTCTGATGTGTTCCCAGGCCTGCTGTGAGCTACAGGTGAAACACAAAATATTAGAATATGGTATAAAAGTTAATTTATTTCAGTAATTCTGCTTAAAAGGTGAAACTTACACACGAGATAGACTCATTTCATGAAAAGCCAGATAATTCAAGCCTTTATTTGTTATAACTGTGATGATTATGGCTTACAGCTTATGAAAACCCTACATTCATAATCTCAGACAATCAGAATACTTTGAAAAGGTTCAATATTCTAGACTCAAGGTGTCACACTCTAATCTGCTAGTGAACCTAGAACAACTGCAACAGGTTCTTGAGCCTTTAGATGGTCTCTCAGTTGGATCACTGAAATAAATGGACTTTTGCAGGACATAATTTTTCCAGTTCCACTTTCAGAATCTCTCCACTCAGTTCTGCGTCTGCCCAGAGATGTCCTCTTGGAGGGACGTGTGAAAATCCTCCCAAGAAAGATAGCCCAACCACCTCAAACTACTTCTTGCGATACTTCTTGTTGATGGGTCTGACCATGATGATTCAGAAACCCTTACAATGATTACAAGAACCAACATACCTCACCTGGAAGAGAGAGTCTCCGATTAGCACCCAGATGACAGGCCTTTAACTCATGGGGTCTGACTAAGAACAGAAACCCCCCAAACAGACTTGTGTGTAAACACACACACACACACACACGTATATATATGTATATGTATATATATATATATATATATATATATATATATATATATACACATTCCTCTCATGACTCCACAGAGTTGTTTGATGTAGGAAGGTCGGCTCGTTATCTACGCTCCTCTACTGATGTTTTGACTCTCATTTATGTGAGTCATATAACCGTCACTATGCCTGGAATCTGAGCTCATTCAGTAAGAGCACTTAATGGAAGATCAAAACATCCTCTGGTGCCAGTGTGGAACTGTCCATACCGACACAAAGATCAACTATTTCTCACAGAGGTGATTTCCCCTCTAGCGTGTAGACATCCAGACTCGAGGGAAACCTAAACCTCAACACTCAGGTCATGTGACATCACAAACTACAGTCAGGGTAAAAACCTAAGGAAGCTCTAGTTTACTACTAAGGTTATATAACCTTATTAGTAAATATATATATATATATATATATATATATATATATATATATATATATGTATGTGTGTGTGTGTGTGTGTGTATAGACAGACAGACAGACAGAAAGAAATTATTATACATTTAAATACAGACTAAGCTTCTAGGACCTGTTACACATTTTCTTCATTATTTAATTAAAAAGGCCAAATTGCAGAAGCAGTGATTGAAGCATAAATCAGCCTTTAATCAGTCTTGGAATATTTCCAAATAATTTTACAATCTATGGTGAGAAATTATTTTAAATAGTGGGAAACAGGATTGTAGCAGTTTTTCATGGAATGGACATTTCAGTTCAAACAAAGATAAACGGTGCAAAGATTATAATAATTACTGAAAAACTAAAAACAAACAAACAAACTAACTTGTTTTAACAACACTGAGAAAAATGAATAAAACAAAGAACAAATATGGTTTTAAGCCTAGCCTAGAAGAACGTGTCTAACCATCAGTAAAAAAAAATGGCAGCAAAGCTTAGGTCCATTAAGCTGCATTAAAATGAAAAATTTATCTAATGACCAAGTGCAGTAAAACTATTAAACACAGCTCTTAAGCACAGTGGTGGAGGGTTGATGATTGTTTTGCAGCCACAGAACTTGGGCACCTTGTCGTAATGCAGTTGAGTCGAGCACTAATTCTTCTATATTTCCTCTGTATACTAAAGGCTCAGAGTCAGTTATGAGACCATCTGTCAAACAGCTGAAGCCAAAGCAGATCATCCAAAAGGAAACCAGCAGCTAATCTATTCAAACAGAACTTAAGGACTCGAGAATCAGGCTGCAGTGGTGGCTGGGTTAAAGTCCAGACCTCAAACGAAATGAAATACTGTGGTGGACATTTAGAAAGCTGTGCATAAACAAAAACATAAACTTCAAAAAGAAAATAGCTTCCCTTGAATGCAGAGACAGATCAAATCTCGAGGAGCGGGATTCCTTCAAGTTGCTGCTTCTAAGGAAACGTTTTAAATCAGCATTAGTGCTCAGCTGTGGGTAAACAAATGGACACATAAAAATATTTACAGGCTTTCTGACATGTAAAACTTTATATTTCTAACTTGACTCTAGTGTGAGAACTTTCCAACATTTCACAGCAGCTTCAACTTTCAAACAATGTGTGTGAGCTTAAATGATTTTCAGAACGGAAATAAAGCCATCACCCCCCAGTGTGCGCCTCAGCAACAGATGCGAGCTGAAGTAACCACCTGCCGTATATCAACAACGCAAAGCTGTCCCTCTGGGTCAGCTCCACAGAAGAGCCGTCAGTGCCTGTTTATGTCTGCGGTGTGGAGAGAACCTGAGCTGAGGGTCTGTCAGAGCAATAACCCTCTCACGGACTCCCAGCCCTCCCACTTTAGTGCCATCCTGGGACTCTGCGGTGCCAGTAAAGTCACAAACTAATAAAATAGTGGAGTAATGAGGGACCCTGCTTTCAATGGAAGCAGAATACGTGTGTTCAAAACTGAAAAGATGGCATAATGATCAGGATTCCCCCCCCCCCATCTCATTTGTCCATTTTCTATTTCCACAAAATTCTCCTTCCTGAGCCAGTCAGGCAGCTGAAACCAGAATAAACCAGACCCTTTTCATTCTCTTTATTACAGAGCAAAGAGAATCAGTCTTCCTTTGCGATGCCAGAGAACTGTGCAGTATCATTACAGAACCCATATTTACAGCTAAAATAAATTACACAAAAGTAATCAAATTACAACATGGAGTTAATCCGGTCACTACAACACCCATGTTTGTTACAGAGAGCATCACTCCCCTCAAACGTAACAGTACAGATAACCCGTCCGTCTCCTCAGCAGCTAACACCAGCTTTCATACAGAGCTTCACCTACAACAGAAGTAATAACTTTAGAGGAAAAACACATGGAGCAAGCTTTTAAACCCAACAGAACCATCAGCAGAGTAAAACATTAACAGCTGGACAGCCGTGAGCAGAGCAGCGCTGATGAGAATACATTCAAAACCTGGATGTTTTTTTTCTGTGATCAGAGGCGACGGTGCTTTCTGCTACCGAGCAGCTTGTTGTATGGGAACAGGACAGAGATTTTCTGCCAAAAAGCTTCTTTTATGATAAAACAAGTCTGGGAACCACAGATGAAGCTCAGACGTCCTCTCACCTCTTGCAGAGTAGAAATAAAATGTGCTTTGTTTTTGAGATTTTGCACACGTAAGAAATCCCAAGTGGACCTCAGAGGTTCATCTGCTGCCTCTTTACATGAGATTAATGCAGCAGATTCACAGTAGCTAACTACGACAGATTGTTGGATTTATTTGTCTTGGAATGGAGTACTTTTCACTTTTCACACCCGGTTTCTGCCCCCTTCCTTTGATCAGGGCTCAAACCCTGCGTCACAACTGATCTCAAGTGAGATTAAGATTGGAAATTTAAATTAGATCCCAACTGAAGGGGTAGCCGAGGCCAGATCCTGAAGCATAAACAAGGTGACACTGAAGAGGGTGTGGTGCCCTCCAGAGTGAGCAGCCGAGGGCTCCACTTCATTCTCATCCTCAGTTACGGTACCGAAGGATCACTGGGACTAAAAAGTAGAACAAAAGAACAGTTAGGAGAAATGTTTCACTACTGGTGGATTAAAATATTGCTGAAGTAGCTGTTCTAATACTCACTGATAATAATCAAGAGAATGGCAACAACTACCAGAGCGACAACTATCTTCATCTGTGGAGAAGAGACACGTTAAACACATTCCTCTCAATGCCAACGACACAGATACGTAGAGGGGAGGTGGGGGTTGAGGTTGGATGTGAGGACAGACACCCACCTTCATGTCTCTCCACCACATCCTCCTGTGCAGCTGTTTGGCTCGGCTGCTGAAGGCGGACGCGTGGTCCGACAAGCTCTCTGCAGCGTCAGAGGAGGTAAACAAATCAGATAGAACAATGAGACGCTTGTAGCAACAAAAAAAATCTATTTTAGGACACTGACTCAATCTGTGTTAGGTAAGACTTTTTGAAATGCTACACTGTTAGCATGAAACGTTACGACAAGAGACAAAACCACGCTTTTGCTGTTCCGTCCTTGTTGCAGCGTCCCTTTGTGGGCTCGCCCCCGCGCTGTCGTCTGGTTCTCCGATACTGTTGTTAAGTCTGTGTCTCTGTACGCTAACAGGAGGGTAACGGCTCCCCAGTGTGTGGTGCTGGGCTTCTCAGAGCCCCCGTCCCTCTTTAAACTCTGTGTCTGCTGTTTCAATCTCCACATGCCTGTTTACGACCTGTCGCTACTACAAAGAGCAGCGCCCACGCCTACCTTCTGAGAATATGCTTGTTAACCTTGTGGAATTTAACAACAGGTTTACCCACACATGGCTGAGAGTGTCACCCACGGTGTATCATATGTTTTTCACACACACCTCTTTAGGATAACACGCACGACAGAGACACGCCATCAGCCACAAAAATGTCTGCACAGCTCACAAACAACGCTTCATCCAACAAGGCCCAAAATGTGCTCCAGATGTGTTTTGGTCAACATGACAGAGTGATGAATAAGTGTAGTGTAGTGTAGTGTGTGTGTGTGTGTGTGTGTGTGTGTGTGTGTGTGTGTGTGTGAGACAGAAACTTGTCAAGATGCTTTCTGATGGACAGGACGTGTTACGACTGAATACCTGACTGGTTTCCCTTTTCCTCCTAAAGAACGTGTATCACATCTGTACTGCTTCAGCTCTCTTATTGAACGTTAACATTTATTTTCAGTGATTGTAACACCCCGACAGATTAGGTGCTACTTCCCCAGCCGGAGCAGAGCAACACCCCGTGCACCAGCCCAGAACTAAACTCAGAGAATAGAGTACGTGTTTTAAGTTGCTTATAATGGTAATTAGCATGTATTTGTATAGCGCCTTAGGGGTTTACAACCCCCCAAGGCGCTTTATAACACAATCAGTCATACACCCATTCACACACTGGTGGGGATGAGCTACGATGTAGCCACAGCTGCCCTGGGGCACACAAAGAGACGAGACCTGACAAACACAGTAATAGTGAGCTAAATGTATTAGAAAATTCATATTTGCACATGAAGTAATTTAGAGCAGTGCTTAGTTAACAGGGAAAGGGGCAGCGGGAGAAACATAAACTGCAGCCAGACACTAGGGGGAGCTTGTTTAGTTTCAGCTTTAACACATTATATGACGTAGGATTTTCTTTACCTTTGCAGACATTTTTAAACTCACAGTTATGTAGATATGGACTCCAATCACAGCCGGTGCTAAAATCTGTGCAGAGTTATCTGACCATGTCTGAATTGAACCAGATACAGCTGTGAATGCGCCCAACACACACGCCACTCAGGACACCTTCACAGGTGGTCTGGGACACTTTCATGTGGACTGTTTTCCTCATATTTCATTTTTTGAAGCACGGGGGGGGCGGGGGGGGGGGGGGGGGGCAGCGAAAGGTGCTAGATGATGGGGTTTGTTTCTGTTCAGTCGAGCTATAATTCCTAACCATCTCCTTCATCACTGCCAGATGTTTCCAATAAATTAGCTTCATCAGTAAATGTTATTCTTTTAAATTTGATCCACATTACTGGACGACATCCAGTAACATTATTAGTACAACCCTCAGATAACCTCAGAGGCTCAGAAGGTATTCGCAGAAGCTTAATGCTAATATGAACACCTCTGATATGCCATGGGGCTGACTTCCTTTTAGTGTGCAACTCAGAACATGTTCTGTGCATGTGAAGCATGACTCACCTGACTTGTCCTGCAGGTCATCGAGACGCTCGCCCCTCTCTATCACCTTGGAGATGTTCTCCTGCATCACGTCGATCACCTCATCCACCTGCGACTGCACGCTGAAGACACACAAGGGCTGGACGTGATGTTTGGTACAGCTTACTTGACTAAACAGAAACAGGCTGATACACTTCACCTGTTGAATATCTCAGTTTTAGGGTTGAATCTGTGCTACGCTCATGCCTGCTCTGACTGGGTAAGTAAAAAAAAAAACATCTCAAAAATAAGGAAATCCATGTCATTGTTTCGAGCCTTTTCCAGCTTGGTGATGTAAGTACAAATGCAAAAGCAGAGTCAAATTTAAGACACATTCAGGGTTGGAGGTACATTAGGAAATCAAAAACACAGCAGGAATTCATCAGCCCAGGATCAGACAGGCGCACACATGAAAAGCTTCAACCTAGTGCAAATGACCCTCCTGGAGTCTGTGATGACAGCGTCTAATTTCACGTGGGTACAACAGTGACAAATTACAAAGGTATGAAAGGAACAAGAAGAAACAGCCCTGGGAGTCAGATGGTCTCAACAAAGACCTCCTCTGTCTGTCTGACTGATGATTAGGATGGAAATGGAGCCACCATGCGAAGATTACATAATAACCTGCACATGACGGAACATCTTACACAATATTCTAACAACCAGCAGCTTCTGGTAAACACGTCGAGCCATGGTTACATAACGCCAGTACTAAAGTGTGTGGCGGTGCCGCGCTGACCTCTTGCTTCTTCTGCAGTGGAGAACGTGGTAGTACTTACTGCTTCATTTTGTCACTCTGAGGTCCAAATCTGGGTCCTGTGGGCCCCCTCCTGGAAAACGTGGTTAATAAAGTTAGTATTAGCAAATCAATGCTTCAATCTGCAAAAAAACGTAAAAACTGGCAACAGTTCTTGTCTCAAGCTTTAGGTCTTTTACTCATATACTCAAATAGCTTACACCAATAAAAGATGTATAAGGTATATGATGTATATATCAATTGAAATGAAAATAATACAGAGCAAAAACAATGAAAGGCCCAGTATTCTTTAAAGACAAGGATATTGCCCAACGTTTTAAACCAAGACCATCTTATGTAGAGAAATGGAGTTAAAAGTTTTTATAATAAAACCTTGAAAGTAATCTTTTAGTGTTTATGACTCAGCTGCTACCACCACCAGTCTTTGTTCAATGTTTGGAAAATAAACTGTGTTAGTCATTTTTGTTTAGGATAAATTAGCAGTGGTGGCCATCTTGAATCAGAATGACTCCAAATGGCTATTAGTTGTAATCCAGTGGTTTGAATCCTAAATATTTAACAGCTTTACACAAATCATTCCATCTGATTTTAGCCATTCTTATGTAAAACTTGGCTTATTTAGAGCATATTCTCTAACAAACTCACAGGAAAAAGTCCTCCTCTTCATCGGAGTCCTCCTCAAGTAGGTTCCTCTGTTGAAAGAAGAAACGTTTATGATGAGTATTTTAAATAACAAGTAGTTGGGATTATTAGCTGCCTATTCTGGTTTGTAGGTGTGATTGTTTGTCTAATCAGCACTAAGACATGCAGGTTGAAAGAGTCGGAGGATAAATACAGTGGATCTGGAAAGTATTCATAACGCTTCACTTATTCCACTTGTTTACGTTACAGCCTCATTCCAAAATGGATTAAATTCATTTTGCCCATAAAATTCAACACACAACACCCCATAATGATAATGTTAAAAAAAAGTGTCTTTGAAGTTGCTGCAAATATATTAAAAATAAAAAACTTGAGAAATCACATGTACATTATTCACAGCCTTTGACGTGGAGCTCAGAACTGAGCTGAGGTGCATTCTGTTTCCACTAATCATCCATGAGGTGTTTCAGCAGATTAATTGGAGTTCGCCTGCGGTAAATTAAGTTGATTGGACATGACACACACCTGTCTATATAAGGCACCTGGGTTGACAATGCATGTCAAAGCACAAACCAAGCATGAAGACAAAGGAATTGAGTGTAGACCTCCGGGACAGGATTGTCTTGAGGCACAAGGCCGGGGAAGGTTACAGAAACATTTCTGCTGCTTTAAAGGTTCCTATGAGCACAGTGGCCTCCATTATCTGTAAGTGGAAGAAGTTTGGAACCACCAAGACTCTTCCTAGAGCTAGCCGGCCATCTAAGCTGAGTGAACGTTGAAGAAGGGTCTTGGTCAGGGAGGTGACCAATAACCCGATGGTCACTTTGTCAGAGCCCAGCGGTCCTCTGTGGAGAGAGGAGAACCTTCCAAAAGGACAACCATCTCTGCAGCAATCCACCAGTCAGGCCTGTATGGTAGAGTGGCCAGATGGAAGCCTCTCCTTAGTAAAAGGCACAAGGCAGCCTGCCTGGAGTTTGTTAAAAAGCACCTTAGGGACTCTCAGGCCATGAGAAACAAAATCTTCTGGTCTGATGAGACAAAAATTGGACTCTTTGAAGTGAATGCCAGGCGTTACGTTTAGAGAAAATCAGGCACCGCTCATCACCAGGCCAATACCATCCCTACAGTGAAGCATGGTGGTGGCAGCATCATGCTATGGGGATGTTTTTCAGCGGCAGGAACTGGAAGACTAGTCATGATAGAGGGAAAGATTACTGCAGCTATGTACAGAGACATCCTGGATGAAAACCTGCTCCAAAGCGCTCTTGACCTCAGACTGGGGCAACGGTTCACCTTTCAGCAGGACAACGACCCTAAGTACACAGCCAAAATATCGACAGAGTGGCTACAGAACAACTCAGTGAAGTGGCCCAGCCAGAGCCCAGACCTGAACCCCATTGAACATCTCTGGAGAGATCTGAAAATGGCTGTGCACCGACGCTTTCCATTCAACCTGATGGAGCTTGAGACGTACTGCAAAGAGGAATGGGCAAACTGCCCAAAGATAGATGTGGCAAGCTTGTGACATCATATTCAACATGACTTGAGGCTGTAATTGCTGCCAAAGGTGCATCAACAAAGTACTGAGTAAAGGCTGTGAATACTTATGTACATGTGATTTCTTAAGTTTTTTATTTTTAATAAATTTGCAACAACTTCAAAGACACTTTTATCCACATTATCATTATGGGGTGTTGTGTGTTGAATTTTATGGGCAAAATGAATTTAGTCCAATTTGGAATGAGGCTGTAACATAAACCAAAAAGTGGAATAAGTGAAACGTTATGAATACTTTCCAGATCCACTGTATGGTGCTGCTGACACAGAAACACGAAGCTAGTTTTGCACAAATCAAAAGGAACTTTTTCTGTCTTCATGAGGCAAAGTCAAAAACTATTTCAGTCAAGCTGCAATGGCAAATCTACAGAACTAGCTTTTAAAGCAAACGTGGTCACGAAACACCCCCCCCCCCTCACCTCGGGTCTCTTCCCTGAGACGCTTCTGCCAGAACTGGAATCCCGCACTGCCAGAGGACACGAGATAGTGCTAAACACCAGTCACCGTTCTCTAGGTCCAAACGTCTAGTTTGTTTTCTAAATGTGCTATTGCAGCTTTAAGATTAGATGGCTGGATGACAAAAACTCAATCTCATGCTTAAAGGTGTAGTTCACCCGTTTAATCAGTAAATTTGCAGTGGTCTCTAGTAGGAATGAATATCTTCTAGGAAAAAAGCTCCGGTGCACCAGTTTCAGGAACTAGAAAATTGCTACATCAAAGCAGAAAGTAGCTTCAGATGGCAGGATCTGGAATCTTATTTCCTGATATACAGACACCTTGCCTCTAATTGGATAACAGCAACATGACTCTACCACTGACTCAGTTTGTTCTGCAACATTGATAAATGGTCTGTATTTACAACCCCCCAGGGCACTTCACAACACAATCAGTCATTCACTCATTCACAAACTGGTGGTGATGTAGTTTCAGCTGCCCTAGGAAGCACTGAGAGGCAAGGCCTGCCAAACACTGGTGCCACCATTCCCTCTGACCACCACAGCAGGCAGGGTGGGTTAAAGGCACAGTCCGCAGGATGACGCCGTCAGGGTGAGGAGGAGATTTTTAAATTCGAACGGCTGTTGCTCACTCCCCCGCCCTTCCTGAAAGAGCCGAAAGCCACACCTCCCGATGTGCACGCGCAGGAAAAGCCGAGTCAACACCAGAGCGTTGCTTCTTCATAATAGAGCTGAGCTAGTGTTAGCAATGGAGTTATCTGAGGTAAGAAAGTTGTTTTTAACCAGCACATTAAACACTTACTGTTTACAAAAGGCATTTTATAAAGAATATCTATAAATATATTTTAAAATACCAGTAACAGTTGACAATCTATATTGTAAATAAAATTAATCCTATCAAATTGTTAGCATTTTATTACAAGTAACTAGCTTATTTTTAATTGCTTTGCCATTCAAGATGGGATGAATATATCAAAGCATATAAATAATTTATGTGGAAATCATGAATAAACACTGCATTCTGTGTAGTCCTCCTATAATCATGGTTGTTTTCATAGGGTTTCTGTTTATTGTTGGTTTAGCCCAAATTTTGACTAGATGTAAACCTGATCTGTGTCAAAATTGATTAATATGCAAGAGTACTTTTTATATTAGTATAATTTTTTTTATTCTAATACAATTTAGAGCTCAGTGATTGAGGAATCCTCTGAGGAAGAGTTTGAACCTCCTATTGCATCCTCAAGACGTGGTGCAAAAAGGAGATGCCCACCATCATCTCAAAGCCGTGGTGCATCTAGAGGCCGCGGTGCATCCAGAGGCCGAAGAAGTGTGAGACACTCAGCTGTGGACCTTGGAGATGATCTCTCTCGAGTTCGGAATCTTTGTTCCGAGCGAATAGACTTTGAACGTGTAAGCATAACAAAATTACACTAAATTATCCTAAAAACTGTTGCTGTAGCATCTCTTTCCACTTTTGTAGCAACACATACAGAACCTGAACCCTCAGCAGGCTATTGACATCCTTACCATGGTGCTGGACAGACACTGGTGTTCTCTTTGATGTACTTGCCCTCTCTGGTCCAAATGCCACAACACCTCCAACACCCAATCAACCTTCATGGTGTGTATGCTCCCACTGCAGAGATATACCAACTGATTTGGAAAAGAAATGCTGCCAACAGCCTCCCCAGACATGTATTTCAACTGTACCACACATGGAGGAGTTTATTCTGCAAAATTCCCTGACCCCAATGGTAACTACACAGGTTTTATTCCAAGACGATTGTAAATAAATGTATATATTTGATATTTTACATAAGTTTGTTTTTATATATTTTTGTTTGATGCTCTAATAAAGTGTTCTAAAGCATAACTCTGTGCTGCATTTGTAAAAATACCATAAATTTTAAAACTCCTGCACAACAACAAAAAATTATGTCAACCTCCAACATTTTACATAAATTTTTAAATTATTAGTCCTTATTTCCCCAAAATATATCTTTATTTTCAAAAAAAAAAAAAAAAAAAAAAAAACACAGGAAACAAAAATAAAGAAGGTTTTGGGTTTTCTCTTGCCTCCCCCTAACACCTATGTCTGTGGCAAAGTTTTACCTGTAAATAAAAAATAAACTCAATTAGCAATGGACTATTGTGTGGAAGATGTAAGGCAGATAATGTTTTATTTTACCATCACCGCGAGTCCGTAGGTGTTGTAGAAGTTCCTCTGTTGATGGTGCAGGAACTCCGGACAGCAAACCATAACGCCTTGGATCCTCAGGCCTTAGCTTGTAGCGTCGAGGAAGACCTTTCTTGCTTGTCAAACGTCGGTCAGTTGCTTCTGGGATATTACAGTCATGAACTGTATCCTCTATGTTAATTTCTTGCAGAGTCTCAAGTTGTAATGTTTTTTGTAATGCTGCTCCGGTCCTGTATTATCTATGCGCTATTGCAGTTTTATAGAATGTTAAACGAAAGGAATTACCTTATGTGTGTATAAGGTGTGTAGTCCTCATCACCGCTGTCATCAGTACCGCAGTCCATCTCGATGGTTTCGTCCTCCTCTGAAGACGAATCAACTTCTGTTTCTCTGTTTGGTGACCATGTGTCATCTGATGACTCTATCCTGAATATACACAATATAAAGTTTTTAGTATGGAAAATTAGACACATTTTATTAACATCTGAATACTTACACAGAGTTCTGAATATTGTTGAACTCTTCCTCGTCAATGTTTGCTTCAATTCCCACACAAGATAACCTAAAAAAGTAATTATTGTTTACTTTTCCTAACAAATGTGACAGCCGTATACAGATACAACCTTGTACTTACATTTGTGAAGATCCTTCTTTTTTAGTTTCACCTTGTTCCATCACCTCCTCCAAATTATCATCCCTATGAAAATAAAATACAAGCACAAGAATATGATTAGAATCAATACATATTTTGTCATTTTGAAGGTAATAGACCTTGTCTATTGGCCGTCATCATCACCCTCTCCTTATTTTTCTCACTCTACTTATTACGCATTTCTCTGCATCCACTGAATTCCTTCTTTACAAATAATTTCCTGTCTCTCTCTTTACATTTTAAAAACACAATTGTGTTATTTTTTTCTCATAAACTTTGAAATAAAAACATAATTTTTTAAAATATGTTTAATTTTGTTGTTGTGAAGTGTCTCAAGAGTTTTATCTTGAGAGGCGTTATATAAAATGTAGTTTTACTATTTATTTCTATACATTTTTTATAGTCATTCATTATCCCATTTCTAGAATTTTTTCAAAATAATCCACCACTAACTTAAAACAAACAGAGGCAAAATTATAATATTCCTGGTAGAGGTTTTTACGCAGCTATTTACCTTTCAGATGATTCTCCATGAATGCTAGACAGAGCTGGCACTGGTGTTGGAGAAATACACAGTTGGCGCTTCAATGGTGTAATGTTGATGCTTCATATTTGGACTGATGACTGTAAAAAACAAAGCCCAAAAATTAGTGATCACAAGCTAAGCAAGTCTCCCCAGCCTTCACAGATTTGTGCACGAGCTGATTATCATTCCTTTTATTTGAATATGGAGTTTTCACGTAGGTAAGACCACAAACTCAGACGGTAATCTGTACACGTGGCCCACCCAGGTTAGCACAATATGTCTTTCAGTGCTAATGGAAACGTAAGGTTTTGGATACGTTCCTGATCAATCACACCTAATTCTAACTGCTGAATCATCTCCTCAGACTTCTACAAGTGCTACATGAGCTGCTGATTACTCATTTTAATCAAACACGCAGCTCAGGCAAGTGTAAACACCTAATTCAGCTTTCAAGATGCTAACTGAACCCCGCTAACGGGGAAGTTATAAACAAGAGCTTAAAACAATATACTGATGTGGCCTATAGTTAAACGCCACACTAATCATTAGCTCCCATATAAACAAAAAACTAAAATCCCCTTTCGTTACTCATACTTCTTCCAAATATAGCATAAATAGTTCGACTAGCATCGATTCATGTCGACTTAGCATTCAAGCTAATGCTACATTAGCCAATAGGACACCAAGCATACAAAGCTTGTTTGCTCTATTACTTCTTTCAGTGAAAGAAAGATTATAAGTAAATTTATCCGAAAAACAATAAATAACTTACCTGTCTAAAAGATACTTTGCCAACTCTTCATCCGTTTTCAGGCCGTGTAGATCACGAAAATCTCTCCATCGTGTGTAAAACAATCTCCAATGTAAATTCTACTCGACTGTCTTAAACGTCTTACAGCCACTTTTGAAGAAGGGCTTTTAAACTTTTTAAATGTTTTTTGAGATGTGGAAGGCAGTCGAGGAATCGGTAATTTAGGGTTTTGTTGCTCCATGTTTCTGCAGTAAGCCAAGTGAGGCGCGTGACACTGTTGTGCAAGCTGAGACCTGCTCGGGCTCGATTATTGAAAGCTGCCCCCTGGTGGAAACGCAGCGCTATTGGTCAACGCGTTACCCCGGCTTTCCACGGGAGCCGTCAGCAGCACGTTACTGCAGCAGCAGTCATAGCTGCTGATAGGAACCGCTGTGGTCAACAGAACCTTTTCCACTGGAGCCGTTGGCAGCCGTCAGCAGCGCGAGTCGGCCGCGTCTCAGGAGCAGCATGTCGCGGCCTTTACGCGCCGGTTCTATTTTCTACGCGCGACGCCTCTGAAACGGGTCAAGTTCGACATTTTTGGGGAAGGAAAGACAGGAAATCGGACGCGGAAATGGAGAGAAGCTACAGAGATTTTCAGAATAAAGAACGTGCTGCCTTCCGGTTGCTTTACTTTTAAAAAATGTTACTAACTGTGCGTCCCCGTGAGAAGTTATCACCTAGCTAGCGGTCTCCTTTGTTTTTCAGGTCCGTATTGGCGATTATAAAACGGACAGAACATAAAACACAAACCATGTTGTAGTTTTCTCCTGCTTGTTGTTGTGTTTACTGACGAAGTCACTCGTGTGACTTCGTGCTCTGTCGGTGACAGCTGCTCCCCTGCTGCTTAGCGTCTCGTGGGAAGGGCCAAGCAGCAGCTTACGCGAGCAAGACGTGCTGCTGCAGTAACGTGCTGCTGACGGCTCCCATGGAAACCCGGGGTTAGGCTTGCAGAAATATTGGCTGAGCTCTACAGGGCAGGGGAGGGACTTAGGAGAAAATTGAAATATTAAAGATTATTTACTTTTTTTAATAAAATTGGGTCAGATGGTCAAAATCAAACATTTTTAAAGTTATTCTACATTTAAATGTTGCAGACTGTGCCTTTAAGTGTCTTGCCCAAGGACACATCAGCAGCATTCTCTGGTCGGAGCCGGGATCAAACCTGCAACCTTCCGATTACTGGAAACCCGCTCTACCTCCTGAGATACTGGCTGACTTGATTTTTATTTCCACAAATAACACAAGCTTAGAGGAGCTTCTGCCATGCGGTAAAGTTGCTAATGCTAATGGTTAGCTTCTACTAGCCAAGACATTTTCTGCCGTCTCCTCGACGTTAAAACAACAGCCTTCCCCATCATGAGTCCAGATGGGTGAGTCCATGAATGTTGAGTGACAGTGTGATGTAAATCTGTCAGACTTTTCAAATCCTAGAGTTTCACCGCCTATTTTCTATCAGAAGCTAATGCAGCAAAAAGGTGTAGGAGACTATTTCATGTTCAGCCTGCATGAAAAACTCAGAGTGACTGATCATAATCAGAAATTAGATTTAAAAAATGTTTTTTTCAGTCTTCCACACCTTTAAAAAAATATGAAAAAGAAAGGAACATCATCTTTGGGATCTTTAAGTATATTATTCCACTTTTAAACACGAGCGTGTCTGAAACAAGCATGGCTTTAATCTGGACAGAAACCTGCTCTGTGTAAAATGTTACTGATGAAGTAAAACTAAAAACAGCTGCTTTAAAGTCTCACAGGACGAGACAAAAGAAGTCTGTTCAAAAGGAGAGGTTGTTTTGCAGCCTTCCTTACAAGTCATGTGAATATTTACAGTTCAGTAGAAGTCCTTGTTATCACGTTCAGAAAGCTAATGCCTGCAGCAGCAGAGATCAGAGAGAGGGAGAAGCTTTGAACGTTACTCAACAGCCGCCAGACAATGATGGTTAATAATAATAATAATAACTGTACACTTTAGTTTCCTGTAAATATAATGTCATCTAAAAAATTCCATAGGACTGGCAAACACATGATCATAAATCTCTTTATAAGTAAACGTCTGAATGCTTTCCTTATGTGCAGCCTCTCTGTCTCTCCATCAGGGCAGGAGACAGGGGGGGGGGTTGTTAACAATTATGGGAGGTAGAAACTACCGACGAACCGTGGAGGAGAGAATTCTGTTATGTAATTCATCCCCTAAGCTCCACTTTGATCCCGGTTAAAAACAACAGGATGACAAGAAGGAAACAGCGAGCTGAAATAAAGAGAGGGAGGAGAGGAGGAGAGGACTTCTGATGAGGCCCAGTGTTTTGGCCATAAGAAGTTCTGGAGCCTCCACAACTGAATCACCTGTTTAAACTTTCAGTCCCTCTCGTGTTTCTTGTTTTGTTCCATTATTTTTACTCAGGTGCATAAAATAACTCAATAAAATCAGTTTTAAGTTATAATCAATGCCCTGCTTATTAAAAAATACTTTTTAAAGTAAGTCAAGGTGTCCGTTTATTACATTTCTATGTGCTTGTAATGTTTTTTTTTCTTCTTCAACCATTTCTCAACCAGGTTTAAAACAAAACAAAACCTGCTTTATCACCATCTCACCCTCTCACTACGGATGGATCCAGTGACCTCATCGTCATTGAGGTGTCGTTTAAATTTGGGCGGCATGTTGTCTTCGGGCTGCTCCTCCCGTTCTGGCTCCCTCTGTTGGGAAGGAGGAGAGGATCAACAGTTAAGAGTTCTGTCAAATAAAGAAAGAGGCATGTTTACAACAGGGCTGGCCTGAAACGTGCATGGATCATCATCCTGAAGTTGTCCGATGTTTACCTTTTTTCCACTTTTTATCATATGTTGGGAGAATGGAAAGAGTAAGATCTGACATTTTTTTTTACAGATCTTAAAGGCTTTAGGATACAATTCATTACAGTTAAAATATATATGAGAGTAATCAGAAGATTTAAAGTTTGACCAGAAGATCCACAAGCACAATCAGTGAGGAAGGTTCTAATAGCCCTAATTTTAACAGTGAGGTGTAAAATATCTGTAAGGTTTCAAAACAAAGCCAAAAAGGGAACGAGGTATAAGAAACCAGTAAAAGAAAAAAGATTCTTTCCATAGAGGAATATCTGATCCTTATTTATCTGCTCAGCAACAGACGCCGAGGTTTTTCTTTTAATGACCAGCTTCAGAGAGCTATGCCAACAGACCAGGGGATGAATTTAAATAAAGCTTCAAGAGTTTGATGGTCATGATTATCAAGCTGTGAGGTCCCAGAATGACAAATCATTTAACAATATAACAGATCCTCAACAACAAAACTATTATAGATACATTGAAATTAGGAGCTTGAAGAAAACATCTAATCTGTTGCATGTTATCTGTAATGTAATCTGTTACTTTTATGTTCAGAAGTGATGAGGGAAATGGGGAAGGTTCATAAGTTAAACTAGTTTATAAAAGTGACAAACTCAACTATATTTTATTTCCGCAGAAACATCAGTCCTCTAATGTGGCATACTTGATAGTATCCAGCATCATAGAAAGCTCTGTAGGGATGTAAGAAAATGTTGATATGGCATTATATTGGTGATATCTTTTACAGAGATGTATCAATATTCAAAAGCTGTGTATCAAAATATGCAATATATCGTGTGTTTTTTAAAGCAACATATCAATATTCAAAAGCCGTGTATCTAATTTTTGGAAGAATTTACATGTAAACATTTCTTTTCTTTTGGTGCAATTCAAAAGCCAACCGCTAGTTGGCAGCAGTGTGCAGTGGGTTTTGTTTCCACCATTGTAATGTAAATCCCTCTGTTATGGTTCTGATACCTCATGTTAAACATGTTATGCATCAGTTTGGATTGTTCGTTGAATTTTCCTACAATAAATTCAGACTAAAAAATCGCTAATAACGTCTGACTGAATGTATCACAATATATCGTGATACATATTGTATCACCAAAATTTCACTAATACATACCACTATCTGTAACCTAGTGGAGAATAAAAAGTAGACGTGTCTACTGCTGTGTTATAAATAATTAAATTAAAATTACTGTGATTTTTATTCTAGGGGATATCAGTTATAGGTCTGAGTAGAGGCGACCGATATGGGTTTTTCTATTGCCAATACCGATATGCAGGAGATAGTGTTTCCCAGGGTGTGTGAGCATGGGATGTTTCACTTCTGTGTGTCTCCCGTGTGGGGGTGGAGCCTCGTAGGCTGGAATTTCAGCTGTGATGCAGTGCCACGCCTAAGCCTATGTAAGGGAAACATTGGGAGACATAGTCAGCCGAAAGCTGATGTGTACTGCAGACTTTTACGGGCCAAATTTTATAGCCAATATCTAGACATTTTCCACCTTATTTTCAGGGTAAAATGTCACTAATAACATTGGTTGATGCACAACATTTCTGAAGCTGAATCAGTTTTTGAAATGTGAATTTAACTATCTGTTAAATCTTAACTTTGTGCACTTCTCAATGCTAAACTCAGACACCTAAATAAAGTTAATTCTCTGTATTTATTATGCAGATGTTATTAGTGAACATAAAAATGCATTTAAATAACATTTTGCAACAGCATCGTGCTGCTCGAAGATGTGACTGACTTTAAATCACCTTCACTGTGAACAAATATCAGCCGATGCTGACATATAAAAACTGGTAAGTATCAGCTAACTATATCATTCAATCAATATATCAGTCTATGCCTAGTTCTGAAACATATGAATTTGCCAACATTTTAGCTCTTCAATAATCAGAAAAATGCAACCTATGCAACTCAGAATAATGTAACTATTTTTTTATTGATAGTTCTTCAGACAGAGAACAGACTCCTGTTCACTGAATGCAAAAGGAAATGTCATCACAGCCTGCTGGGCAAAACTTTCTACCAAGCAGATGTGAAAACCACACTGCTCTTCTAAAGAGACATCCATGAGTTTGGGTTTGGGTGCTTTGAGTGCCAATGAAGCGAAGCAAAACACACACACACACACACACACACACACACACACACACACACACACACACACACACACACACACACACACACACCTCAATAAAATGCCTCTGTGACACTGAGCAAAAAAAAACATGCAATCCTAACAGATGTGTATGCATCAGGGGGATGAGCGTTTACTCATGCACATCCCCCATTTCTCACTAACAAGACGACTTATACCATTGAATCCAGTTAAGCCTGACACTGTGGTTTTCTCAGTGTCCTTGCTCTGGAGCTGCGTTTGGAAAAAGAGCCTTTCTCCAGCCAAAAGTGGAGAGGAGAGACCAGCAAGGGACAGATCTGAAGTAGTGAAGAGACAGAAAAGAGGAAAACCCCAGTCTGACCTGTTGAGATTTGGACAAGGAAGTTCAACAACTTGACCTATTTAAAGGATGGGACTTTAAAGACACAAACCACAGAATTAAATGTAATCTATTTATAAACTTTTGTCACACGAAAAACAAACACTTAATGACAAATGACAACTTAAAGCAAAAAAGAAGCAGCATAGATTCATGATAAGACAGGAAACACAAATGTTAATTTGATAAACATTCATGTGATAATAAAGCATTTTAGACCTGAAAATAGCTTTTTAATTGGAAACTGATTCAAGCAATACAGCAGTTAGTAAAAACGAATAAATCACTGCATTTCACCTAGCTGAATGAGCTAATGTCTAATCGAAGCTTTAAACGCGGATTGTTGCGGTTATCTACAACACACACATCTCATAAATGTACAACACAATAATAATTAGAGTAAAACACGGGTCAGAATAAACTATGCTATTCAGTAACCCAAATAAAACAGGCCTTTCACTCACCCAACCAGGCTAAACTATGCTAAGCTAAAGATGCTAACGTGACTACCGGTGACTACCTACCTGCTGTTTGTAACAAGATCCACCGATAAACTCCTCAGCACAGAGCCTCGGCAACACGTGCAGATATGAGTCAGGTTACAGTGACTTTACAGATTCTTCCAGTTCATTTTAAAGGTAGTCCCAGACGCCGAGACACTGTTCTCATATTTGGATGCTAGCGGTCCTTCTTGTCTAGATCAGCTGACCAGGAAGTCAACGAAAACAGCTGGAGAACAGACTGATGCAGATGTTTCACATGAGACAATATTCTTCTATTTTGTTTCCTTAAATTTTTAAATAATCAAAAAATAAATAAGGGAAATATTTTAAAAATAAAATATTTATTATTTTAATAATGTATAGGTGTATAATAACAACAAAATTATGAGTATGATAATGAAACAGTTATTAATATTTACAACAGAAAATAAATTAAATAAAATTCTTTATAATAAATTAGATTTAAACAAAACAAAAGGTACAGGTCTGTAGCTCTTGTCCTCCTCGTCTGTAGGTGGCGGTAGAGCGCCTGTTATACGTGTCACAGGAACTACTGCATATTGAGAAGCACACGCTAACTTAACGAACACTGTTGTAAGTTGGTATGTTTATCTTTTTCGCATTTACACTTACAATTTACCGATTTATAGTTTTGTAAACCAGTGCTGTTTTACGTGTATGTGCATTCTCCAGCAGTCATCGTGTTTGTTGCTGTTTTCAGGAAGATGCAGAGCACAGTCGGAGGAGGCTGTGCTTCTCTGCAGGCTCGCCCTCTATTTGGGGGAGCGCTGTCAGCGGTCATACCTCCTCTAGCCACGGACATCAGCGAGCTGAGGGAGATTCCTGACAACCAGGAGGTGTTCGCCCACCCCCACACGGACCAGAGCCTGATCGTGGAGTTAGTGGAGTACCAGGCTCAGGTGACCGATCAGAATGCAGCCAGGTACCACTTTGAGGACATAGCGGGCTGCAACAAAGCTTTGGAGCCCGGTGCGTTTGAAGTGTCCGGTCTGGTGGCCCTACCTAAACCCGAGCTGGCCCTGGCAGAGTGCAGTTGTGCTTGGATGCTAACAGGGACACAGCGTGTATCAAAGTTCAACGAAGAGGCGAGGAATACAGTGACCATTCATTTGGGTGTGTTCCGTCTGCCGCAGTTCTCCACAGAGGTTCTGATTACTTTTAATGACCCACAGAGCATCCGCCCTGACAGCAGCAGCGCCTCTGCTGTGGAGACGCACATGTGGACTCTGCAGGACTTCCGGAGCCTTCTACAGACGCTGACTCTGCACGACCCTGGTCTGTTCGGCTAGAGCGTCTCAGTGTTTATAGACCTTCAACACTCAGCCCCAATAAGACTATGGGGTTTTCTAAGAGGTTTGCCACAACAAAAGGCAGGAGGAAGTCTTCATGCCCCAAATACATGTTCTCCTTTGGAAATGAAAAAGAGCCACAAGCAAATATATTATGTAGTCATAGTCTTGTTATGCTTTTACATGCTTATTGGACTTTACAGCACGTGTCTCCAGTCTCCATCTGCTGCCATCCTGCATCTTTTAGATGTTTTTTTGCACCAACACACCTGATTTGAATTAGGTGGCGATTAACAGGCTTCTGCAGAAGAACATGCTGATGAGGTCATTATAAGAGCAGAAAAACAACCCAAACCTGCTGACCCGAGACTGATATTGCTCCATACAGCTCAGAGATTAGTGTAAGGTAATAAAGTTTATTTTATGGGATTCTGTTTTTGTGAAACAACAGAAAAAAACTTTGTTCCTACTTGACAAATATCAGATGTACTTAAATGTGTACAAAGTTCTAACCACATTTCTAGGTTTTATATTTAAAAGTTGTCTAAATAAATCACAAATGAATTATTTTGCCTGCGTTTCTAAGGTCTGAAGTCTGCGTCTCAGGTGGGACAGGCCCTGGAGAAGCGTTGGTTGGCCATTTCCTGCTTGCTAAATTATTTAACTGGGGGTGGGGGGTCACCTCATTGGAGCAAAAATTGCATCTTTCAAACTAATTTTTGGCATTTTTAGAGGGAAAACATTATTTTTACATTTTGTTTCCATCTCTTCTGTTCACTCAGGTATTTCTTTAGTTATATTCATGGAGAAGCTAGCAGCCTTTTTTCTTACAAACTTAAAAAGCCTTTTAGTGACAGCCTGCCGGAGGTGGAAAGTAATGAATTACATTTACTCATGTTACTGTAATTGAATAGCTTTTTGAATATTTATACTTTTTGAGTCGTTTTTAAAATCTGTACTTTTACTTGAGTAAGTTTTTAAAAAATAATTGTAATTCGCTACATTTTAAATCATATCTGTTACTGAGTAAAAATAAATTGTAGGCTTGATGAATTAAAACTATTACGTGTAGCAGCGTCGGAACAGAAAGAGACACCTGCATGAGCACCGCATCTAAACCGTGGGGGTACACTTTTAATAATGAGGACAAACAGCCATTTTTACCGCAGTTTTGCTCAAAAACATCAGTTCAGTCCCTGTGATCCACTCGCTGTTTACGTCCTCTCTCCCTCCTCTCCTGTGGGTTGGAACCAGGGGTGTGTCCGAATCATCGACATATATACTGGACAATTCCTTTCCATAGGCTCCAATAACAAGTTTTTGGTCTAAAATGGGAGGTGGCCACCACCGCCATTTTGACCGTGTCACAGGTTCCGTCCAGCCCAGACAATTCCATAAAAGGGAAGAGAGGAGGAGCTAAGGGTGGGGCTGTAAGGCTGGGATCAACTGACGACACCCGGTCGAACTAGCTACAAGCTAACCTGAAGCTAACCCAAAGCTAACGCGGAGGTGGGAGCCGAGCTAACGGATGTAGCCACCTAGCTACAACCGGAGCTAACTCTGTGGAACACCCATCGACCGCATGGAGTTCAGGTGGAGGTTTGCGGCGCTTTTTCATGAGACGTACCTTTCTGTGAATAAAAAATATTAAATCGGTAAGTTTATAAGTTATTTCCGTAATGAAAATATATTTTGCTTTGAGCAAGTTTTCACTATTTATCACGTACTGTATTTTCAGGACTATTAAGTTGCTCCTGAGTCGCACCAGCCATTAAATGTATAATGAAGAAAAAAACATAAGTCGTATTTTGGGGGGAAATTTTATTTTTCTTACAAAATCTGAGACCAAGCATTTCACATTGCAAGACAAGTACCGGTAACAATAACCGAATAATGCGCCGCAGCAGCGCGCCACGGTCTCCAGCAGAGGAAGGCAGTGTTTGAAACCTTCCCAGTGGGACAGGGGAACTCATTCTTGGGTCAGAGCCAGCCCGCAGCAGCACGGTGTAGCCTACATGTTTTGTTATATAAGTCGCTCCGTAGTAGCAGGACTGGCCAGACTATGAAAAAAAGTGCGATTTATAGTCCGGAAAATGCAGTAGTTATTAGTATTTGAGATAAATTAGCAGGCTAAATACATTTCATATATTTCCAAAACGTAATCCTTGTTTCTATCTTGTACAGCCAAGTAGCCTTTATTCTGGACTCAGTACAATTCACCAAAAGTAAAGAGACATTATACAGATGAAGTAAGTGTAACCTAGGCAACACTGGAGCTCTGCCGCTCCAGCATCACACAGGGATTCACAACGACACAGGTGGAGAGCGAGGGTGCAAAACCAGAGGGACAGAGACACCAGAGAGTAGAAGTTTGTCTGCAACCTCTTTTATTAACTAAATAAAAGCCCCGTCTAAAAATATACAACTAAAAAGTTTGAGTCCATAAAAGCAGATTAAAACATGTCCTTCAAAAAGACCCCAAAAGATAGTTGGGCTCCTCCCAGATCCACAACGTCACGTGGAGGGAATTTCCAGGATGGGAAAGGCGGCGTCCCGCCTTCAGCGTGCGACTCCAGCAGTCTCTGGTCTCGCTCTCAGCAGGCACTTGTCTCAGGCGTGATCTCCCGGGGGCTCTCGCCGCTCCTCCCTGACAAGGACAGAACACTGGGGCAGAACTTTTGTCTGTGACAGTGCAATCTCTTTCTCGTAGGATCGGCCCATACGGCGCGTCACCCAGCATACAACAGAGGAAGCCGTTTACTCACGGATGCAGGCAGTAGTGATGTTACCTGTGACACGCAGGATTCGAAGCTTGTATCACCAAAACGAACCACCGCAGAGCAAAGCACTGTGTCGGAGCTTGATTTGTTTACTGAAAGTCACGTGACCAATGAGCAACGATGCTTCATTCACGCTTCCACCCACGTGACCGCTTCACACGTTGTTTCAAACATTTAAAGCAACGCAAACTGAGGCCCTGTCCACACGTAGCCGGGGATCTGCCAAAACGTAGATATTTTCCTACGTTTTGGCCTGTCATCCACACGAAAACGGAGTTTTTTCACACGAAAACGGATCTTTTTAAAAACTCCGGCCAAAGTGAAGATCTGCGTTTTCTCCGTTTTGGGTGTCTGCGTGTGGACAGACAAAACCGGAGTTTTAAGGTCCGCAACGTCACTTTCCGCGACAAAAAAATGCTGACATCACGTGTGCGACCTATGTTTACACTAGCCAACATCATGGAAGCCTTCAGAGCTGCGCTCTGTCACTACCCGATCCATCAATTGTCCAAGTGCTTTTTGCTTGTTTGTTTTTGCAAGCGGAATTACTGCTCCTTGCGGAAGACCACAGACGAAGGACGAGGTTAAGAACGGGGGAAGTACTGCCGCCTACAGGTCTGGCATGTCCTTAACAACGTATTTATCCGGGTACGTGTGGACAGAGTTTGTTTTAAAATGCGGTGGTGTGGATGCAAGTTTTTGGAGGGGCGGATATTCGTTTTTAAAAAACCCCGGCTACGTGTGGACTAGGCCTGAGAGGCGCAGGTTTATGGCAAGCCAAATGAGCATTTATTCTGTAATCAGGATGTCAGCCAGAATTGTCATGAACATGTAAGCCATTTCTGTCCACTAGTTAACTAGTTAGCCATGTTTGTGTCAACTAGTTAAATAGTGACAGCCTAAATGTCAACTAGTTAACTTGTAAGGCCTAAATTCTCTCTAGTGAACTAGTTAAAATGTTTCATATCTTACTAGTTAACTAGTATTGCTCAGTGTGTTCACTAGTTAACTAGTGTGCATTTATGTCTACCACAAGTTAACTAGTGTGCACATTTTGACCCTCACTAGTTAACTAGTGAGACAAATACCTTCAAGTAGCTGACTGGTGCGCATTTCTGCTTTTACTAGTTAACTAGTGAGCAGTTTTTGTGTCAACTAGTTTACTACTGAAGCCTAGATGTGTTCACTAGTTAACTAGTGCGCATTTCTGCTGTCACTAGTTAACTAGTGGGCACATTTTCACCCTCGATATTTAACTAGTTGACACAAACATGGCTAGCTAGTTAACTAGTGGACAGAAATGGCTTACATGTTCATGACAATTCTGGCTGATATCCTGATATAAGAATAAATGCTTGTGGAGTCCCAACAAAAGATCGATATGTGATGGCGTCTCAATCCAACCTCCAGGTAAACAGCGCCGCGGGCGTGGCACCTGCCAAACTTTTCCTGATGAGCTCCAGAAGATGCGACTTCCTCCAATTCCAGACAGGTCCAGGTTTTTACTTGTTGTAGTGACTATCAAGTCCCACTTTTAGTCACCCTCGGGTGCGGGTGGAGACAATGACTCGCTTCAACAATATTGTCCAGGCAGAAAGCGGGTTTGGGTTTATTGTCCCATTTATTGAATATGTTGACGATCACAAGCTGGGTCCAGAATGGCTATTTCTTGTCCAGGTTTATGTAAATGATGAAAGTTATAACGGCAAATTAGATGTGGCATATGAAACCAAATGAAGCGGTAAAAACTGTGTGACCTCCCGTCACCCAGAAAACGCCAATGCACTGTCACCTCAACACCTTTATAGGCTCCGCAGTGCCACCAGTGGTCAAAGGAAATACAAACCATAGTGTAATAAACTGAAATGTACATAAAACATTATCAAAATAAACTTAGATAATAATATAATCTAAACCAAAACAATATTGGCTCCTACAATAAACTTTAAGTAACATTATAAGTTTACTTGTTGTCAGAAAGGGTTATAGTTATGGCACTTCTACAAGATCCATTTGTAAAGTTACCCCACTCTTATTTTGGTGGTCCAGTTTGTGACATCACTTCCTCTAGATAGTCACTTCCTGTAAAGCCGTTTCTACCATTTTGTCCAAGCTGTTGGTGATGGCAGACAGCCTCGTGTGCGTTCATGACTGACATGTAAGTTTGGTCAACCGTAGCACCTCTATGGATACATAAATAACCTATAAGTTCATTCAGTATCCTTTATGTCTGTCTGGACATATTGTTTGGATTATTTAGAGGGAGTTCCTACAGTTTAATTGGTATCAGTTGCTATTCTCGCTTGTAGTCCTCATTTCACTTCTCTTAATTTGTGTTATGTGTGCTAAATACTGGTTTATTTGTGTTTTATTCCATTTACTCCATGTGTATCCATCCATGACGTCAGTTCAGTTGAGGTGTGGTATAATGCCAGGCTAATTGACAGCATGGTTTAGTAGTGTGGTACTTGCAACAGCAGTACCTTGGTTTGACCACCAGAGGTCCCTGGAGACCATATAATTTGTCAGTGCCTCTGAGGCTGGAAGTCACAATATTTACTCTGTGTAACCCTTGAATGTGCATCATTTGGGAATATATTTGTTTTTGCATAGTCTTTAACATTTGCATATTTATTTCACCATTTGTACAGTCCTTTTACATCATTCTTTGTATTTATTTTCCAGACCACACGGAACCAAAGAAATGTACAGATGTCCATACTTCAACTGTCATTAAATACGTAAAACTGTCTCTCCGTGCCCTGCTCTCTGACCAGAGCCCTTATCTTGAAGATACTGTCAGATCAGCAAATAACTTCCAGAGTTCCCACTCTATCACATGGTCCTTCGAGCCGGATCCACAGTCATCTAGAGATATTATGGAGGAGCTAGGACAACCATCTGCAGACCCAGCAGTGCGTACTAGATCCCAGCGGGAGAGACGACTACCAACATATTTGGAGGACTATGAAGTTGGATATCAACCTCAACTTCTCCATCATCCAGCAGCCCAAGCTCCAGCTGGGCATGAAGCTCATCCTCCAGATCAACCTGCAATGATGACAGCTGCTATTACTGGAGCCATACCTAGCCTACCTAGTAGGAGAGCATCATCAGATCAAAGCCAATCTGTCTCTCAGCACAGTAAAGCTAAGACCCAGGGCAGCGCCAGTTCGTCAACAAGGAGGTCAATCATCGATGGGTTATCTGACATACAGACAGCCATGTTGGAGGAGAGAATAAAGCGCATGGAGTTGGCAGAGGTGCAAAGACAGATAACGGAGGAAAATCTGATGGATGAACAGTACCAGCATCTGGACCAGCAAGCTCGGGAAGCCCTCAGAAGAAGAGAGGAACTCCTAAGAGAACAAGAAATACAGAGGCGTAAGCTTGATGAAGAGGCAGAAATAGCATTAAAGGCAAAGGAGGCTATTACCAGACGGCTAATGCTGCAACGTAAACTAAAGGAAAAGGAAATAGAGTTAGAGAAAGCGACTCTCATTACATCCCTCCTGAAGGAGGAAACGAGCAGCTCTGTTGCCTCAAGACCGCAAAGTGGAGATGAATCCAACAAAGGGTTCCCAGCTGACGTCATGGGAGTACCACCACCCTCACAAGGTGCACATGGACCTGCACACTCTGCTCCTACAGTTATTGGCCTTCCACCAGCCTTTACAGCAGCAGTGCATAATCCTCCTGTCTCAACAAGCCAATTAACAACTAGAGCTTCGCCTATCCTTCAACCGCAACCTCCTGTCATGGTAAACCTGCCGACCCAGCCACAATTCACATACTCCACGATAGCTCCGCCCACCACAGCACATACCATCCCTCAGCCTGGTACAACACTGTCAGTTGGTGCTATATTACCTCATGCTGGACCACCAGCCTTAACAGTGCAGTCCACTGCTCCCCTAAACAAGCTACCGGCAGTCTATAACCAGGCTCCACATCAGCATGTACCCTGGCCTTATTCACAACAACAGCCAGTACAACCTGATGCAGCCCTGCAGCATCACTCTCCTCCCAGCATACCACCTTTGCCACAAGAGACAGCTCCTCCTCCAGGCTCAATCGCTGCACCTAGTACAGGCCTAATGGAGCTATTAATAGCTACTTCATATGGACTTCCTAAGCCTGCTTTACCCTACTTCACATCTGGAAGAGAGGCAGACTTTGCACTGCTCAAAATGGCTCTAGATAACCTGCTAAGCTCACATGCTCACCTCACCAAACCATTTAAATATCAAGTGTTGTTGCAGCATTTGAAGCTGCCTAGTGCTCACAAGCTAGCACAAGCCTTTATGTATGACCCGAAACCATACACATCGGCCCTACAGGCACTTCAAGATAAATACAGGCAACCCCGCCAGCTTGTGCAAAGTGAGCTAGGAGCCATCCTAAACTTACCTCCAGTTAGGTTTGGTGATCCAGATGGATTTGACAACTTTGCCCTCTCAGTACAAGCTTTAGTAGGCATGCTCCGATCGCTAGAGGGTGAAAATGGCTACGAACTTAAATGTGGCTCTCATGTTGATAGGCTACTTAACAAATTGCCCGCTAACTACAGAGACAGCTTTGTTGAGTATAGCTTGAACAGTGGCATTCTGACAACTGGGACTGATAAGACTTATACCCTGTCAGATTTCTCCACATGGCTCCAGTTGAAATCACAAGCCAAGCAAATCGCCGCTAGAGCAGCGTACATGTGTCAAGATCAACCAAAGCTGAGGAATCAGAAGAAACCTCAGGGTCCTTCATCCAATGTGTACTACAACACAGAGAGCCAGGCTAAAGCCACACCTCCAGATCCAGCTGGCCATATAAGTTCACCTAAGCCTAAATCAGGTCCTAAACCTTACTGCCCTTATTGTGACAACAGAGGACATTACCTGAGCCTGTGTCCTAAATTCAAAGCTCTTTCAGCAGCTGAAATTGCCACATGGATCAAACACAGAAGCTGCTGGCGGTGCGGCAGGAATCATGCACCTGAGGTTTGTACGCTAAAGAAGCCCTGTAAATTTTGTAAGCAACAACATCTTACTGTGCTCCATGACGTGTGCCCTCAAGAACCGAAAAAGGTGTTAATGGTCAAAGCTGCTTCTAATACAGTGTACATTGACCGTCCAAATCACCCAAATAAAGTCATGCTCAAGTTGGTCAAAGTATGTCTACACAACGCTGAGTATTCCCTGGAAGGCTTTGCTACCCTCGATGAGGGGTCAGAGAGGACTCTCAAGGTTGGTTTATGCTTGACGCGTCCGCGACGTCCGCACGGCTCCGCGCGGAAAAGTTGCGTCATTTTAACAACCACGCCCCTCCACCGCGTCTCCGCACGGCCCAAGATTTCCGCAACGCGCACCTCGGAAAATTTCTAACCATGCGGACGGTCGGACGCGGAAAAACATGGCGGACCGGCACGGCAGAGGTTCGTAAATACAGACATTTGTATGATTCAGCTCTCAGAGATCGCCGTGATCAACATGTTGTTAATAATTCTTGGAGAGAAATAGCTCGCACTGTCGGAAAAGACGAGAACACTGTTAAAAAAGCTGAAATGCCATGTTGTAAACAGTGATTTCTACTTCTACTATGGTGTAGTGTTGGATGCATGCTGTAGAACTCCATGCTGCCCCGTTCAGTTTGGGACAATATTGGCTCACCGCAGAGACGAGCCGCACAAACCATAAGCGCTGCGAGTTGTGAAGCGCGTTCCAGCTGCGAGCCGCATCACCGCGCGGAAAGTGAATGCGTCAAGCATAAACCAAGCTTTATCCTCCCATCAGCAGTGCGACGCCTCCATCTGACTAAAGAGCCTGAAAACCTTCCCCTGCGCACTGTCCGCCATGAGGTGATTCACCTTCAGGGAGCAACAGTTTCATTTGAAATATCCCCAGTCCACACTCCCAAAGTAAAGTACAGCATTCACCATGCCTTCACTGCTGATGAACTAAGTCTCTCAGAACACAGCTACCCTGTAAAGTCACTCATGCGAAAGTACTCCCATCTGGGAGGACTTCCACTTCCACTTGTGGACAGAGTGCAGCCTTTACTTCTTATTGGGTCTGATTTCCCTCATCTACTCATCCCTAAGCAACCAGTAATAGCTGGCCCACCTGGGAGCCCCCTAGCGGTGTGCACTCCTCTTGGTTGGACATTACAAGGCCCAGCCAACTTCAGTCCTGTTTCTGCTGACCACCCGCACTGCTACTTCACCATGTCTCCCAACTCAGAGCTCCAGCGCCATGTAGAACGTCTGTGGGAAGTTGACATCTCGCCTTATGTGAACATAAAGACTGCCACGCGTTCTAAAGAGGATCAACAGGCTGTGGACCTGTTAGAGCAACGCACCACTAAAGTGGAAGTGGATGGAGTGACTAGATATGCTACTCTACTTCTCAGGCGCAAGGATAGTCCCCTCCTCTGGGCATCAAAGAACACTTTGCTCCCACAGCTACGTAGTACTGAACGTCGTCTAGCTAAAGATCCAGCTCTGGCAGATACCTACTGTCAAGAAATCCATAAACTTGAACAGTTAGGTTATGCCAAACCCCTTCCTTCAGCTACAGTAGACAGCTCCCAGGAGTCATGGTATCTGCCTCACCATGTTGTCCACCATAATGGAAAGGCAAGAATTGTCTACAACTGTTCCTACCAACACAACAGACACTGTCTAAACAGCCAGCTCCTGCCCGGGCCGACCCTAGGTCCTTCACTTCTCTGCGTACTTCTTCGGTTCCGAGAACACAGTGTGGCTGTCAGTGGTGACATCAAAGCAATGTTCCACCAAGTTCGCTTACTACCAGAAGACAAACCCCTGCTCCGTTTCTTGTGGAGAGGTATGAAGAGAGAGGAGGAACCGACTGTATATGAGTGGCAGGTTCTGTCATTTGGAACAACGTGCAGTCCTTGCTGTGCAACATATGCCCTCCAGAGGCACGTGAAGGACAACAGTAAGGGGCATGAAGACATCCTGCATACAGTTGAAAGCGCATTTTATGTGGACAACTGTCTAACAAGCATCACCACTGCTTATAAAGCTAAAGCCCTAGTTGACCGACTGCGCAGTCTGCTCTCTGCTGGAGGGTTCGATATAAGGCAGTGGGCCAGCAACGATCCAACTGTTTTGGAACACCTTCCTGCTGAAGCCAAAGCAGCTAGTTCCGAGCTGTGGCTTTCCCAATCCCGACAAGACCCAGAGGAACCAGCTTTAGGCCTACGTTGGAACTGCCTCTCTGATCGCCTCGGCTACAGACACCGACCGGTAAAGTATTCTCAGCCGACCCTGAGAAACATCTACAAGGTGATGGCCATGCAGTATGACCCACTGGGCTATCTTATCCCATTCACCACTTGAGCCAAGATCCTCATCCAGGACCTGTGGACAGTGGGAGTCGACTGGGATGAGCAGATTCAACCCAAGGCTCTACTGGAAATATGGACACAATGGGAGAGCGAGCTGGTCTACCTCCCACAAGTGGAAATCCCAAGATGCTATGTTCCAGCAACCATGGCCCCTGAAGTGCCTAACAGACAAGCGCACATCTTCTGCGATGCCTCCGAAAGAGCTTACGGAGCAGTCGAGTATATTCAAACTCCCGATAACCAGGGCAATGTTCACGTTGCATTTATGATGGCTAGATCTCGTGTTTGCCCTCGAAAACAGCTGTCAATGCCATGCCTTGAATTGTGCGCAGCTCTAGCCGGAGCTCAGCTGGCTAAGGTCACAATGACAGAGCTGTCATTCTCTCCCCAGCAGATAACACTATGGACCAACTCAACTACAGTGTTGACATGGCTGAAATCAGACAAGTCGATACAAGGTTTTTGTTGGAAAGAGGGTTGCTGAAATTCAAGAACTTACCGAAGGGTCAACTTGGCGGTATGTCAGCACCTCTGATAATCCAACAGATGACCTTACCCGCGGGAAGACACTCCATGAGCTCAGTCAGCTGTTGGGGTTATTAGGAGCGAACAATTTGTAAGCTTTAACTTACTTTTGGATTCTTCAATAAATTCTGTAAATATGAGAATATTTACTGATTTATTAATTAATTAAGATATTCTTAGATATACGGGGCACCATTCCCCTTTAACCGGGGAAAAATTGAATCCAAAACTCTTATCAGTCTTTCTTGAAGTTCGTAGAATCCTCGGAGCAGAGACTTCTCTTCGACACAACAAAGCTACTGGAGACGAAAATCTGAATTTTATAACGTTTAACAATTTGTCAAATGAATAAACAGTGGCATAAATGAATAATAACCATGTGATATAATTGAAGATGGATGTGTTTGCGTGTGATGGAGGATGTATGAATGGGGTCCTTTGTTCTCACAAAGGAGTAGTGTGTGTGTGTGTGTGTGTATGGATTCAAAATGGAGTCTTGAATACAAGATGGCTGACCCCTTTGTCTGGCTAAAGTGTGGGTGGCAACTTGCACTTTAACTTCCAAAGCACTTAGAATCAGTAGTAACTTAACCTTAAATCACTCAAAACATTTCAAAGGATCATGAAACAACACAAAAGATTAATCACAAGTTAATATCTTTTAGTTTATCAGCCTGGCCATGGCCGAAACATTTAAAGATATTCAAACAATGATAAATAAGCAGTTTATTCTTTCAAAATGACCTGACGGACGTGTTTGGGAACGAAAGAGGAAGACATGAAGCTACTTTTTAAGCAATAGCGTGGTTTTATTGCTTATTCTGGACTATAGAGGAAACGGGAGAAGAAAAGGAGAGAGAGAAATGAGTTTTCTGATCACCAGAACAGCAAGGCGTCCCCCGCTGTTTGATTTGACGGTTCTCCGTGTTTCTCCGCAGTTTTCAGCGTCATCCGTCGGTTTGATGCTTTCTCCGTTGTTTGGCGTTCTCCGTGAGTGTTTCTCCACGGGCTGGACACAAAGAGAACGAAGTTTCTTTTGTGCTGAGTTTGACAACTTACAGCGTCTCTGAGAGCTGGATGGAGTTGCTGCTTTCCTTCGCAGTTCTGTGTCCTCAAACATCAGCTGGAGGGGAGCAGAAACGAGCAGATCTGATGGGCGTGCAGTTTAGTATTTTCCAGCGGTCCCGTGGGCTCAACTTGGGCACTTAGAGCTTCCGCGTGCTCAAGGGAGTCGGAGCGTTCGACAAGCGTGTCCTTACCGCCAGGTATCCTGGGCAAAAGAACGAGGTTTCTTTGTCTTTGCTGAAGATTTATGGTCTTAGTTCGCGGGAAAGCTCCACGGCCTCCCGCACATGCGCAGAACGTGTTTCTGGTATTAGGCGGTGACATCATCCCAATGCTTCCGTGTGCAAAGCATCATGGGAAATGAAGTTTCTTGGCGCTGATGTGATTATTTGCTTTCAAAGCAATTTAAGCACAGTCATTTTGGAGAAAATCACTGCATAGTAATTTCCTCATGAGGTCAGACCCTCAACATTCCCCCTTTTGGTTTCGGGGATCGCGCCCAAAGCTCGATCGTCGGAAGCACAGATGGGTTTGTCCCTCATGAACGTAGGTCGACTTGATTGTCGGAAGCACAGGTGGGTTTGTCCCTTAGGACGTTGGTCTCCTTGGACGCCTTTGTCTTTGGTCTTTGTCTTGGATCCTGGCGCCTTTGGTCTTTGATCCTGGTCAGGCACAAAGAGGATAGGAAACGGGATAGTCCCCAACGCGCATTAACGAGAAGAAGCCACTCACGCAGGTGGTACGCAATGATGATGTCGTCCATGCGAGAGGTAGTAGTGCAGAAGGAGGAAGGTCGGTGGGCGGTTAACTCCACGAGGGGACACAAAGGCATCTCACTGCCGGCCATACAGTTCAGTTTATGGAGCACGCGGTGATGTACGAGGTCCATAGTTCGCAAACGCACATTGACCTATGTGGTCCCAAGATTCCCCCCTTTTTGGTCCAAAGGGTGGATCAGGACAGTCTTTGGGCTAAAACAAGGACCATAAAACTAAGAGGTACTACAATGTGCTGGTGCTTGTTGTAGTGACTATTAAGTCCCACTTTTAGTCACCCTCGGGTGCGGGTGGAGACAATGACTCGCTTCAACAATATTGTCCAGGCAGAAAGCGGGTTTGGGTTTATTGTCCCATTTATTGAATATGTTGACGATCACAAGCTGGGTCCAGAATGGCTATTTCTTGTCCAGGTTTATGTAAATGATGAAAGTTATAACGGCAAATTAGATGTGGCATATGAAACCAAATGAAGCGGTAAAAACTGTGTGACCTCCCGTCACCCAGAAAACGCCAATGCACTGTCACCTCAACACCTTTATAGGCTCCGCAGTGCCACCAGTGGTCAAAGGAAATACAAACCATAGTGTAATAAACTGAAATGTACATAAAACATTATCAAAATAAACTTAGATAATAATATAATCTAAACCAAAACAATATTGGCTCCTACAATAAACTTTAAGTAACATTATAAGTTTACTTGTTGTCAGAAAGGGTTATAGTTATGGCACTTCTACAAGATCCATTTGTAAAGTTACCCCACTCTTATTTTGGTGGTCCAGTTTGTGACATCACTTCCTCTAGATAGTCACTTCCTGTAAAGCCGTTTCTACCATTTTGTCCAAGCTG